TTTCCAACTTCACCTGCAAAGTCTTTGACAGATATTTGGTGTATAGGAACATAAGTGGAACTGCAATATATTTGGCAGCTAAAGCATTTGAAATATCTGGGTCCAACATATAGACTGCAAGTCTGCTTTCTATTCTCTTGCATTCAAATTTTTCGCATGTGAACTTAACTGGTCCCAAGCAGTCAGCAGCATTGAAATAATAGTTTACTTCAGTGTTGAGGTTTGAGAAACCAAAGTCTAAGTCAACTTTGTCTTTGCAAAATTCGCGCGAATGACGTTGATTCGCCCCTTTACGTCTGTAAGAGTGAATGGGTCTTGTGTTGGTGCAATGACTAAGTTATTTTTGCTTGGAGTAAGTTCGATAGAAATCTTACCTGCCCAGTTTGGCAAGTATCTTAAAAACCTGAAGATGAGGAAAGATGACAAAGGAACTCTAAGTTTCATTTTACTTTGGTTACTGCTGCTGCAGTTTGTCCAGAAAGGTTAACATAAACTCCTGGAACGTTAGGGTCAAGTCTTCTTATTTTCTCAATAGTTGCATACTGGTCTGTTTTTCTCTAGCTTGTGTGTACTGAGTTTCTCAAAGCGAACCATTCATAGTTTGCCCATGTTACTGTTTGAACTAAGTCAGAGTTAGAATATATCTTATATCCCATGAAAACTTCTGGAGCATATTGGTATCCGACATAGAAAATTCCATTGCAACCTTTCTTGTCAGACAACTTGGCAGAAGGTTTTATTTCAATGTCTTGTTCCACGTATAAAAAGAGTTGTCAATAAAATAATATGAAACCTGTCGCAAGCAATATCTACTGTTGTTGAAAACCTTCTCCAAACTCAACTACGTTTCCATAAGAAACAGCAGTTGTATATTCGTAAGTTCCAGGAACTATTTCTGACCTTCTAATGGCATTGTCGCATTCGTTATACCATTCGGAAACATTTCCATTCATAGCATCCAAAACTGTTGGCGTATATTCTGAGCGGCGTACATTTCATATGTGTAAAAATATAGAATAGTTGGATTTATATGTCATAATAGAACCCACTCGGACCAAGCTTTACTTTCTTCCTGACTGAGTGTTTAACTCTTCTTTTTCCTTCATTGCACTACTTCACTAGATGAAGTTACTTCTTCACTACTTTCTCAACTCTCTCTTCTTCTTTGGTGTCGCTTTTGGTAACTTGCCCTCTGCTTCAAGTTGTTTGCATCTTTGCCTCATGTTCATCTAGTATGTTGCAAATTTCCCATGTCCTTTTTGCCTTTGGGCTCTGGTCGCCCATCTCAGGTAACCTATACCTAGAAGAGTTTGGCATAGTTTGTATTTGAGTCTTCGCGATTGTTTGCATGACTCTTTCCTGAGTTTCCGGTTCAAGCTCTTCAAACATGCCTGTCCATATGGAATAAGCTCGTTTCCAAATATATGTTTTTGTAGCCATTCTGTTTTCTTTCCATTTACCAACAATATCCTTTGTGAATGGAAAGCTTTTACCCAATCTTTCAGTCTTGCGTCATTTATTTCTGTAGTTGGTTTTTTTGTCAAGAACATGTTTTTCAATACTAACATTTCATTTGTACTGTCCATTTGATTTTCAAAATATTCATCCCTTCTCGATTCATCGCCTGCAAAGTAAGTTTTTATGACATTTTGTAAACTTTCGTTTGCAAGGTCATGTACAATAGGTTCTCTTCCTTCTCTGTCCCAACTTCTTTCTAAACTCTTCACCAAATATACCATCTTTATGGTTCTGTGTAGTTCTTGAGATAAATGTTCTAGAACGTCAGGTTGTTATATTTCCATCAGCCATGTTCATTTCATACTGGTCCAAAATATCTGCATCTTTCATATCTTTCAATGCATTAAAGCGCGCTTAAAATACCAGCTATATCTGGTTCACCATTCATTCCATTGCGTCTACAATTCTTGGAATTGTTGGTTGTAAGTTTATGAACACACCTATCGGTTAGCTTTATGACCCATCTCATTGTAGTTCCATAGTCTGCAAAACAAAAGTAGGTTTGTTTCCATCTTGTTAGGTTCTGAATAACTTTAAACAATGTTTCATTTTCTATATGTTTTCTGAAATTTAACCTTTTATTTTCACCGAGTTCATCCAAGATTGACGTTAAATGCTCGTAAGTAAAAAGGGTTGTTGTATTTGCTTACATTTTCTTTCAGTACTTCCATTCTATGCTGAATATTTTCATCGAGTGTTGGAGTCTTTTGTATGTCGGCAAACATTTTTCGATATTCTTCTACTATGTCAGCCGAATTTTTTTTAGACTCTTGGAAAGATTCCATATTCTCCGCATACACTTGTTGAGGGTCAAGATTTTTCGGCTGTTCCAAATCTTCATCTAGTTCTGTGAAGTTAGTTTCCAAAGGAGCGATTTGTTCGTTTCCTTCAGGCTCTTCTAGCTGTTGTTGCTGAACTATTTCTTCCATGTCTGGTTGTATCTGAACTTCTTCCTGTGGAGTTTCTTGTACCTCATCTGGTGGCATTTCATATATTCCGAGACCGTTTTTAACAAGTTCCCTATCTAAGTCATCCGGACTCATAAACCTTTCTTCTTTCGTTCCGTCTCTATTTTTTACGCGTTTCATGAAGAGAGTTGAATTGTTATTTAGCTCTGACACCAAATATCTCGGAGTAAATTCATCCATGTCATTTGGATGATATGCTATTAAATCATATCCCTTAGCGAGCTTGTATTTTCCAGGTTTGAAATTATATCCCATTTGGTGCTGAACCATAAAGCTAAATAGGTTCGGGTCAGTATTTCCTTCCTTGAACTTTCTAATAGCTTCTTTATATCTGTCACTAAAGTCAAGAGTATCTGGGTAACCATACTCTTCCTTCAGCATTTTTAAGAATTCTTGGTTTCCTTGTTCTCTACTTCTTTTATGTCCTTGCTCTGTTTGTGGTTGTTGTTGTGCAGGGTTTTGAACTGTTGGTTGTTGTGTTGGTTGTTGTGCAGGGTTTTGAACTGTTGGTTGCTGTGCTGGTTGTGGAGGTGGTTGTTGTGCAGGGTTTTGAACTGTTGGTTGTTGTGCTGGATTTTGAACTGTTGGTTGTTGTGTTGGTTTTGGTGCATGCCTGCGTCTGTGTCCATGTGACGATGTAAATGTTTTAGGTAGTCCTGGTGCAGGTGCTTCTCTTGGAGGGTTTGGTGGTATATAAGTTCCACTGGCTAGTATATAAGTTCCACCAGCTGGTATATAAGTTCCACCAGCTGGCACATATGTTCCATCTGCAGTATAATGTCCTACCTGACTTTTCGTTCTTAAGAAAGCATTTACTAGGTCTGTTTTGGTCTGTTGTAACTCTTTTTCTTGACTTTTCACAACAGTTGCTCTAACGGCGTCATAGGCACTTTGAACTGCCTGTCTCGTTGCTGCATCTGTTATTTTCGTCATATTTTGTGCTACTTCTCTTAACTCTTTGTCGAAACCTTCAGACTTCAGTTTCTTTCCAGATGAGAAGTCGTTCACTAGTTTCACCTTACTATGAAGAGCTTCGAAGGCGTTCTTAAAGTCAGCATTTGTTAAAGCTTCATTTGAACTGTCTTCATCCGCTTGTATTTTTGTCCTTATTGACCCTATGAGTTGGGCTGCTTTAGCGTTGGCTTGGGCATCTAACCAGTCATTGTTAGCTTTTATATATTCTGCACTTTTCATTGCCTTTTGCATGGCTGCGTCGTTATTTTTACTTTCTTGTGCTAAGTTTTCATACTGTACGGTTTGGTTTTGCAACTGTAAAAGTTTTTCTGCCTTTACATTTGCTTCAACTTCTTTTTATACTCATCGCTATCCATATATGTCTTCAGGGCTTTTTGTTTTATCTCTTCATCTTTCAGTACTTTTATTGAGTAGTATGGTTTTTCAAATTTATGACATCTTGTTCCATTTTTGCTACTTCTGCTGCTTTTTCTGACACTTTTTTCGCATATTCCTCTGTACTTAGTTCTTTCAGTTGTTCTTCTTTCTTCTTTTTCTCTACGTTTAACTCATTGAGTTTCTTTGTGTGTCTGTCATATTCTAGTTTCTTTTCGTTTTCACTTATTTGCTTCTGTATGTCTATGTTTGACTTTTTGACATCTGTTATTTGATTTTTGAGTGAACTCAAATTCATTTGACTTTGAGGGTTATAGGCTGTTCCGTCTGCAGCTCCACCATAGCCTGCCATTTTCGCTAAAAGTGCCGCTCTTAAACCTCCACTCTGTGCACCAATGACTCGGTTTAAAAGCATAGGATTGCTTGACATTTGTTGCAACATAGTGGGGTCATTCAGCATTTGTTGTTGCAACTGTTGTTGTGGTGTCAGTCTTACTATTGGATGTTTCAATGCTCTCTTCCTCTTACGTATATTCTTACGTAGCTTACGTGGCATTTTAAGTGAAGTTAAAAAGCGGCTTTTGACAGATGTTTATATGACACTTTCTCCGGTTTATAGGACCTCTCTCATATTCTATCTTGTCATATCTAAACTCATAGTCATGTATGTCCTCTAACCATCTCATAACGGTTTCCAAACCACTTTTATCGGATGTAAAGTAAAAACATGGATGGTTATGTAAAACGTCTAAAGTTTCTAAAGAGTCTCTCAAAGTCCAGTCTACTTGGAACGCCCGTAACTTTTCCTGTAGCGACGATAGACCCTTACTTGTCCGGACAACAGTTATACTATTTTGAGTTCTCTACAAAAATTTTAGGGGCTAGAAGGCACGAAGTGCCTGGAAGACCCCCCTTACCCAAAAAAACCTCATTTTATATAAACTCATTTTATACTAACATCTTCGGGGCTAGAGGGCACGAAGTGCCTGGAGGCCCCACTACCTTTTTTTTTTTTTTTTTTTTTTTCTATATAATATAGGTCAACATAGTTTCGCGTATTGTAAATCACTTAAAAATATAAATATTGGAAATCAATTGACAAAAATTCCTGGTTTTGCTTTCGCGTCAACAAAGTTAGAAACATTCGAAATAACAAATAAAATAATGTTTGTGAATGGATCTTCGTTCGCATTCTGCAGAAATCTAAAACTGATAGTTCATGATGATCATCCAATATTCTGTGTTACATCACACGAACTATATATCAAGAGTTCTATGACAGTTGTTTGTGTTTTTGGCCTTCAAGAAGAAATATATGAAGTTAGTGAAGGTATGAAGAGTTTTGATGAACTCAGTCTCCAACTTTCTGAATATGACTATTTATATAGAAGAGATCCTGATACAGATGAGATCGTAATGACTCTTAATTCAGAAAGAATTCCTATTCTAAAACTACCAAAATCAGTAATTTCTCTTGATGAATCTGCAATGAGTTATTCTTTTTACACACCATTTTCAATAAATAAAACAGGATACAAAATGATCAATCCAACAAAACTCCCAGAGGAATATTCTAGATCAGGAGCATTAATGTATCCAAGGAATCCTGAAGGAATATTTCAATTATATAAAGTTTTTACAACAGAAATGACACCTGCTTCGTGGGAACATAATGTTCCAACAGCTGTGAAAAATACTGATAAACTAATATTAAATAGAGATAGGTTCAATAGATATAGTGTTATTAATCGAAAGAAATATATTGAATATGAATATGTTGAAGTCGACGAAAAAGGAAAAGAAGTTCTAATTAATACCACTAGGGTTTTAGCTGAATAAACAAATAGTTAATTTTAATTTTGAATTTTTAAAATTGATGACAATAAACCCTTCTTTTCTATTCCATAACAAAATGGTAATGTGATGCTTCACTTTCAAGAAAAATTAACGAAGTGATCAAGATATAAAAAAATCGTGATGGCTATTAACAGAAAATTCTCTAACTGTTTGTTTGAATGCATTTTCTCAGATTTACAAACTATTTTTGAAATTCTAATAAATTTTCTAAAGAAGCATTAAAACAAATGGGATTATATCTAATGATAAGAGACATGATTCAATGGGAATGTTGTCATTTTCCAAAGTTTCCGTGAGAAAATCAAGATATCAAATTATCAAACATTCTTATGGAGTATTAATGAAAAAAGTAGAGAAAAAAAATAGTGATTACTTAAGAAAATTTTATAATGGTTTTAGTTAGACTTGATCTGCTTGCCCTCCTTATCAACTGTGTAGTGGCAGTTACCGCAGTACTGGCGGCCATCCTTGTGCTTAGCAAGGAAGCAGCCCTTGCAGTGTGGGCACTCCTTGCGCTGGGCTTCGACGGAGCCATCCTTTCCGATCTTGAAGAGCTTAAGGATTTTCAGCTTCTCTTTCTTGCGCTGGTGTGGGACACGCTTCTTGGAGACGAAGTTCTTTTTCTTCCTCTTCTTCTTCTTGCCACCATCATCAACTTCGAATTCTTCGAGGACGGCGTTCTCAGCAACGGCACCAGCAAGCTCGAGGCCTGTGAAAGCCTTGAGCTCTTCGAGAGAAAGGCCAGAAGGAACCTCAAGTGTGAGGAACTTTCCAGCGAGTGTTCTAACGAAAACCTGCATTAGAAAGGTCGAACCAAGGCAAACCGCTTTTGTCACTTTTGGGATAATTAGCCATCAATAGTTGGAAGTAATTTTATGTGAACTAGTGTGCAAAAATTAATGTAAACCCAATTTACTCATCAAAATATTGGAATTAGCATAATGGATTTTTATTGGATTTTAAAATCCAATTATATGGCATAATATTAATGTCACATATAATTTCAAAATATATACTTTAGAAACGAGTTAGTTTAAGCTTAGAATTCAGGTAAATTAGAAATTATTTTTCGTAATAAAAGTCAGTACACCTTGAATTCATGAGAATATTCATAACTCTCACTAATATGACATTTGGCCTTATAGGTTTGATTGCTAATATAATGTAACAGAAAAATATTATTCTATATTTGGAGTTACGACATAAATATAAAAGAAATAGTATATATTGCTATGTTTTTGATAGATAATTCATATAGAGTAGCATTCTCGAATTTCTAAAATATATTCCGTTAGTGATTCAAATATTATGCCTATTTGACGGTACACACGGAAAAATAATGGATATCTGTATCAATAAGTCAAATCAGGGTTCTAAATGTTAGATTTTGCCTTATTTCTTCGGATTATCATTAATTGAATGTTATAGAATCAATTTTATTAATATGCTTTAGTTGTGGTCATGCGAGAGACAAAAAAAATTTTCAAAAAATTTATGGCTGAAGAACTTGGACTTTCACCAAAGTTTCTTGCTCCATATGTAGTTGACAAACAAGGCGATAAATACATTGCAAATGTTCCTAAAGTCATTCTCGAGCACCTTCGTTCACCAGATTTCACTGAAGATGTAAATCCAATGAAACAACCACAGCATGCAAAGCTTCACTTGGTTTTAACCAACAACTCTTCTAAAGACGAAAACGTTACAATCGACGATCTTGTTGAAAGAGAATTCAGCTCAGAAAAGTGGACCAAGAAGGTCAAAATACATCTTGCAAGCAAAGGCGTTTACCAGGCTAACCGTGCATCCAATGAAGACGACATCGAATACTCACCATTTGGCAGATCAGACGATAAGTTCACAGTCAAGCTCGATGGTCTTCCAGAGCCATTCGATAAAAACGATGTTATGGATCTCCTCTACGATTGCGGCTGCAACTACTTCGATAAGGTTAACATTCCAAGAGAAAGAGACTCAGATAAGCTCAAACCAGTCGCTTTTATCAAATTCGATCGACTTAGACACGCAATTCTCTTTATTGAGAACAACCCACAAATTAAGATTGGTCAGTTCATCTTAGCACCAATGCTTGTACCTTAAAATTGCATATATTTAGATTGCTTTCTTATATTAAAGAATATTTATATGTAAACGAGAATTTATATTACATTTATTGAGAGTTGTCATCTTAGAATGATTTTAATGCTTTCGAAGCAGAAATAAAATAAAAATATTTTATCAAAATAATTTCATTCATGTTAAATATTCATATATTGAATTTGTAGTTAAAAGAACATGTTTATAATACAAAACAAAATATATAAGATATAGATACAGATATATCAAGGAATCTTAACTGTTTGACTCTTTGGCTTGTATCGTTTATTAACGATAGATTCTGCCCTTGCTGTAAGTTTCTTATTTTGCTCATGATATTTAGAAATTTGATCTGTTTTTTGGTGAGAATCCGCTTGAACGCGATCAAGTTCGCTTCTTAATTGCTTTATATCTGATTTTAATGATTTATTTGATTGCTTTAAGTTTTCAATATTGGAAATTAACGTATCGAGTGTTTTCTTCTTCTTTTTTGCTTGATTTAATAGAGATTTTATTTCATCTTGAAGAGATTTCGATGTTAATTCGTAATCTTGTTGAGCCGCTTGCAAAGCTGCTGTTGTTTTAGAATTTTCGATTTTAATTTCTCTATCAAATACGTTAAATTGATGTTGCCGAATAGGTTTTTTATATACAATTTGTGTTTCGGACAAATCGGCCTCGAATTGAACTTCCTTTAATTTCTTTCTTGCTGAAAATACTTTATCTTTATATTGTTTTATATCTCGATCAAATTGTAATTTCATTGACTCGTACTCACCTTCTAAACGAATCTTTTCTGCTTGCATCTCCCCTATTTTTGCTATTAATTCAGAAACAGGGGCATCAAAATTCATTTTGACAATAAACGTCATGTTTTATATTTTTATATTTTCAGATATTGAGCATAATTACAACGATCTAATATACTGTCTATGTCGTAGATTGTTTATTGAAATCACAACATTTCAGAGATATTGATTGTTCTATTCTAGCCAAAACTCATGAGGAACCATAGGATAAAGCTCAACATGTGGATCTGTTTATATCCGGTAATCACAATATTTCAGATATTATGATAAATGACTCTAAATACATGTTTTCATAGATTGACTGAGTCTAACTAGACTTTATCATAGTTAATTGATGTATCTCTATATAACAACATCTAATATCAATGATCATTCCTATCATACTCACATTTTTATACAATATCAAAAAAATTTAAATCATGAAATAGCTTTTACAGTTGAAGAATTCTTCCATTCACACTTTGTTCTCAAAATAGAATTAAATATAATAATTTCATTAAAAAATTACCAAAATGATTTGATAAATTTGAAAATTTTATAAGAATAAGTAAACTTGAAAATGTGAGATAAAGTCCATTCAAAGTTTTATATATAAAATAAGAAAAAAATCTAAAATAATTACTTGCCAGTGGCCTTTGGAAGCTTGTCAACTAAACCGACAATTGTTGTGAAGCCTTCCTTACGGATGATGAATCTTCCGAGTTGTGGGAAGTCCTTAGCGACTTCTACGCAGATTGGGTGGTCGAATTTGAGGATGACCTCAGCCAAGCAACCGCGCTTGATGAATCTTGGGTTCTTTTCAAGCTCTCTGCCTGGGATCTGAAGTGTCCTCAGCTTTTCGACTGAAACTGGGACTGTTTCTGTATGGATATGACACATAGCCTCGTAACCAGCTGTAATAAGTTCTGGGCCGGAAGGAACGATTCTGATCTTAGCGATAACCTTCTGAGCGACATCGCAAGGAGCGTTGACTGGGCAGATAACAGATCCAGAGTTGATATCAGCCATATCAATGCCACTTAAAGCGACACGGATGTTATCACCTGGTACAGCGCGACGAATCTTGTTCTCATCGACGAAGATTGATGAGATTGTACCTAATTTTCTTGAAGGCATGACAATAACTTGGTCTCCCTCCTTGATTACACCCTTTTCGAGCTTGCCGGATGCGATGACGTGCTTTGTCTTATAGCGGTCGATGACGGGCAATCTGAAGCTATCAGTCTCATTTCGGACCGGCGGTTTGAGGCTGTCAAGTTTTTCGAAAAGTGTCGGGCCATTGTACCATGGGCACTCGTTTGATCTCTGCTTGAGGTTGAAACCTGTAAGAGCAGCGATTGGGATGTAAGTGTATTGGTCTTTCTTGAAACCGATTTCGCGTTCGATGAACGGTGTGAACTTTGTGACGATTTGGTCGAATCTTTCCTTTGACCATTTGACTGTTGGATCATCCATCTTGTTGACGACGATGATGATCTCACGGACACCAGCGGTTCTGGCAATGAGAAGGTGCTCTGATGTTTGGCCACCGTTCTCAAATCCGGCTTCGAATTCACCGTTACGGGCTGAGATAACGAGGACAGCGACATCGGCCTGGACAGCACCACCGATCATCTGTGGAACGTATGATCTGTGGCCTGGGGCATCGAGAATTGTGTATTTGTTCTGAGCTGTTTCGAAGTGAGCGACACCGACTTCTTCTGTCTTGCCTTTGGAACGTTCTTCCTTGGAAAGATCCATAACCCAGGAAAAGTACCAGCTGCCACGGCCTTCCTTGGCAGATTCGGCTTGATATTGCTCAATTGTTCTCTGGTCAACGCATCCTGCTTGGTAAAGAACGTGACCGCAAAGTGTAGACTTACCGGCATCGACGTGGCCGATGAAAACAATGTTGAAGTGCTTCTTTGCTGTTTCATCTAAAATTTCACCTTCGAATTTTTCTTCTTCTTCGATATCTTCTTCCTCTTCTGCTTCTTCCTTCTTTGGTTCTGGCTTTGGCTCAGCTTTTGGCTCTGGCTTTGGTTCTGGCTTGGGCTCTGGTTTTGGCTCTGGCTTCGGCTCTGGTTTTGGAGCAGGCTTTGGCTCAGGCTTGGGTTCTGGCTTTGGCTCTGGTTTTGGAGCTGGTTTTGGTTCTTCTTGTGGTTTATTTTCGGCTGGTTTTGATGTTGTTAAAACGACTGGCTTTGTCTCGACCTTTGGCTTGATCTCGATCTTTGTACCATTGCCAAGGGAGAGCGTGAAGCCTCCTGCTGTCTTCGGCTTTTCGATCTTGAGAGGAGTCAACATGAAAAAATGAGAGACCTCTTCAAACCGCAATTTCCCATTCAATTTAAATTTTGTTGATGAAAAGGACTGATATTTGGGGACAGAGACAGAATCCATCAACTTATCTTTCTCTCGATATTATGATTTGATTCCTATTTTCATCGTATTTCATGATATTTCTATTTGTGATTTCTGAAAATCTAGGGATCAACAAGCTCACTATCTAAACATGTATTTGTCTCCTAGAGAAGGAAATGAAATATACCTAAATACATATGCTTTTCAATGGATATCAGTGTTCGCTCATTTTATTAGACACAATTTATCACAATAGTAAGATATCGTTTATAATATATTTTTATTTCATGGCTTTAATGATGATCAGCTTCCATTTTGACTATTAAATAGAGATCGAAAGCATATCTCAAAATTAAAGTAGTTCACAATACGCTAGAAGGATATTATGTACTTTACATGAATGAGTTAATTAAATCAACCTATCAAAACTTCTATTTGTAGATAAATATTATTTCATGAATTTAAATTAACTGTTTTATGAAACCTTAATTGCTGAAACAGTTCACATATATGAATTTTAATATAAGTGTATGTGAAAATATATTACTTTCCATAGGTTGATAAAATTCAAGATAAGATTTTACAAAATAATTACGATACCTCCTTGCCATACGAAATGGAAATAAATATTTTATGTAATCTATCACTAAAAAGCAGATTTAAACATGGTTATGTTTGGAAAATTTCACCAAACAAAATCTGAAATTCTAAACGAACGTCATTAATTTATGTCCGGCAAGCAGTATTATAGAGATCTTCTTCTCCGTGTGCAGGATAAGATCAGAGGTCTTGGTGCCACAAATAAGAACAGATGGGCAGCATTCTGCTATGGCGGATCAATGAGCCTTCCAGAATTCACCGACAAAGTCAAGAAGTACAACGTTCAGTTCAATGATGGTGATATGGATATCATCTGGGATTCTGTTGGAATCAGTGGAGACATGAAATTTACAGACTTCCTTAAATTTATGCAAACTGATGTCGACGATTTCAATCCTGTTACAAGCCAGCGTGGAAGATCTGCACCTCCACAATCTTCAGGAATGTCTCAGGCTCGTGACGCTTACGAAACTCCATCCTATGGAGGAGGAAATAACTACAATCAGCCATCATACGGTGGTGATCGTTTTGGCGGCGACCGCTTTGGTGGTGATCGCTTCGGAAACGATAACTATGGCGGTGATCGCTTCGGAAATGACAATTTCGATGGTGATAGATTTGGAGGAAATGACCGCTTTGGCCAAGCTCCACCACCATCACTTGGAGGTAATGCAGATGATTTGATACACGAAAACCTCAGAGATATTGTCATCAGCTGCATGTCAAAGGATTCTCTCATGACAGGTGAAGTTTCTCGCAATGCATTCCTCGATATCTGCTCTAAACTTGGAATTACAGAATCTCTTCCAGGATTTAGCAAGATTTTACAAGCAGGAGATCCATCTTACTCCGGATTAATCCAATACTTTACAATCGCTTCAAAGATCTGCTCAGATTCTGCTCTTCCATCAACAGGTGGATCCGGATATGGTGCAGGATCAGGTTCATCATACGGCGGATACGGAGCTCCAGCATCAAAGCCTTCTTATGGCTACGATGCTCCTGCTCCGAAACCATCGTACGGAGGTGGATTCGATGAGCCAAGATCAAGCTATCGCGATAAAGGCGACAACATTTCCCTTAGAGATACAGCTCCAAAGAGAGATGCATTTAATGATAACCCTGCTCCAAGGAAATCAGCTTACCAGTCATCAATTTCATTTGGTGATGATGGTGGTGCTCCACAACCACGCCAAAGAAAGGCAGCAATGGAAGAATCCAACATTTGGGGAGATCCAGCTCCAATACAAGCCAGTCCACAACGTGCATCATTGCCAATTGGAGGTGGTTATGGTGCTTCTTATTCTGCTGCCTCTGGAGATGCTGATGAAGTTCTTGCAAAGATATCCACAAAAGTTTCTGAAGGAATTGGCAATTCTTCAGCCGCATTCAACAAATGGAGAGGATACAATACACGTCTTGTTCCAGAAGACCTTCTTAAGGGTCTTCAGCGTGATTGTGATTATTCTCCACCTCTTGAAGTTGTCAGAGAGATCTGCAGCAGATACGGTGGTGAACTCTCTCTTACAGGCTTCGTCAAGATGATGGGTGATGGCACAACAATGGGCCAGAAGAGCGCACAAGCACGTCCGAAATCTTCATTCACTCCATCAACAAGAAAGATGACAGAAGACGACCAGACAATTGAAGATATCGCAGCACAGTTCAACGGAAGAGACTTCGAATTAATTGCAGGAAGAGCAAGAAATGCAGAAGAGCTTTGCAACATCTTCAGAAGAAACAACATTCAATTTGATGAATCAAGAGTTAAGAAACTCATTGCTAAGCAAGGAAAGAATGGATTCTGTGATTCAATCCTTGTACGTCTCGGTCAGTGAATGACTTAGACATATTGCTCAAAAGGGTTTTATTTGTAATCCAAAAGTCTTTTAGATTGTGATTTTTAGAATAAATAAAAATTTTGATTCTATTCGACAATAATATCTATAATAATGATTTGTATGATATGTCTCATGATCATAATGTTCAAACTCTATTTCTTTGAGCATAAATTCCAAAAATGAATTTTCGAAAATAAAAAAATGGCTCCGCTGGGGCTCGAACCCAAGACCTTAGCGCGATCAACACTACTCTCTACCTCCTGAGCTACGGAACCTTAACAAAAAGTTTTTGATTTATAAATCCATAATAAATTTATTCAACTTTTTGTCGTGTTCAATATTGATCAACATCAATTGATAAGCCAAAGGTAGGAATGATTTCATTACATTCATTCTCATAAGGTTATATGCTGTTTGAAAATGAAATTATATCATTATTTTTGAAATTTCAATTTCATTCAACCGTGAACTGTAAATATTAACTAAAGAAGATAATCATTTAGACCTTCAATACTTATCTAGCTTAGTGTTGTTAAAATATGAATACATTAGCGGTTCATTTTCTATTCATTATCATCGTGTTTTCAAAGTTTACAAAATTATCGTTTCAAAATTTTGCGAAAAATATGCTCACTGGCACTACAATCGAAACATACACAGTTGGTCCGAAGATTGGTGCCGGAGCATTCGGTGAAATTTATGCAGTGCGAAATGCCGGTGATAATAAGATTTTCGCATTAAAAGTAGAGCCATTAAGCAATCGGCGAAATATTTTAGAGCTCGAGGCAAGTGTACTCAAGCGATTGAGTCCTTGTCCATATTTTCCGAAATTTAGGATATTTGGCAGAACTTCTACGTATTCTTGGCTTGTAATGGAATTATTAGGACCCTCTCTTTCGACAGTTGTCAAAAGATTGCCATCAGGAAGATTATCTATGTCTACTGGTTTGCGTGTTGCTAATAGTATTCTTTGTGGACTTGAATCAATGCATAAAAAAGGTTTTATCCACAGAGATGTTAAACCATCAAACATTCTTCTTCGCAGGTCAAGGGAATATCCTATTGCCATCATAGATTTTGGCCTATCTCGTGTTTATGTTGACAGAAAAACAGAAAGACATTTACCAGCTCGCGCTCATCCAGGTTTCAGAGGCACAGCTGTATACGCTTCGCCTAATGCGCATATGCACCAGGATTTGTCCCGTCGTGATGATCTAATTTCGTGGTTTTACCTCGTCATTGATGTAATGGCTGGACCTTTACCCTGGAAGAAGCTTGAGAACAGGGCAGAAATTCTTCACATGAAAAGGCGCATATCAATATCTAATTTATCCGATCAAATTGCCCATCAACTTACTTTAATTTGGGATCATATCCAAAGTTTAGGATTTACAGACGCCCCGAACTACGCATACATGCATGACCTCCTCAGGGAAGCATGTGAACAGAATAATGTCCATCAATCAGACGAATGGGACTGGCATCCCCAAATTTTGCAGATGGATGGCCATGACGAGTTCAACGCTGAGCAGAAGAAAGCATACGAATCGAGTTATACCTCAGAAGGAACAAGCAAAGGCGCAGAATACAAAAGTTCCACTCGTAGAACGAGATCGAGATTAGATTCCCGGCCACTCCTTCCAGATAAGGACGAAGAATGTTGCGACTGTAGGATTTAAATTGTTTAATAGTGTTTGTTTTATAAATACAAAAATATTAGGTAATTTTTTCATATCTTCTTATATGATTAATATATATGCTTGTGATATAACTGAATTATGTTATTTTCTTTGTATTTGCTTTGATTTCGTTGGAAATTAAAAATGCAAAAATAATAAGTAACCACGTGAAGTGTTCTTTAATTTTTCATAAAAACAAAGGTATTAAAAATTATCTAATCATATTCTGGCTCATAAAATATGTCATTAATTGTTGGATCAGATTCATGGGTTGTTGTAGCTTTTGGAATAACAACATCGCATCCTGATCTAATTTGTAGTTCATCAACATCCAAATTTCTCGGTTCACGTCCCTCGAGACGAGCAATTTCGGCAATTAATGCAGCTCGATATAGGAGTAACGATTGTCTTCTTCGAAAGCATTGTTGACGCATATAATCAGATGATATAACACATGGGATATTAATTTTTTCTGCCTCTTCCTTTGATATTTCATATTTTTGTGTATTTTCTTTTCTGACTTGCTCCCATTCTGAACTCGATTTATCCCATTTTGTGCTAACTAGCAAACCTCCCTTCAATATGTAGCCAGATTCTCTCAATTTCTGAGGATTATTGATTAATTTTTCATTATCCTTTTGGATTGCAATCGGATCTGCACGTATATTATCATATTCTGAAATAGCTTGTTTCTTCAGAAGTCTGCATATTGTAGTCCTAAGTGATGCACGTTGTCTCTAAGGGAGATATCCAGTCATTAAATCCCATTGAGTGAGACCGTTTTTCATGCATATCTTTCTGAGCACAGAGATCTCGCATGGACTATGAGAGCCTGCAAAAATATGAACAAGGAACCCATTGTCTACTTCATCATCCATGGATAATTTAATTTTTAATCTCTGAAATTTTTGTGAACCATTCAATTTCAAAGCAATTTTTGAATATATTATAAGTGAAATTATGTTATACACATATTTCTAAAAATTTGTATGAAAAAAATTGTATTCAGTTTTTCATGTAAATTGAAATATTACTTAATTTAATGTTTCACGATAATTTATGATTTATTTATAACGGTTAAGTGGAAAATTTTGTATTGAAATTTGAATTGAGAATTTGGATGATGCACTTTTTGCTATGACATGGTCTGGCGGATTTATACTCAATTGCAAAGAATAAAAAGAAAGTGCCTGCAAATAGCAGTTAATCATTTTAATTTGTATATATAAAACTATGAAATTCTTCATTATGATATGGGCCGCAAATATAAAACACATATTGAGGAGTAGAATTGAATTTAATCAACTGGAGGTCGATTACCCATTAAAAATATAAAATAAATTTCAAATATTACAACCTAAAAAGATTTATGGGAAGGCTTGATCAACGAGAGTATAATCATCGAGATAAGGATTACGATTACCCTGAGTTTTGTTGAGTTTATCGTTCCTGAGCTTCTCAAATTCAGAAGGTGGATATTTTCTATTCCATTGCTTGAGGAGTTTGATATCTCCAACTTTAGATATGTCAACCATATCGTATATCGTCATAAAATAGAATATTGATCTTGAAATCATTCCACGATCTTCAACACGAGGCATCCATCCAGTTTTTCCTTTATTAATGCATGAATAAAGGTCTGGATTTGATGGTACTGTTATGTCACATGATAAATAATCACACCATGTCTTGCATTCTGAATAAGGAAATTCAGCAAAAGGAAGATTGCCGCGGACATTATTTGCTTTAGCAGGTGCAGAATATAAGTGGTGTACATCTGAAAGCATTGGAAGCTGGCTCGAGAAGAAAGCACGTGGAACAATATGTTCTGTATTTGTAATAACTTGTGATGGTAGCTCAGATCCACCACATGGGAATTTAAATGGTTGAGAAGAATATACCATTCGGATATCTCCATTATTGCAATCTGCATCTAAATACATAATAAAATGACTATCACGATATGAATATTCTTTGTGATCATAATAAAGTCTTCGAAGACGTTCTTTTACTGTTTCTCCAACTTTAGGACGAATACTATTTGAAGAAAATAGAAGTTCAAAAAACAACCACATAGTGAAAAAGTGACAAAGATTTTGGGAATTTGCATCGACTTTGTTCTATTCTGCACACCCGTAAATTTCTTTCATTCATAAGAAAATATTTCTGAATCCGAATTTTATATTAAATAGCATTATCTTAAGATTCTGCTATACATAGCACGCTTGGCGCAAAAAGTAACAAATTCAGCCAAAAATATTTAACTCATATGGAATTAAGTATATAATGAACAAATATTTATTAAAAAAATATATTTGTGTATTTTTGAATTATTTTTTATTTGTTAAATTATTGAATTTGTAATTTAAAAATCAAACATGTTGCCAGGGGAATCTAATATCATAGGTGGTTCAATTACTTCTATTTCACTGTCATCAACATGAGATCCATGGGATTCAAGTAATTCAATTAAAACTTTTCCATTAATTAAGACATGTTCTTTTGCAATATGTAGTGCTGTTTTGCCTGAATTATCCTTCGCTTCAATATCAATGCCATGTGATATAAGTAATTGTGGCACATCACTGAATTTTTCATATGCTGATGCATGAAGAGCAGTTTGTCCATCTTGATCTTTTGCATTGACATCTAATCCAAGAGAAATAAGATATTCAGCAATTTTTCGTCACCATTTCTTGCAGCAGTGTGAAGAAGGGTTCCACTATAATAATTGATTTTATGAATGTCAGAACCGTGTGAAATAAGAAGTTTTGTAACTTCATAGGCTTTTTTGCACGCTGATTTAAATTGATTTTTGTGATATGTTCTGCTGCAACAAAAATTTGCATTTAAATCAGTTCCATGGGAAATAAGAAGTTCTGCGATGCTGGCGTTGTCATCCTCTATTGCATAATGAAGAGGTCCTTCATTCTCTCTATCTGCAGGATTTACATTTGCACCGCGTGAAATAAGAAATTCCACCATTTCTCTGTTATTGTATTTCACTGCACCATTAAGATGCTCGGTCAAATTTGAAGTATCTTTATTTAGATCTAGGCCATGTGACATGAAGAATTCTGCTTTCTCAACATTATTAGTTCTTGCTACATAATAAAGAACACCTCTTCCTTGACTATCATATACATTGATATCAGCACCATGTGAATAAAGAATATCAATCACTTTCTTAGAATTATACTGTACAGCAATAAGAAGGGGTGTCTTATTATAATAATAATCATTTGAATTTACATCCGCACCGTTTGCTAGGAGAATTTCAACTATTTCTTTCCAATTAAATTCTGCAGCAACAAAAAGAGATTTTGCTTTATTGATATCTAATCCACGTGAAATAAGAAGTTCTAATATTTCTTTCCATCCATACTCTACTATATAATAAGTTGCTGGATTGTCTTTATAATCTTCAAGATAAATATCTGCGCCATGCAAAATGAAATATTTGCAAAGAGATGGTATTTTAAATTTGCAAATCCAAGTCAAATTTTCTTTGAAAATTCTTTTAATATCATAATATATCAAGGCTGCATCAATATTATTGTATAAGTGACAAAGATATGTATAACATGGTATGTCGTATTGTGTGAGCAAAAAACTGACAAAGTCATTGTTGTGTGAAACAATTGCATAATTCATGCTAAACTTATCTGGTGTTTTATATTTAAGACATTCCATTACTATTTCTTGATTTCCTCCTAAAAATGAATATCTAAGACATGTTGTTGTGATTTTTGGTTTAAATTTAGTGATCAAAAACTTAAAGCAGTTTACAGAACCATAATAACAACATAATTTAATCAAACTATTCTTTTGAAACTCAGAAGGAAAGAAATCATTTTGAATTACTTGTTTTTCATCAAATCCACTTCTTTCTGTGAAACCTATAAATGATTTAATGTCATCTTCCATTATTGATCTGTAAATTGTGTTTTCGTTGAGGAATTCTATGGAACAATTATCATATTCGGGTTTTTTCAAATATGAAATTTTATATTTGTCGTAAATAAGCTTATCAAATCCATGACAAAAATTTTCAGAATCAACATTTTTTGGATGTAATCTTCATATAATTTTTCGAAAATCCGAAAGTATGACATCAAGTAACGATTGTTGTATTTTATTGCATATGAAATAGAATTGACCAATCTTGATGGAGAAATTATTTTTGTTTCGATTAGTTTGCTTTTGATATCTTTGTAAAATTTGTCAATTTCTTCTTCGTCGAAAGTGTGAAGCCTGTAGAATGCTCTGAAAGTATCACTGTATTCTTTCGTTAATTCAAAAAGTTCTGAAATATTAAAGTCACTCTCACTCATGATGATTTGAATTTGTGAACTGAAAAAAATTTCATAAAAATTATCGTAAAATTCATTGTTCAAAATTTTCAAAAAAAAATAGTCGCATATTTAAAGCCGAAAAATCATCAGCCAAAATGATATCTATTAGATTCTATATGAGGAATACAATGATGATGTATATGAGATACTAGAATTTTTATATGTCTCATTTTGAGATATCCTCATTCGAAACAAAACACCTTAATTTCCCATAAATATGTATTGTATGTGTATTGCATATGAAATTGAATACTTTATACATCCATTTGGTGCTACTTAAATATGTTCTATATATGAAGGAAATAGAAGTTTGAATAATATCCCCATATGAAAAAGTGACAAAGATTATGGATTTTCGTCGACTTTTTTCTATTCTGCGCACTCGTAAATTCCTTTCAAATTTGAAGTTCTATCGGAAAAGTAACATAGCAGCTTTATAGTAGCCTCAAGAGTCCGGATTTTAAATTGTATTATCTTAAGGGTGCACTTACCACTTTCTGACACCCTCTCAAATTTCCTGTTTAAGGTTTTATTTTCTATGAATCTTCACACTCGTATATCTCTTTTTGAGAGAGTGTCAGAAAGTGGTAAGTGCACCCTTAAGAATTAATTGCTCCTCTCTACAATGAATATATACCCTTAAAATCATGGGTTATCAATTTTTTTGTGTGCTATGGAGTAATAGAGCATGGTTGGAATAGATTCTTTGATGGTTTCCTGGTTACAGCTGAAAAATTAATAGCACAAAAGTATTTGAAATTATGATCAAAATTAATTGAATTCTGTCAATTTTTTTGTTAATAAAAACTTTGAGCTCCTTCAAGCATAGTTTTATTTAAGTGCTATCTATTTGGTGTCAAATTGTATTTTGGTGAATGGGGAGATCTTTATCCTACTGAAGAGCCAGAATGTCAAACTGAAAACAAGAAATATAATGTAAAAAATAATAATTTCTATGCAAAGAATGTAATATTTTGCGATTTAGGTGATTGCGGTGTAATTAATATAAATTCATTTTCCAATACTTTAATTTATTTATGCACATTTATTAATTCTTCAAGCTCATCAAATGATCAATCAGGCTCTATTTCAATCATTGGTTACCAAAGTTCTTTACAAAGAACATGCAGTTATGGATCAAATGCATACAACAATGCTGCTTTTTGTTTGATCCGTGATCAATCAGAAAGTGGTTTAAACTTTTATTCAGAAATCTCAGTTCTTTACAATAACCGTGGTGAGGTGCAAGGTCCCTGGGGAATAGAAATATTTAATGGTCAATTATCATTTATTAATAATAATATTACAAACAATTACGCTCAAATTTTTGCTGCATTATATATTTCAGATGTATCAGGATCTATAAAAAATTCTCTTATAAGCCATAATAAAGCTGAATCATGCATACTGTATTCAGAAGTTAAGGAATTGAATTATCATAGCTTAATATTTGCAAACAACGCATTAGTTCATCCTGAAAATCACGGGATAATAATTGGTCTCAAAAAAGGAAAAAATAGTTTTGAAAATTGTTACTTTGCAGATAAAAATCAAGGTGAAAACTTGCTATTTCTTGTTGATTCGAATGTTTCTTGTATTATATCTAACTGTTTAATTGATTCTAATAATTCATTGTATGGGGATTTTGATTTAAAGTCAAACACGCCATGCGAAATAAATATTTCTCTATACTTATATTCAACCGAACTTTGTCAAGGAAATACTTTTAACTTCAGCACAATTCAAATTCCAAAACCTAGAATAAGTCCATGTTGTTTCTTTTTAGGCAATCTAACAAATAAAAGAAGGTATTATAAATCAAAAGTATTTCCATACAATAAAATTAAATAGTCAAAATATCTTTTTTAATTTTTTTGTTTCGATATGTCAAATAAACTTATATGTATTTACATTCCAATGAAATAAGACATTTTACTGTTTAAAAGTTAGTTTTAAAAAAAATTAAAAAAATTGACTAAATTTAGAGAATGAATGGGAGCTTGAATGTCATGTCTGGGTAGCTCTCCAAGATTCCTTCTCCAGCGTAAGATGTCTCTGGTCTGATTTCGAATTCGCCTTCGCCTTCGAACTTGATTCCAGCGGCTTCAGCCCATCTTCTGTGTTCAGCGAGTAACAAAGCCTTTGCTGTTTCTGGGGAGTCTGTTGGTGAACCTGGAGCGTTCTTGACTGGAGCGAATTCTTCCTCTCTCTTGACTTCGACGAAGATTGGGTGCTGAGCGATATCAAGGACATCGAAAATGAATCTCTCGAACTTGTGGACTTCTTCCTTGCCTCCAACTGTGTTTTCCATCTTCTTTGCGATATGGAATGGAAGATCTGCCTTTGCAGCCTTCTTGAGAAGGTCGAGTGTAAATCCGTGGATAGCGATACTGCCGTACATGTGCTTTGCAGACTCTTCAAGTGGAATTTCGGAGTATTCGATGATGATATCTTTTCCGTTTATCTTTGCGACTGTTCCGATTCTCTCTGATGGGGATACCTTCTTGAGAACTTTCATTGCGCAGTCGGATTCTTCGTACATCATCTGTCCGATGAAGAATGGATCGGCTGGACGAGCAAGAACGTTATCAATTGGATGGCATTCGATGTACTTGACACCTAAGCGTTCCATATCTGCAAGAACTCCGGATGTCTCCATCGCTTCGTAAATTGAGCCGTTTCCGTTTGGAGCAGCGAGTACTTTGTGCTTGTTACGCATGGCAACACGTCCGTCTGGATGTCTGGCAGGCAACAACTGCTGCTGGAAGAGTCTGACATATGGGACTCCGAAGTTTCTGTTGGCCATGAGATAGGCGGCGAGGGCGGAGTGTGTCTCCTCGGATGTAAGAATGTAGACGGGGATGCCTTTCGATGATTGGTTGTAGCGAGCGAATAAACTGTTCAATTTCTTGACACGGCGAAGCTGGATTTCCAAGAGAGATGACTTGGATGGGATGTCAAGCTGAACCATGCCCTTTGGAATTGGAGAGCCGAGGCGGGAACCTTGGCCACCGCACATAATGATGACGGCGACTTCTCCGTGGCGGATTGCTTCAACACCGTTGGCGTAGATGTCTTCAGCGTTGTCGCCTGGATGGATAACTTCGGTGACTTCGAGTGTGCCTTCTGGTTTCTTGAAGAAGTTTGTAACTGGCTTGAAATCGAGCTCGCGGAGTTCATCAGCGAGGGCGTTTCTGTCGAGTTGTGTAACATCGGCATCGTTGGCGTACTTGACGCATTCCTCTGGGACGTCCTTTGGCATTTCAGTCTTGAAGACATGGAATGGGATGATGGCGGCAAGAACGGCTTCGCTGATAAGCTCGGCGCGTGTCTTGAGACCACCTGTAAGAGCAGAGATAAGTCCGTCGTCGTTGTGAACAACCGATCCAAGTACATTGCCAGCAATGATTTGACGAGCAATCTTATCTGGGACTGGGAACTTGGATGATGTACCAAATCCGAATCTTGTCTTGCCAGCATTTGCAATTGCAGCAAATGTGAAGGAATATAAGTTATCAAATTCGCGGTCGACGCCTGATTCGATGGAAACATAGTAGTCGCCCTTCTCCTCGCATGTTTCAATGCGGTTGCAAGCACCACATCTTGTCTCTTCGGCTGTCATTGGTTGTTCGGATACTTTTGATTCGGCTTTAGCTCCAACAACTGTAAATTCGACTTGTCCTTCGAGTACTTTTGTAAGGGCAGCCTTGACAGCTTCGACCTTCATAGAGTTGGTAGATGTTACAACAAACTTCATACCTAAAAGTGAATTCAAAGGAAAAAAAATTGGTAGATGATCGTGGAAATGACAGTTACTGTATAATTAATATTATATAGAACAATGTTGGAAAATGAAAGAAAGTTCAATCCGTGGGGATATCAAATGGCAAAGTTTATAAAAAATTGGATAACATGATGATGGGAATAGATAAAATGATCTTAACTTGGTTAAGGGTATAGTACAGTAAAAATTTGACCATTTTGAAAGTACCAAAGGTATCACCGATGTTTGTACGTTATTTTGGCAAATCAAAAAAAAATCATTGATAAATGTCTAATAGACAAAGTCGTTCAATACCTGAAATATAGATTATTTCTTTTAGTATAATGAAGTATACTCTTAGATCTAATATATATATGACTTTTAAGCAATTAGAATGAGTTTTAGGTCTGTAAAATATTCATTTTAAAAAAAATGTTTATTTTCCAATTGTTGAAATATATGGGACATACATGAAGAAAATAAGAGATCTGTTCATCAGATTATATATTTTAATTTTTGATATTTTATATGAAAAAAATACATTGATGATTAGACAATTTTATTTATATATTTATATAGTATTTAGAAAATATATAAGCATATTAAACTTTGAGAAGATTTTGTCTAACAATTTTGGAGAAAAAGTGTTTTCAAGTTCATATATAAAATTGAATAGTTGAAACGGTTTTCAATTTTTGCAATATTTTGTAATTCTTGATGGAGATTGATAGTTTTACAAAATATGTAGAAACTTTATCAGTATAGCTTCGACCAGAAGGCTTTGTTATAAGCAATCACGAAAATTAGTGAATCATTGATATCCATTAAAATTATTCTGAATTTAAAATTTAATTCATCCAGCCACAAAATTTCCAATTTACTATTACACTAGTTTTGATATTTCCATGTACTCATGCAAATTAAAGAATGGTAGTAGGAGAAAATTATCTTGATAATTATCGCGTACTCTATACAACAGATCACAGTGTTAATGTTGTGCTACGACAGCAATGCGAGATCATCCATGGAGACGGGTCAACAGGAATATATGCATTTGCAGGCAGTCGAGACACTCTTGAATCCATCATATTTCCAGAAGGATCTATGCTCAAAACTATTGGATTCAGTGCATTCGAAGGTTGCATAAAACTTTCTTCGATTAATTTCACCAACTGTCAATTTCTAACATATATTGGAGAAAAAGCATTTACTAACTGTCGTATACTAACTGAAGTTATCCTTCCTCCAAGTCTAAGTGAGTTATCGGGGTTAATTTTCCAAAGTTGTCCGTTTTCTGCTCTGAGTGTTCCAAATTCAGTGAAACATTTCAGAGGATATTGTCTTGCCTGGTGTGGACATCTACATACTTTAAATATCGAACCAGAATCACAGCTAGTTAGTATTGATAGCGTTGCACTTATCGGTACGGCATTAACAAATATATTCATTCCAAAATATGTGTCAAGTATTGCTGAGAATGCATTTTCAGGAAACATAAATATCATTGTTGATCCAGATAGTCAATATCTTTCAACTTCAGATGGTATATTATATAATAAAGATAAATCAGAATTTATACTGCGATTCAAAGATAACATGACTTCATTCACTATTCCAGAAAATATTACAACTATTCCATATAACTTTTTTTGCGGTTCAAGTATTACAAGTATAACATTTAATTCAAAACTGAGAACTATTGGCTTAAGAGGATTTTACGGTTCACATCTTGTTAATCTCACAATTCCAGACACAATAAAAACTATTGTTGGTGGAGCATTTTCAAATTGCAAATATCTAACTAATGTTATTATTGGAAGAGGAATTAGTTCACTACCTCCTGGATGTTTTTATGGTACCAACATCTCAAATATTACTTTACCTGATAATATCATATCTCTTAGAGAAGAAGCATTTGCTAAATGTCCCAACTTAAAAACAATAAGGATTCCAAAAAGTGTTAAAAATATTGGTGGAAATTGCTTCGATCAAGATGTCAATCTTGAATTCGAAGAAGGTGCACAGTTCTCTTTTGATTCTCAGAAACTTCTATACGATGCTAACAAAACGAAAGTTTTTTCACGTTTCAGTAGCCTTGAAAGTTACGACATTCCATCAACAGTAAAATCATTTTCCGAATCAATATTTTCGGGACTCGGGAAACTAAAAGCAATTAACTTTCCATCAAATTCAAGTTTACTTAGTGTTGCCTATGCATTATTCGATGGATGTAATAGACTTGAAGAATTTATATGTCCAAAATCAGTTACTCATATCGGTGTATATGCATTCAGATTTTGTTATTCTCTGAAAAGATTTCAATTTCCTGACAATCTAAATATCGCAGATATAGCATCATTTCAGGGGTGCACCAGCCTAGTTGAACTTCGTTTTAAGAATATTTCAAAAACATTTCGGTTATCGTTTGCTGGAGCTACATCAGTAGAAAGAATTATATTTGAGGGATCAGCCCCTACAATGTTAGGGCAATCTTCTTTTGAAGGTTGCACTAAATTGAAAACTGTAGAATTTAAAAACATAACATGTATTGGTCAATATTGTTTTTATGGTTGTACATCCCTCGAGTCTCTCGTAATCCCCGATACAATAACAACTATGGAACCTTCTGCATTTTCGAAATTGTCAATTGAGAATATTACATTTTTAGGAGAACCTCCATTAACAGTAATTAAACCAAACACATTCAGCGGAGCAACTAAGCTTATTAACTTAATTCTGCCTTCATCAATCAAAGAAATACAAGATAAAGCCTTTCAATGGACTAACTTTTCGACTTTCACTGTTCCACACGACACTCATACGATATCAAATTATACATTACAGAACTGCATCAATCTTAAAACATTCATCATTGAAGATGATTGTTCTCTACAAACAATTGGTTTTGCTGTATTTGAAGGTTGTAAATCTCTGGAAACAATCATCTGCAACAACAGCGCATATTTCACAGTTGAGAATCACGCTCTCTTCAACAAGAATAAGACTGTCCTTGTCGTCTTCCCTCCTGCATCTTCGTGCAAATTCTTCTCAATTCTAACCACCATCAGAGAGATTGCAGCAGGTGCATTCCTTGAATGCAAGAATCTCATGAACATTCTTATACCAGATGACTCCGTTCAATACATTCGTCGCTATGCATTCTCAGGGTGTATTTCACTGACACACATCAACATTCCTCTGTCAGTCATCGAAGTCGAAACAAATGCATTTGCCGATTGCATCAAACTTACATGTGGTGTTGATGTCGAGAACAAAACAGAGTCATTTATCAATAATCTTTACGAAAACTGTTATTTGAATAAAAACGCGATCCTTGAATGCCACTTCATCACATGCAAGAAACCAGAAAACCGGATATATTTTTCTCCATTGGCTGTCATCGCTATTTGTGCAAGCACATCACTTGGTCTTTTTTAAATAAACATTTTATATAATAATTTTTTCCGCATCTTATAACACAATTAATTTATCTTGCATTTGCAAAAATGACAAGATTTTATTTTTATTACTTTTTAAAATGTTCTCAGTTTTTCATAATACAGAAGATACCAAAACATCATATGAAACAGAACATAAAATTGCAATCCTAGGAAAAGATTTTTAACAATGTTTTTAACGAATATGTGAGAAAATCACTCAAAAATTAAGAAATATTTCACATTTTGCAATTGCGCAAGGTCAACATGGAGAAATTATAATTACATCATTTAAAATAAAGTTTTTGAGTTAATATAAATATAAACAAAACAATTTTTATTATAAACATACTTAATCTGATAATGATAACATTGTTGATGTGTTTGCAAATCGTTTGGATTTGGAAACAGGTTCTATTGTTGATTCAGGAGAGTCATCTGAAAAATAATCTTGGTTTTCATCATATTCGTAATCATAATCATCATAATATCCATCATCAACAAATATATCTCTGAATAGAGTAGACTGGCAATTCAAACTCTTCGCGGCAGCAACAGCAGTATCAAATTCGATTTTTGCAATATCATTTGATATAATAACAGTATATATAGTACCATAATGATCAAACAATGTTCGAAGATCAATTTCTGTGACACAACTTTGCAAACCATGTAAAATAACAACTCGATTATTATAATCAATATTTTCTTGTAAAATACTCTTCTCTAATAATGTTTTAGCGCCTTTAACTACTTTTTCTTTTCGATTTCGTCTGTATTCGGCCTTGTTTCCGCGATATTTTTCGACTTGCAATGCTAAAGCAGCTTTCAAGAATTTGATTTTATCTTGTTGGATTTCTAAATCACGACGTAATGGGGACTGTTTGATTTCTTCTATTCTTTGTAATAATGCTTCGATTGCATATGCTGTATCATCATACATTGTTTGTAGTTCTTCTAATTCTTTCTTTCCATCATCAGTCTCTTTTCTAAGAAGATCTATATTTTCTGGTGATAATGATTCTTTTAATGAATAATAATCATCGTTGACATCATATAAGCATTCTTTTAGACGATTAACATCTTCTTTTGAATAATGTAGTGGAAATATCTGAGATAAACCAGTGACTGATAAATTATTTGTATTGTAGATTTCCATTGCACCAAATCTTTCGTTTTCTAATTCACTTAATCTTTTGCGAAGAATTTCGTTTTCTTGTTGGAGATCTTTTATATCGCGAGTGAGTTTATAAACATGATCGTGAAGTAATTCTTGACGACTGTAATATCGTTTTTTGTCATCATGAAGTTCTCGTGGAGTTGGAGGGTAAATTTCTGTGTATGGAAACCTTGATATTGGTTCATGTGGTGCAAATTCTCCTGTTTTATAATTTATGTCTGATAAGGTATTTACAAATCGATCACGAGTTCTCTTCTTTCGAGGAGAACGTAGTGAAGCTGTAATTTTAAGGAAATTAAAAAAAGACGTTTATAAACAAATAAAAATTCAATGATGATATTAAAAAGGTGTGTGTTTGAGTGCTTTGGATATATTGTTATTCATTATTGTAATTGTTTCTCTAAGAAACATATTGATTATGGCATTTTTTGATAATGATTCTACTCCGATTTTCCCAATCATCTTCAATATATCATTTGATATCGTTCTACATGAAATGGTTCATATAAGTATTTGTCATATATTCGATCTGAAACATTGTCTTTAAAATAAAACTCAATTGCAAAATACCTCAATTCTAAAAATCAAAAAATCTCTTGGCACATATGTTTGAACTCTTGATTAAGTATGTTTTAACAAAGTAATTTCTATATACTGCACTAATCAATAACTCTTCAAATATTTATTAACCGAAACACGTATGATTAACAATGATATGTCTATTGGCTTGAGATGGGGTAAGTTATTCTGGTCATTATGAGTTTTAATAATATATAATAAATATTTCCCAACTATGAACAATGAATATTAATCTTACCGAATAAGAGTATGAATGAAATAGGTACCAAATATATAATTATCATATGAATTGTCCTCCAAATCAAGAATATTCGGATGATTGTTTTATGAATACAAATTTTAAAGCATGATGGCTGTAATTTCCTTAAGGAACTCAATATACATACTGTTCTTTGCATAAATGTACGCGAAGAATTACTGACCCAATTAAAAGAAAGTTATGAGGCAAAACGTTTGATGAAAAATATGAGTATGCCAAAAATCTCTGAAGTAAAAATTATCAGTTTGAGCATTTATATGCATATGACTGTAATCGGAATAGAAATTGCGATCCGATATTGGATGATTTGTCAAATTAGATGTTTATTCAAAACCAAATTATATTTTAACTGCATTCATCCATCTCAATCAAAATTGAAAATTTATGTTCAGTTTAGCGGTCTAATTTTGAGAAATTTCTAAGAGACTCGATTTTTGAAAAATCTTTATGAAAACTAGTTTTAGTATGTTTAGCTCATTTGCATGAATAAACTTTTTTGAAAAGGAGAAAAAGATGTGCCTGTCACATCACAATTAGATTAAAGAATTAGGACATATCAAATAGAGCAATAATTTTTATAGTAATTTTAAAGTGATTGGTCGAATTTTTGTGAACGCACTTTCGGTGGGAAAAGTGACAGAAAAATTAAAATAGGAAATGACCACACACTTCTCAAAAAAAACGATGAGTGTGTTTTGATATCCATGAATTGTTTGGACGTCTTATGTATTTCTATTTTCTTGTCTAATGTAAACATGTCGAAGTAAGCCAAAATATTTTAAAAAAATATTAAACAAGAAACACATAAGCCCTTGTTATTTCACCAATTTTCTGAACTTAGCGGCGGTGATATATTGAATGGCGAACCGAAAAATCTTCACAAAAGCATTGTGAATGGCGGGCGGTTTTGACAATACGATATTAGTGATATAAATATGCTTGCAGCATACGGCCATCGCTTCCAGACAAAATTCCTTGACCCAAAGGATCGCATTTTCCCCAATCTCTTTGGTGACGAGGGCGCTGATTTGGCTTCTGCACAAAAGCGTGGAGACTGGAATCAAACAGAAGAACTTATCAAGAAGGGCAAAGAGTTCATTCTCAACGAAGTCAAGAAGTCCGAAATCCGTGGACGTGGTGGTGCTGGTTTCTCAACAGGCCAGAAGTGGAGTTTCGTTCCAAAGCCAAGTGGCATCCCACATTATCTCTGCATCAACGCCGATGAAGGTGAACCAGGCACATGCAAGGATCGCCAGATTCTCACAAACGAGCCACACAAGCTCGTAGAAGGCGCTCTTCTCGCTTCATACACAATCCACGCTCACACAGCCTACGTTTACGTTCGTGGTGAATTCCGCCATGAAATTGCCTGCTTACAGAAGGCTATTGATGAGGCCTACGCTGCTGGACTCATCGGCAAGAACAACAAATTCGGATGGGATTTCGATATGTACATCCACTCCGGTGCTGGCGCTTACGTTTGCGGTGAAGAGACAGCCCTCCTCAACTCCATTGAAGGTAAGGCAGGCCGCCCACGCTTTAAACCACCGTACCCAGCTGCAAAGGGTCTTTTCCAGAAGCCAACCATCATCAACAACGTCGAGACCATCTCCTCCGTCCCAACAATCTGCAAGCGCGGTGGTGACTGGTTCTCATCCATCGGTATCAAGGGCTCAAAGGGCACAAAGATCTACGCTATCTCTGGCCACGTCAACCACCCATGCGTTGTTGAAGAAGCTATGGGTATCCCAATCAAGGACCTCATCAACAAGTACGCTGGTGGTGTCCGCGGCGGCTGGGATAACCTCCTCTGCTTGATCCCAGGTGGTCTCTCCTGCCCAATCCTCACAAAGGAGCAGTGCGAGACAGCAGTCATGGGTTACAACGAGCTCTCCGCTATGGGCTCTGCTCTCGGCACAGGTGCTATCATCGTTATGGATAAGTCTACAAACCTTTACGAGGCTTTCAGACGCGTTTCTCACTTCTACATGCATGAATCTTGCGGTCAGTGCGGTCCATGCCGTGAAGGAACAGCTAAACTCTCCGACATCATGGACAAATTCGCTGAGGGAAAGGCCACAAAGCACGATTTACTTATGCTTAAGAAGGTCGCTTACCAGACATCTAACTGCATCTGCGCCCTCGCTGGTGCTTCTTCTGACCCAATCAAGGGACTCCTCAAGCAGTTCAGACCAGAGCTCGAAAAGGCTTGCGTCGCTGAGTAATTATAAGTATTTATTTCACGTTATTTCATAAATCATACATATATCAATCGAAAAACTTAATTATTTTTATTTAATACTCTGCAAGAAGATTTCCTACATCTACTATTAATAGATGATCTCTCTATGACATTCTATGAGTATTTCTTCACTATCCTAAAAATATTTTTCATCATGAAATGATCGATTCAAATATTTTATATGTTTTTCCAATAGAGATCACTATTTTGATTGAATATCATATTTGTTTGATTGTTTTTGAGCATATATTATTAATAATTGCTTTATGAAATTATTAAATTGAGAATAAACAATGAATTTTATAAGATATTTATAAAATACATATAAAATATAATATTTTCATAGATTTAATATTTCATGTTACTTCTTTATTAAACAAAAAATTAAAAAGTTATTTTGGATTTTTCTAAAAATTATTCCAAAATTGAAACAACTTCAGAAATAATAAGAAGATTTATATGAAATTTGAAGAATTAGAAAAAATTTGGAATTCAATGATCTCGAAAGAGGAAGGAATGTGCTAATTTTGGCAGCTCTGATGTAAAAATATTCATTTTTAATGATAATTTAAGGATTTATTATGAATTAGTTCAGTATTTTTAGGAGCAATTGGCCATCATTTATACAAGGATGATACCTAATAACATATTCAAAGGGAAATCCTATTGAAATCGACATTTTCTAAGATGAAAGAGAATAGAATTTTAAATGTGAGCCAAAATTATTCTGTATTACAATCAAAAGCATATTTGGCTAATGTGTTCCTGATTAATCGATGCATTGAGAAAAAAATATTTCCCAAGAAAAGTTGAAATTCAAATTAACATAAAACAAAACATACATAATATTTATTTAGTACAAAATAAGTCATAACAACATGATTTTATGCAAAAATTTCATTCTCTAACAGCATATTTGCAGCTGCATTTACAGGAGATTCTTCTGGATACTCATCAACCAGAGATATAAGGATGTCCTGTATTTCATTCGCTCTTCCAATCTCAGAAATGTATTCTAAGTCATCTCCGATCCAATTGTTGATTTTCATCAGTACTTCGGCTAATCTGTGTTCACTAAATTGTTCCATGGCGTCAATAATGTCAGAAATGGCCTCATCAAGCCAATCTGGTTTTTCATTCAGAGAAAGTGCATCGGAAACGGATTTAACAAGGATCTTGGCTATTTTCTTCTTCGATTTATGATCTGCATTTGATTCATAAAGTTTTACTAAATCTGAAAAAATATTTTTTCGATTTAAGTCGTCAAAACACTGGTTTTCAATTGTAATCTCAATGAAATAAGCTATTTCGCTCAATTCCAGTGAAGAATCGTTTGTCGCTTTGAAATATGACGAAATTTTCTTAATAAGGGGTTCGTAGTTATTTAAAAAGAATTCTGGGATACGTGATGATAGACAATTAGCTGTATTAACGATTGATGGGAAGAATTCGTCAATTTCTACAGAAGGAATTAATTTTCCAAAAATGTGAGGAAAAGTACTCTGAAGAACAAACGTTCTTGTGATAGACAAGTCACATAGATGGCAAATAACCCATCTGATCCTGTCTTGCGTGTAGTTATCTGATCTTTCGTAAATATTTGGTAAAAATTGTAAAATTTCGTTGTAAACTAAAATCCTGTTCACATATAATTGGTCGAATTCTTCTGTTTCAAATTGAAGAAGCTGAGGAACGGCTATTTCTGTAAAAATGAAGAGAGAATTGATTGCGTACTGCTCGTAAGCGCTACGTGATTCCTTTTGTAGAATTTTAAGGATATATGTGAGAAAATCGTTGTTGAAAAGAATTTCTGTGAAATGGATGCCAATTGTTCGATCAGACATCAAATTGATGAGAAAATTGGTGAATGGGCATACTAATTTGTTGTTTTCAGTATTGTAGTTATTCAAAACTTCTTTGATAAAACCTTCATCCAAAAAATCAGAATTTTCTTTGAGATTTGCCATTGTTAAGTAGACTAATACTAATAAAATGTTATGTTTAATGTCATTATCTTGGACTTGTAGAAATTTGGTGAAAATCGAAAACATAAAATTTGGAATATCGAGTAATTCGTTGATATTTGGAATTATATCACCTTGTAAAATGTTTAATAATTCAAGAGTGCTATTAAATCCAGAATTTGGATCTAGAATATTTGAAATAAGAGGTTCAATTTCTTCATTTTCAATGATTGAGAAGTAATTCTTGCCTTGAAGATCGCCTTCAAAGAGTTCCTTTTCAAGGTCTATGTGTATACTTGTGTCCCAATGATGAACATCTGATAAATCCTCATCTTTTTTAAACTCCATTTTTAAAATCTTTCACTTTTTTTTAAATTTTTTTGTGAATCAAAAATTCAGAGAATTTATAAATCACATCAAATCAAGAGTTCGAAACCAGTTCAGACCGAATTTTTAAGAGCCAACGAGGACAATATATTCGAAGGGCAAGCTCAAAAATAAACAATTCCCATAAATCTACCTCTTTTGAGCTGAATCAAACTGTTTAGTCGAAAATGTTTGTTATATAAATCTGAATAATATTTTTAACATTCTCAAAAGATTTCGTCATCCCCAGGACATCATAAACCATAAACATATGCATTACTATAGCATTCCAATGTACCTGCTAATTCATAATATCGGTTTCGTGCATTTCTATCATGGAATCATCGACAGTATAACGAAATTTCGAATTATTATCCATTTGTTTTATTCTATAGGAATTGCGTAATGTAGAAGTAACTTACCTTCACTGCCTCATACTTCAAAATCTTCATCATCATAATAGTATGATAATTCCATTTTAACATTACCACTTTCTTCTGCATAGTCAAGAGCCATATTCCCTTTATTATCGCAAGTTTTCTCAGGATTTTGCATTGCTTTCATTCAATGAGAAAATATTCGCAATAGGAACCAGTCTATACGAGTACATATTGCTATAGACAGTTTTCTCTTTAGATCCTTAGATAGCAAGATATAAACATCCAAAGCTATCTTCAAAATTAAAAAGAAAATGTTGAGTTGAGTTTAAAATCAAAAGAGAAGAAGAGGTTACAATGATAAAGGTGAAAATAACTTTTAATATAACAAAATAAACAAATATAATAAAACATACATATAAAAAAAATAATAATTAATTATTGTTGTCATGTTTGAGTTCTTCAAGCATAACTGATGCATCAGGCAGCTCGTCAATTGCTATACCTACGAACTTCTCGTTGTTGTTGACCAAAGTCACAGGCATAAGTTTGCAGGACTTTTCCAAGTGTTCGGCCATGTACGCTTGCATTATGACCATGTTTGGCCTCAGAATCGATAACATGGCCCCCATTGTCCCTAACTTGTCCAGGAAGGGGTCTGTTGTCATTTGAGGGGAGAAATTGTTGGATTCCTTAGCGGAGATCTCTTTTCCATTGTATTTGGCCGGAACTGATGGAGGGAGGAACTGAACGGCTTCGAAATACTGATCTACGTCTAACATCACGGAAACTTGCTTAGTATCTGAACCAGCGTCTACTACAGAGTAATCTTTGATGTATTGGAGTGCTCTTGCTCGATGAACTCTCGTATTATCTGTATTCGTAAATAAAAGTAAGGAATAACTAATTGTTGCTGCAAGAACAAGGCAATCATCGTCTCCTCTGTATAATTGTGTTAATCTTTGGTTCATCTTTTCTTCCATTTCGTTGATTGGTCGCATTATATCGTTGTTTTCCATGGCGCAATAGACCAAAGTGCCTCCGAAGAACTTCCTCGATAAATATCCTTTGCCGTTCTCGATCGGAGGGAACAATTTGAGTGGAATTGAAGTTTCGATCATATCTTTAATGGTATTCTGGCATAACGTCGTTGCATCGTCGTAGAATGATGATACTTCTAGCGATTTCAGCTCGAAAAAGATGTAATGGTGCTCATCAAATGTTATGACCGAAGCTCTGACGTCAACTTTGAGGTAATTTCCATCGGAAGTGATTCCGGACAGTATCTTTGAGGTGCAGCCGCTCTTCTGTGATAAAATATCGTTGATTCTGGAGAAAAATGACTCTTGAGATTTTGATGGAGCCTCTCCCTTGATAGTAAACAGCATTGTGTAGTGCTGGCCGATGATCTGCTCCGGTCTGTAGTTGAACATCTCTGCAATTACGCTTGTAAAGGCCATAATTGAGAGATGATCGTTGATAATCAGAAGAGGAGTGTCAGTAGAGTTCAAAATCTCAAAGATTGGAGATCCTTTCATCCATGGAAGTACTCCAGATTTGCTGCCAACTATGAATTCTACTAAACATTGGTTTTGTGCAATGAAAATTGGGTCTAAATCCATAATTAGCCGGCCAAGCTGGACTTTCATGTCATCGGCATCGAGGTATCTGCGCCAAAACAAGGCAAACATGAGAATTGATGCCATGACATATACTAAAACGTCCATTCCGCAAAGGAAACCAAGGTGGGCGATCTCTTCAGTCAAGTAGCTGTTGTATAGATATGTTAAATTTGATTTAATCGGCCTCAAAGTCTGGAAATTGATATGAAATGAGTGAATGTAAGGGGATCCGAGGCCATCGGTGACATTTTTAGCAAGAGTACCGGTCAAATATCCTATTAAAAGGTATAATTGCTCGAAACTGATCTGATGATAAAATTCATGAAGGCTATCAAACTCTTCTGACTCGATTTGGTTCGATCTGGTTGCATTAAGTATCTCGTACAATGGAACACTTGTCTCGTTACTGTCCTTTATGTAGTTAAAAACATCATTATACAAAGTCAACATATTATCTATCGTAATTGATGAGAAATCGCTTGTTGTGTTTGCAAATTGGTATGCAGCGAGCACGGAATTCAAAGAAATGGCCGAATCTATGTCAAGTTTTTCGATACTATTGACAGTATTCAGCAAAGAAGAGATTTCGTAGTAAGATTTATATGTAAATGCCCACAGTAACATGTTGAAGAATGCATATCCGATCATTACACCTAAACTTGGGCTTGTTTTAGGGATTAATGTTGAAATTGGAAATTCTTCAATTTCTTCGACGTATTCTTCATCTTTAGTATCATCAGGGCTCTGAGTATGAAGTCTAAAATATTTTTTCAGGTCTTCCGAAATTTCTGACATGACACTTTTTCTGAAAAAGTAGACAGTGAATGGCTCTGCTGCAATAAAGAGGACAATAATGGCAACAAGGATATATATTAAGACGTTTGATACGGATTGGACACCTATGTAACCATGCACGTATTCATCTATGTAACCGAATGTTTTTGCGACTAAATTCATGATATTTAGAGTAATATTCGAGAATTTATACGCTCTTTCTCTGATATGCTCCGCGATTGTTGAGTTGTAAGGGTCGGAAGCATTGAGATCATCGATAAAATTACTGACATACGTGAAGTAAAAGAGTAATAACGCTTTTACTTGAAATCCTTTGTCCAAAGACTCAGTTATGTTATCAGCGTACGGGAAATAGTTTACCTTATCATCCAAGAATATCTGTCTGATGTTAGAAAGCGGAGGAGCCTCAGAAAAGTACGAATTTTGGATAAATAATAATCTCATCTGCACAATAAAGTCATTTAGCGTATCATTGAGTTGCGAGAATAATGTCTGGATGGTAACAATCGACGACGTGTTATGTTTTATCGATTCCAACAAAGATTCTTCAGTTACAAGATCATATACGCTCTGATTCAACGTTTGGCATATCGTAATTGATATAAACACCCACTCCGAAGCTACTTTGCTTATTTCTGATGAGAAATTCCGGAATTTTGAGATATCTCGCGTTCTTTTCAACACAAAAAAGGGATAGACCGAACAAATCGGGATAAAAGCAACAACAACGAAACATTGGATCCAAAATATCGCTTTGGAACGGTTATTTAACGGTTTCATTACGTGTTTTGCGATATTTGATTTGATATTCATCTCAATTTGCGTTGCTTTGATGACAGACTTCTCTACTTCGTCGTCTCCGAAGAAAAGACGTGCGAGTTTGTCAACTCTAAGCCCAACAAACTGCGCATATCTTATTTGGAGATGAGTCATCGGTAAATCTATCTTTGTATCGCTTATTGTTGTGCAGGCTGGTATGACGTTGTACGCGAAGTCCTGTTTGAGCTTCAGAACCATGTCGTTGTTAGGATATAAGCAGTTATAAGATCGAAATACTTCGGAAAAGTCCGCAATCTGGCGGTTGAGCTCTAGAAGTGCTGACATGGCTGGTTTGAGCTTGCCTCTGATCATACTGTCCCAAAATCTCTCGGCTTCCATTTCATATGTTTGGTATTTTTTCATTAGATCGTTTTCTGGAGAGAGAATCGTATCGCGTTCGAGTTTACATACGGAATGGAGAAGTTCGAACAAGAAAAACGACTGAATTGTTGGTAATTGTTTGAACATATGTAAAGATAAAATTGTTCTCTTGATGTTTTGTAAGGTTTGAGGGTCGTCTGCGTATATACATTTAAGATATTGATGAATGGCAAGCACTTCGAGCCTTGTTGACCCTTCAAATATTGGGTCAATTTGATTTAACAAATTTTTCGTAATTTTACACTCTAAAAGTGCTTCCTGTACGTAAAGAATTGTTTTGTCTTTGTCAATTTTGAGTTGTTCTAGAGATTCGAGGTCTTTGACCAATTTCTTTCCTCTGTACTCCAAAATCCAGTAGAATATGGCTATTAATAAGATCAGAGAACCAGCCGATATAAGGAAAAATATTGTTTGGCATTGAACATTTGAAAACCAAATTGCGCAAGGAGTAATGACCGCGTGGCTGATGTCGATAGCGATAGAAACTGCTGATAGGAAGTGCGATAAGTAGGGGAGCCTGTAGAGTCGAACTGCGTGTTGAATTGCATAAATAAAATAAATAACTGAAACAAGAGTTTGAACAATCTTAGAAGTAATGTTAAAAACTTGTATTACGTAGACTATATCCGCCAAAAAGTGGTAAACGCAATTATAATTTGGAAAAAGAGTTGTAGGAAGATGAGCTTTTGAAAAAAGAGGATTTTGAAAGAGAAGTGGGGATAATGAGAACGTAAACCATGTAGCCAAAGCAATTACAATGATTTCTAGTAAAATTAAAGCAATTTTTGAAAAAGATATGTCATCTGTTTGGAATAATGCAATTTGATAGCCGATAAACATCGAAGGAAGATAATAGTAAACTGCTGGATTGTATAAGAAAAGAATTCCACGAATTTTGAGTATAAATGGGTGAATTGCTCTTGCTTTTTTATAAACGATCCAGATTATACATGTAACAGTGGCTACAGCAATAAAACAAATCGTAAATATATGAATTCTGAATGATTCGAAGGATAATCCCATGATTTTAGTTGCAAAACCTAAAATTATAGTAACTATACTTTTAAGTTGAGTATTTGTCGACTCATCTGAGTTTAGGGTAACAAAAGGAAGAAAACAGACTAACCAACTTTGTAAATATGAATACAAAACAATCAGACATGAAAAAGCGCCAAGAATTGGTTGCTCTGATAGTAATGTAGAAAAGAAATAAAATCTGGACGGATAAGAAGAAGGATCAATCCGATTTTCGATATCCGTGAGTTTACTAAAAAAAATTAAAGTTTTTATGCAAGGGGGTGAAACATTTTGAAAATTTTCAATTGAATATTTATGCACTTTATGGAAACGATTATATAAACAAATTACTCGATAATGCCAAAATTAGGTTCTCTCAAAAATTGTAACTTTTTGATTTAGAAAATATTCATCGGAATAAAACGGAAATTATAATAATTAATATCTAATAAGTTCCAAAAATTTTTATGAAGATTTAATTGAAAGGTTTTGAATTCTATGAATTTATCACGCACAATTATTTTCTACAATTCTTCCGAATAATTTATAAATAAATTTTACATTTCAATTTCTGTTTTCTTTTTTCAAAGAAACATGCAGATGAATTAGCCAATTTTTTTCCATTTATATATATATCATTTATGCTGTTGCCATCACAGGATTCCAGGCACCCAATATTTTGCTCAGATTTCATGTTTCTAAGTAGAAAATTCAAGAATCCGAGATTGAATAGATGTTAAAAGAACTCAAGTATTAGAAGTCTACTGTATATGTGTTAAAGGCCAGGAAAATACTAATACATAATTTTTTAAGTCTATAGAAACATTTATGGGGGGTATTATTATTGTAGTCTGGCGGTTTTAGCCGACAATGCAAATTTTCGAATAATAGAGTTTTTGGCCAGATAAAGAACTACTCCATATATCTTGCGTGTTTGCACACTATATGCATAGATGGAATTGATGTTCTTACTTTATTTAGGTACCAAAACATGCTTGTAAAATCTCTTTTTTAGACGTCAATGATAGTTTTGTCACTTTTCCAGACGACATTGATAATTTTGTCACTTTTCCATGGACTGAGCAATAGCTTGTTTCTATTAAATACAGACTTGCTTCTCTAAAATCCCCAAGAATTCTAGAAACTTGAAGAAACTACTATCCAAGTCATATCAAACTCGATACATTTTTGCTATTTGTGATAAAAATTTTGAATTTTAAGGGGGCATTTACAATTTTTTTGACATCTAAGATTTTTATCTCATTTTTCTAAGGTAAAAAGTTAATATTTTTTTGGTCGAGAAAAACATATTATAAATCTTTATATATTACATAGTATGACTGTTAAACTTTTTTTGGTATTCCACTAAGGATATTTTGATTTTGTAAGAGCATGTCAGAAAGTGGTGAGAGGTTATCGATTTTGTAATTTAATCGTCGTCGTTATCGATTTTGTAATTTAATCGTTATCGTCTTTTTCTAAACGTGCATTTTTACATTAAAAGCAATGCAACTCCAAAATTAATTGGTATTTAGACTTTAATTAGGTGCAGACAAACGAAATGCAGTCCAAATATTTTGGTGATATATGAATTACATAAATTTAGGGAAATTGAAATTATATCTTTTTAAATTTTTAGGAAAACAGATTTATAGAATTGTTTAAGTCATCAAAATAATGCAGACTTAGGTCAAATTTTCCAAATTTAATCATTTGCAAGACTTTCAAGCGACTTCAAAATGTCGAAATATAAGTCCAAAAATAAAATTACGATTACAGTCTATCCTCAATTATTATCACGCTAATTATTGAGTGACCCATGCGTTCGTATGTATGTAATACCTTTTAAAAAGGAGATGAGAGAGATAAACTACATTTACAATTTAAATCTGATGTATTTACTTGTTACATTTACAAATGTAAATGTTTCTCGTAATGTTTACATTTTGTAAGTATAACGAATAAAAATGACGCACTTTTTTTACAAAGTCAAATTATGCGATACAACTTTACTTGTTACATTTACAAATGTAAATGTTTCTCTAATGTTTACATTTTGTAAGTATAACGAATAAAAATGACGCACTTTTTTTACAAAGTCAAATTATTGTTCGATTTTTGCAGCTTGTAAACGATCAATTGTATAAAGCAATTGATATTAGCACGACATAACTGAATAATTCTAATATTGAAATCAAAAGCCCTTAAAATATCATGATATTTTAATTTCATAACAAATCTAGGAGACTATTTGATGAAAACATATCCGATGTGGGTTTTGTTGTATTATATAACTTGTTATTGACTTCTTAGCTTTCCAAATTTTTTTCGATAATGAGAAAACAAATGAAAAATCAACATTTGGTCCATTTAAAATTTGATTTGTTTACATTTTTTTTACTTTTTGAATTTCAATTTATATTTTCCTCAAGAAATACTTTAGATTTTAAGAAACTAAATCATATAATCTACTAAGAAAATATATTAAATCCTATAATACTCAAAGTTTTGTGATAAATCCGATCTTTTTTATTTTACTTTTATTATGTTTTTGCAAACTTAAGGTCCTCACTAGGTAAAACATAATACTCTTTGAAGTTAAGTATTTTCACAAAGAGAGGACCAACAATATCAAAAGATTGAATAAAGATTTGTATTATTTTATTTATTTTTAAGAACATGTTTAAGAACCCTCATTATCTCCACGAATATTGCATATTTTTCTATTCTAAGACCACCAAAATTACGTTTTAATATAGAAAATAACATATTTATGTGATGCTAAAGTCGAAGTCCTTAAAAATTAGTGTTAAACATCCATTTATTACAAAATTGAAGAAATATGTGTAAAATATAACACATAATTTAGTTATTTGACTCAATTATTAGTTATGCAATATCGATTGTGTTTATATCTGCGTTATATCACGAGATGCATTGAATTGTCATAATTAGATCACCGTAAATCTTATCAATTTTTGATACACTTCCGGTGAAAAATTTAGCCTTGACAATAGGATGAAATATATTGTAAAAAAATAAATTTTAGATTTTGAAGTTTATCATTTCGAATAATGAAATATAAACAATACAAATTTTCTGTCGTTTCGAGATTCATAAATGATCGGAATCTTCCAGCTCCGACTGAAATAGAACTTTCGGAAGCTAATTTTCAAGGAGTGCGGGACAAATTTGCCAAGTGTCACCTTTCAATAACCTTAAATTACGCTTTTCTAATTTTTAAAAATAACCTTAAATTATATTTGAGGAAATTATGTCTATGATATATGTTTTATGCTAGAATCTTGGAGTTTTCATGCACTACACAAGAGCTCCAAGGTTCCAAGAGTGAATGCTCAATAGCAATTATAGAGATGTACCTTTTCAAAATGACTTTTACTGATTAAATTTAATCAATAGAAGACATTTTGAAAAGGTACCTCTACAATTAGATATACAAGAGATTCAAAGCTTCATTTCAGATAGATTTGAAACTTTGAAACTCTTGGTAGATTTTGAGTGAATGCTGACAATCATCTTTGAGAAGGTTTTCTTAAAGAAAACCTTCTCAAAGAGGTTTCTCAGGAGCCCTGAGGCTCCCTTTCGTAATGATTGGGAGCCTTGGGGCTCCTGAGACGAAGAATGGCTTCGCCGAATCTTTGATCAGCAGAGGCCAAATGAAAAGGCCTCTGCTGATGGATTCTCAGGAGCCCTGAGGCTCCCTTTCGTAATGATTGGGAGCCTTGGGGCTCCTGAGACGAAGAATGGCTTCGCCGAATCTTTGATCAGCAGAGGCCAAATGAAAAGGCCTCTGCTGATGGATTCTCAGGAGCCCTGAGGCTCCCTTTCGTAATGATTGGGAGCCTTGGGGCTCCTGCAGCAGAGTATCGCTCCGCTCCATTAATTTTTTTTAAAAAAAGTGCCGTGTGGCAAATTTGTCCTGTTCCCGTATGATTGGTATCATAAATTAATTGATAAATAATTTGATGAATTTATCGATTTAATATGATATATTGTAATAAACAGAAATTCATCAAAAGTGACAGCTCTCAATTTTTTGACATTTGTAAATTCTAAATTGAATGAGAAAAATGAAATAATACTAGGCATAATACAATATTCTAGATTTAATTATAATTAGGAAAAAGTTAGTTTTGAGAGTACTTTTCATAGGCATATAGAATGAAATCTTCTGAAAAATAATATCACATAAACTGTTGCATGCTAAGTTCGGTCAACAATAGGAATTGAGGGGAAATTAATCGTCGAGGAAGTACGATTATGTAAAGTAAAAATGTTGTGGGATTTTTAATATTGTATATAATTTTATAATAAAAATTTTGTGAGACATTTTAAGAAGCACATATAATTTTTTGAATTTAAAAATTAAAGTAGTGTTGAATGAATTTAGTGATTAATTTAATACGGATATTTCTCAAAATTAATCAAAAATAGGTTTTCAGAGAACTTTTGAGATATCTTTTCAAAATGTCTTTTTGAAAATATATAAGTATTATATCAAATTGAAAAAAGGTATTTATCAAAATTCTAAATTCTTAATAAAAAATAACTTTTCAGAGGATTGTGATTTTGAAAGCATGAGTAATAAGTAAAAAATATCTACGATTTTAATGAGGGAATTGTTCCTTATGAGGTATACATTATAACTATATACCTCATAAGGAACAATTCCCTCTTGATAGCTGGGAAACTTTCTCTGAATAACTTATCATTTGGAGAAAGTTTCCCAGCTATCTATTAGAAACTAAAGGCTGTGAGGCACTAATATATAATCAGTGCCTCATAGCCTTTAGTTTCTTATTAAAAACGAGAAAACTTGTTCGAAATGATAAACAATTTCGAACAAGTTTTCTCGTTTTAAGGAGGGAATTGTTCCTTATGAGGTATACAGTATGAATATATACCTGATAAGGAACAATTCCCTCTTGATAGCTGGGAAACTTTCTCTGAATAACTTATCATTTGGACAGAAAAAGTGACACTTTACATGGCAAAAAATAGAGCCTTACTTTTGAGATACTTGAGATTGAAACTGAATCTTATGAGGCGGTGATCTTGAATCACTACCTCATAAGGTTCAGTTTCATATAAAATTTGTTGCAATTTGTTATTCTTTTGCAATTATTTCTTATAAGATTTTACATCTTTTAGCGGGGAATGTTTGTTATCATGTATATATTATAAATATCTACACGATAACGAACATTCCTCGCTAAATTGCTGAGAAACTTTGAGGAAATGTCGAACAATTTCCTCAAAGTTTCTCAGATTTATATAGATCACTAGAGTCCCCTAGGCACTGATTCTGGTTCAGTACCTAGGAGGCTCTAGTTCTCTAACGAACTGATAAAATGTTTTTAAATTTTTGGATATTGCTACCTGTGAAGCACTGACTTCAAGTCAGTACCTCACAGGTAGCAATTACATTGAAAGATGGGAGAAACTTTGTCCGAATATTAAACTATTCGGACAAAGTTTCTCACATTTGTAGTGGAGATGGAAGGCTTTGAGGTATATTGTATTAATATATACCCCAAAGCCTTCCATCTCCACTTGAAAGTGTCCAAACTTTGGGTTAATACTTTGCAATTAACCCAAAGTTTGGACACTTTCTAGGAGGAATTGGAGGGTAAGAGATATACATTCATATGGTATATCTCTTACCCTCCAATTCCTTCTTAAAATGGGAGAAACTTTGTCCGAATGTTAAACTATTCGGACAAAGTTTCTCCCATTTTTTGAAGGAATTGGAGGCTATGAGATACTGATGCAATGTCAGTAACTCATGGCTTCCAATTCCTTCCTAAAACTCATAAAAGTGGACATTACATGCATATAAAATTTGACATGTAAAGTCCACTTTTTGTGAGCGGGGATTTGACTCCGTCAAATCCCCTTTTTCGTTTACGAGAAAGCCAAATTCTCTCAAAAAGTTAAGTAGGACCAATTTTTTATAAAAAAATCCAATTTCATTATGAATGTTAATTAATTTATATAATTATTGAATAAAAAATTTTCTTTGAGATTATGAAAAGTTCTTTGAAAAGTTATTTTTTCTCATTTTTAAATATTGTATTAGCCTATTTATTTATAATCCAAATTAAATAACTTTAAATTCAATATTTAAAGAATAATTTTGAAGGAATTGAGTTACTTCCCCCGACGATAAAATTGAGAGGTTTACATTTTGACCGAACTTAGCATGCAACAAAACTCATATTATTTTCTAATATATAACTATTTTATATAAAAATCAAATTCAATGATCTTAAAAGCGAAGCATAAACCTCAAAATTTACGAATATAATGAGTGGGAATATAATGCTTATCTATCATAAAACCATATGAAATATCAATTTTTGCTTTACGCCTAATTTTTGACGACAATTAGCAAAAAATGTTAAATGTTAACACTCAGTCCATTTGAATATGAAAAATAAAATTGACTTTGATTAAATGTTTTTATTTATCATGCAATTCTTCTTGCGACCAAAGATTTGAATAAAATTTCAAAAAATAAGATAGCTTAAAAAATAATATACGGTAGTGTTTACTAATAGATGAATAGTATATAAATTCTATTAAAATGGATTTGATCCAAAAAAATATAAAACCAAAAATAATTGTTATAATTTAAATGAAGAAGTAATTTAAAACGATTTTATTTATGATCAAATTTTATATATTTTTTTGGGTATAGTCCACTAAAAATTTTTAAGTTTTGACAATGAAAATAAGCTCTGTGACCATGTAAATATATATCTATGCAAAACGAGAGGTTATGCCATAATTTTTTTTAGTTATCAAATTTTCCTTTTTTTGAGAGAAGTCTCTCAATAATTTGAGAAGAATCTTTGATATAAAGAGATACACATTTGTAGAACGAAGTAAGTGTTTTCCAAACATTTTATATGTTCATCCTGTATAACAATATAAAGCTGCATAGTGCCATCTTCTGCGTTTGCTATTTTATGTACTTTTCATTGAGATAATCCCTCTTCTCGGGTGATTTTAACAGTCAACTCAATTTTAGAATAAAGATTTCATCAAAATGATTTCGAAATTCGGATATTGATTATATAAATAGCACTGTTAACATATTTTGGATGAGTAAAAAATACCTTGTTTTGTATGCATTTAGTACACCTTTATTTTTGATTAAAACTATAAAATTTTTATTCCTTATATAATAAATAGTATATGTTACATAAACATGAAATTCAATAGCATTCAATTTTGGATTTTTTAGATTTAGTAAATTTTAGAAGAAATAAAATCGGCAATCAAAATAAAGAAACTTTTTTTGTATCTTCTATGATTACCTTTTGGTACTAAATTTTGCATTAATAAGTAAATTATCTGTATTATTCTGTGAGCACAAGCCCTCAGTTATGCTGGTAGTGAATGAGGAATCGTCATTTTGCGAAGAGAACGCGATTATTAAGGTAATTTTGAGAATTGTCTTGAATTATTTAAAATTAAAGTTAATTGAATAGGTAGGATAACTAGCCTTTGCTAAATTTGTATAATTTGACCTTATTCTAGTTGGATCTGAGAATATTTTGCTGAAATAATAAATTATATCGCCGATTTATGAAAATTTCTCTGATGGGACCGACTCGCTGAAACGTATTAGTGTTAATGGTAACTTGTCTGAATTTTCAAATTTTTTTCGAAATCCAAAAAATCACAAACAAAAGCATCAAAATTAGATTTGCATTTAAGGTTTTCATTTTTTTTGGAAAATAAAAATATTTTTTCCCCAATAAAGTTTATTTTTACTTTTGAGAGGAATAGAAACGTTATTTTGGAATTTTGAAACGACAGAAATGTTCCATTTTTAATAGATTCTTTGATTGAACCGTTATCCATTGAAAAACCTCGATTTTAAAATGTTATTCCAAAATATTCATCTAATGATATAGTATATATTTATTAATTATTACTTTTTATTCAATTTTCACTTTTGGCGGGATTTCATTTTTTTTGTTGTATGGGCCATATTGTTCACCCAAAACGGAAAACAAAGGCAATGCATAACATTTTACTCCACGAACGTCGTCGACTCTCAGCGCGACAGATGCTTGGTGCTTGCATAATGACCGGAATGCCATATACAAAAGGTGCTCGCTTTCTTTCTCTTTGTGGAACTAAGCCCCCTGTGAAGAGTGGTGTCATGAGACAACAGAGATTTTGTGACGATAAGATTAGAAGACTTAAAAGTATTTCCCTAATGCTGTCGAGAAAGTCCTTCAGTGGTTACTTATCCATTGATGCAAGATGGACGCACAGGCGAAACTCGCCAAGTTGTACAGTAACTGCGCTCGATGCTGTCACAAAAAGAGTTCTTGCATGCGTGAACATCAACCATATTGGTGGAAACAGACAGCATGCTCAGTATTCCGGAGCTTCCAACAATATGGAAAGTGCTGGAACTCGAATCATCTTGAAGCAATTAAAGAAATACAATATCTTGAAAGATGTTAAAGAGATTATTAAAGACCGAGATAACAAAAGTGTCTCTGTCTTTAAAGAATTTGGCGTCTCTCATCTTGAAAGATTCGATCCAGGTCATGTATCAAAAAATATCTCAAAAGATTTTACAAAGTTCTCAGCTTCTCATAAGACAGTTGAAGTTTTCAACGACAAGACTCAGAAGATTGAAAAAATAGAGAGACCTTTCTGGGGTCTGAATGCAAGCCTAAGTATGTGGCTTTGGTCATGTTTTGCCGAAGAAAATATTGACAAACGTACGAAAATGTGGGAGAATTGTGTCTACCATTACGTAGGCAATCATTCTTTTTGCGAACCGCACAATTACAAATGCTTTGAATGGCAAAAAGGTGTCAATTCGATCCAACTTCAATTCATGCTCTATGACTGGGTTCACAAATGGACACCCATAGTTTCCAAAGTTTCTTCCATTGGATCTACCTGCATGAATGAAGCGTTTAACTCCAAAATTGCATGCTATTTGGACAAATCAAGAGCCTGGAAGAACATTAACATTAGAGTTAACGTTGCAATCTTAGAATGGAATGATCCAGAGCATTTTCTCGGAGATATACAAAAAGCATTACATCTTCCCCCACTTCCAGAAGATTGTGTCAAATCATTTGAAGAGAATTGTTACTCCAAAATGATATTGAAACAAAAAACTGTTACAAAAGGTTCTAAAAAACAGAACAAATACAAAAAATTCATTCAGAGTGTACCAGGAGGAGATTATCAAGTTTTCAAGTCCGAATGGGAATCAGAAGACGAAGACATTGATGACTTTGATTAACGAAAATTACATTTTATTTATTGTTTTTGTTTTTAATTAAATTATTATTATGCTCATTTTCTTATTTTGATTTTTTCTCATTATGATATAAATAATTTATTAATGCATTTATCCAATAATTATGCTATGATATTTTTATGCCTTATTTCATTTCTCTTATATTTGATAATCTGGTAAAATATAGTTCAGACTATAATCATTTTAGATTATTGATATATTTATATAGGTTAGAATAAAATTAGTTTCATTTTCTACTTTTATTTTGAATTAATAATTTATAATATCAAATATTATGGCGTAACCTCTCCTTTAAAATATAGATATATATAGGCCTATAGAGTTTATTGGCACTCTCAAAACTCTAGAATTTTGAGTTTACTATACCCTTAATATTTCAAATTAGATTTTATCAATTTATGGCACATATTTCACGCTTTCAGTATAATGTTGAATCACTATTAAAATATCTTAAATTTGAATAACATTACCATTTTTCATTACATGAATATGACATAATTGCTCTTATGAACTATGATATGCTACTTCAATATCATAAGCAATACATCTGACATAATATAATTGATTTTTATAAATGTTTTCTTTTTCAAATTCCGTTATTTGCAAAACCATATCTGGTTCATGGCCTTATCTAACAATCCTAGCGACAAGAAGCATTAAAATTATAATATTTCTCTTTAATTTTTAGTCGTTTGAGAAAAATAACTTTGATAAATGCATGAATGCAATTTCAGTATTTAAAAAAGTATCTACGACAAATAATAATTTCCACTATTATATTTAATCGATTTTATATTTAGAGCCTCTCAATATAACAAAAAAATGTAAAAAAGGCCACAATATTATATTAGTTTATAAATTGAAAAATTAATACCTATTACTTATAACAAACTGATATTATAAACTAAGGATGTCAATTTGGAAGAAAAGTGAGAAAATTCCTAAAATGCTAAAAATGAATTTTCCAAACGTACGTTTTTATCTCATTTTTTTGATTTTGAAAAAAATTTGGAGAGAAGAACTCTTCGTTTTTGAATTTTATCACGATGGTTTTAAAGTATATTAGACGCATGTATTGGTATTACTATTTTTGTATATTTTGAGAGAAAATCCCTAAAAAGTGAGAAAATCTAAGACGGTTTGAGAAAATATATAAACTATTGAAAATTTGAATTAAACTTCTAATTTGGAAAAAAGAAATTTGGAAAGAAGAAAATTCAAAAATCGAGATTTAGACTCAGCATCAAATGGAGAACAAAATGTTTCTTCATATGAAGGAAAAAAATTTTCTTGTGAAGAAATAGAGTTTTGAAAATTTTATTGTATGTAATGAAATAAACAAATATTAAAATTATTTTTTGATAACAAGAAAATTCCCAATAGAAAATATTTGAGAGAAAGAAAAAAGAAAATTGAAAAATATTACTCTCCTTTATATTTCATGAGATTTTAAATTTATTCTCATCAAATTGACAATTTTATACGTTTAGATGAAAATAATTGATTTTGCTTGAAATAAAAATTATTGTTTGTTTACAGCTATCAAATAGATTTTTGCTATTTTGATTAAAATTTGTTAATCAAATTAATAAATTTTTTGTAAATATCTTAAATATCTGGATCACTCACTGATACAATGAATTGAACGATAAAAATAATACAAACTCAAAAAAAAAAAAAAAAAAAAAAAAAGGGAGTGGGGCTTCCAGGGGCTGCGCCCCTTCTAGCCCTGAAGATGTTTAAAAAAAGTTGGAATTGAGGTAAAATTAGATGTTTAGTTTCATGGAACTTGACTGTCCATTGCATCTGCCATTTGTTGGTCGTCTTCTGATGGTGTTCTTGAATTTTATTCTTCTTCGGGTACAAATTCGTCATCATCAGGTGAGTCTTGTGGTTCATCTTCTTGAGTAGAGTCTTCTTCTTCAACATCAAAGTCATCTGGTGTATCGAACTGAATGTATGAAAGCCAAATGTTGTATGTGTTTTCCAATTGGCTTTCAAACTTGAGATACATTCCATGCATGAGTGTTATTTCAGTTTCAACGTAGAGTTGCTGACGTGGCTTGAAGACATGCATGAGAATTGGTCCTCCAAATTCGTCCTTGAAAAACTTGCAGTAGCAAACATAAACTGAGATAGAGTCTCCTTCTTCAATGTCTTCTGCTTGGTTAACGAAATGAATAGCAATTTTGCGTACTTGAATTGTGTTGTTGTCTGAGTAAAATAATGGTTTGAACTTGGGGTTGAGTGAGCTAAGACATTGCCATTTTGCTGTTTCTTGTCCGTACTCACGTTCTTCTTCGTCATCCTGATATCCGTAACTCTTTAATTTGAATTCGACCCAAAACTGTTCGACTTGTTTTGCAGCTTTGGGTGGAAGACTTTCAATAAGCTGACATATAGTTCTGTCAACCATTATCTTTGTTATTGTTGGAAAATAGTTGACAATTGTGTCACCTAATTCGAATGGGTCAGGTGTTTCTTTTTGTAGTTTGGTAAAGTCTGCAAGAACTTTGTTGAGTTGTTCACAATATTCTTTGTTAAAAGTTGCAGGAACTCTTTCTTCTGGCTTTGAATTGAAGTATTCTTCAGACAATCTGAGTAGTATTTTGCGTAGTTCAGCGTTGCTGTGGTTCTTTGTAATACGGAGCTCGTTTGGTATTGTTTTTGGTAGTGAAAGTGGCTTTGGATTGAGCGAATTGTCTGTTCTGCTTGGAGAATGTGTAGATGCTGCAGTTTGATGTTGAGGCTCTAAACCTGTGGGTGCTGAAAGTTTGCAAGCAATTTCTTCAGGTGAATTTGGAGCGAACACGCTAGCGAATGCCATTATGAAAAATAAACTGTTTTTTTTGGACTACTCATAGAAAAGTTTAAAATAAACCGTTTTCGTCAACGGTAACCCCCTCTATTTTTTTATTTTATTTAATAGTTACCGTTGGCAAACCGTTCCATCTCAAATATTGAATGAACTATAAACGTTTTTTGTTTTCTATATATACTTTTTTGTCCAACGGTAAAACTTTTTACACAACGGTTTTTGAGAGTCGTCGCCGTTGACTTTTTTTGTAGAGCACTCAAAATAGTATAACTTTGTCCGGACAAGTAAGGGTCTATCGTCGCTACAGGAAAAGTTACGGGCGTTCCAAGGAAGTATACTTTGAGAAGCCTTTTCCCCTTATAGAATGAGATAGGACGGTTATTTTACAAAAATGACAACACTTTGACCGAGTAGTTTTTTGTGCTGAACAAAAAGTGTCATATAAACATCTGTCAAAAACCGCTTTTTAACTTCACTTAAAATGCCACGTAAGCTACGTAAGAATATACGTAAGAGGAAGAGAGCATTGAAACATCCAATAGTAAAACTAACACCACAACAACAGTTGCAACAACAAATTATGAATGACCCCACTATGTTGCAACAAATGTCAAGCAACCCTATGCTTTTAAACCGAGTTATTGGTGCACAAAGTGGAGGTTTAAGAGCGGCACTTTTAGCGAAAATGGCAGGCTATGGTGGAGCTGCAGACGGAACAGCTTATAACCCTCAAAGTCAAATGAATTTGAGTTCACTCAAAAATCAAATAACAGATGTCAAAAAGTCAAACATAGACATACAGAAACAAATAAGTGAAAACGAAAAGAAACTAGAATATGACAGACACACAAAGAAACTCAATGAGTTAAACGTAGAGAAAAAGAAGAAAGAAGAACAACTGAAAGAACTAAGTACAGAGGAATATGCGAAAAAAGTGTCAGAAAAAGCAGCAGAAGTAGCAAAAATGGAACAAGATGTCATAAATTTGAAAAACCATACTACTCAATATAAAGTACTGAAAGATGAAGAGATAAAACAAAAAGCCCTGAAGACATATATGGATAGCGATGAGTATAAAAAAGAAGTTGAAGCAAATGTAAAGGCAGAAAAACTTTTACAGTTGCAAAACCAAACCGTACAGTATGAAAACTTAGCACAAGAAAGTAAAAATAACGACGCAGCCATGCAAAAGGCAATGAAAAGCGCAGAATATATAAAAGCTAACAATGACTGGTTAGATGCCCAAGCCAACGCTAAAGCAGCCCAACTCATAGGGTCAATAAGGACAAAAATACAAGCGGATGAAGATAGTTCAAATGAAGCTTTAACAAATGCTGACTTTAAGAACGCTTTCGAAGCTCTTCATAGTAAGGTGAAACAAGTGAACGACTTCTCATCTGGAAAGAAACTGAAGTCTGAAGGTTTCGACAAAGAGTTAAAAGAAGTAGCACAAAATATGACGAAAATAACAGATGCAGCAACGAGACAGGCAGTTCAAAGTGCCTATGACGCCGTTAGAGCAACTGTTGTGAAAAGTCAAGAAAAAGAGTTACAACAGACCAAAACAGACCTAGTAAATGCTTTCTTAAAAACGAAAAGTCAGGTAGGACATTACGCTGCAGATGGAACATATGTGCCAGCTGGTGGAACTTATATACCACCAAACCCTCCAAGAGAAGCACCTGCACCAGGACTACCTAGAACATTTACATCGTCACATGGACACAGACACAGGCATGCACCAAAACCAACACAACAACCAACAGTTCAAAATCCAACACAACAACCACCTCCACAACCAACACAACAACCAACAGTTCAAAACCCTGCACAACAACCAACACAACAACCAGCACAGCAACAACCACAAACAGAGCAAGGACATAAAAGAAGTAGAGAACAAGGAAACCAAGAATTCTTAAAAATGCTTAAAGAAGAGTGTGGTTTCCCAGATACTGTTGACTTTAGTGACAGATATAAAGAAGCTATTGGAAAGTTCAAGGATGGAAATACTGACCCGAACCTATTTAGCTTTATGGCTCAGCACCAAAACGGATATAATCTCAAACCTGGAAAATACAAGCTCGTTAAGGGATATGATTTAATAGCATATCATCCAAATGACATGGATGAATTTACTCCGAGATATTTGATGTCAGAGCTAAATGACAATTCAACTTTCGTCATGAAACGCGTAAAAAATAGAGACGGAACGAAAGAACAAAAGCTTATGAATGCGGATGACGTAGATAGGGAAATTGTTGAAAACGGTCTCGGAATATATGAAATGCCAGCAGATGAGGTACAAGAAACTCCACAGGAAGAAGTTCAGATACAACCAGACATGGAAGAAATAGTTCAGCAACAACAGCTAGAAGAGCCTGAAGGAAACGAACAAGTCCTTCCTTTGGAAACTAACTTCACAGAACTAGATGAAGATTTGGAACAGCCGAAAAATCTTGACCCTCAACAAGAGTATGCGGAGAATATGGAATATTTCCAAGAGTCTAAAAAAAATTCGGCTGACATAGTAGAAGAATATCGAAAAATGTTTGCCGACATACAAAAGACTCCAACACAGATGAAAATATTCAGCATAGAATGGAAGACTGAAAAAATGTACACAAATACAACAACCCTTTTTACTTACGAGCATTTAACGTTCAATCTTCGGATGAACTCGGTGAAAATAAAAGGTTAAATTTCAAGAAAACATATAGAAATGAAACATTGTTTAAAGTTCATTCAGAACCTAACCAAGATGGAAACAAACCTACTTTTGTTTCTGCAGACGATGGAACTACAATGAGATGGGGTCATAAAGCTAATCCGGATAGGTGGTTCATAAACTTACAACCACAATTCCAAGAAGTTGTAGACGCAATGGAAGTCAATGGTGAACCAGATGTAGCTGGTATTTTCAGCGCGGCTTTAATGCCATTGAAAGATATGAAAGATGCAGATATTTTGGACCAGTATGAAATGAACATGGCTGATGGAAATATAACACCTGACGTTCTAGAACATTTATCTCAAAGAACTACACAGAACCATAGAGATGGTATATTTGGTGAAGAGTTTAGAAAGAAAGTTAGGGAGATAGAAGGAAGAGAACCTATTGTACATGACCTTGCAAACGAAAGTTTACAAAATGTCATAAAAACTTACTTTGCAGACAATGAACCGAGAAGGGATGAATATTTAAGAAAACTCAAATGGACAGTACCAAATGAAATGTTAGTATTGAAAAACATGTTCCTTGACAAAATAAAACCAACTACAGAAATAAACGACGCAAGACTGAAAGATTGGGTAAAAGCTTTCCCATTCACAAAAGATATAGTTGGTAACATGGAAAGAAAACCAGAATGGCTACAAAAACATATATTTGGAAACGAGCTTATTCCATATGGACAGGCACTGTTTGAAGAGCTTGAACCGGAAACTCAGGAAAGAGTCATGCAAACAATACGCGAAGACTCAAATACAACTATGACAAACTCTTTCTAGGATATAGGTTACCTGAGATGGGCGACCAGAGCCAAAAGGCAAAAAGGACATGGGAAATTTGCAACATACTAGATGAACATAATGCAAAGATGCAACAACTTCAAGCAGAGGGCAATGAAGGAAAAAGAAGAGTTAAAAACTCAGTCAGGAAGAAAGTAAAGCTTGGTCCACGTGGGTTCTATTATGACATATAAATCCAACTATTCTATATTTTTACTCATATGAAATGTACGCCGCTCAGAATATAACGCCAACAGTTTTGGATGCTATGAATGGAAATGTTTCCGAATGGTATAACGAATGCGACAATGCCATTAGAAGGTCAGAAATAGTTCCTGGAACTTACGAATATACAACTGCTGTTTCTTATGGAAACGTAGGTGAGTTTGGAGAAGGTTCTTCAACAACAGTAGATATTGCTTGCGACAGGTTTCATATAATTTCTATTGACAACTCATTCTTATACGTGGAACAAGACATTGAAATAAAACCTTCTGCCAAGTTGTCTGACAAGAAAGGTTGCAATGGAATTTTCTATGTCGGATACCAATATGCTCCAGAAGTTTTCATGGGATATAAGATATATTCTAACTCTGACTTAGTTCAAACAGTAACATGGGCAAACTATGAATGGTTCGCTTTGAGAAACTCAGTACAACCACAAGCTAGAGAACAAACAGACCAGTATGCAACTATTGAGAAAATAAGAAGACTTGACCCTAACGTTCCAGGAGTTTATGTTAACCTTTCTGGACAAAATGCAGCAGCAGTAACCAAAGTAAAATTGAAACTTAGAGTTCCTTTGTCATCTTTCCTCATCTTCAGGTTTTTAAGATACTTGCCAAACTGGGCAGGAAAAATTTCTATCGAACTTACTCCAAGCAAAAATAACTTAGTCATTGCACCAACACAAGACCCATTCACTCTTACAGAAGTAGTGGGAACAAATAAAATGTCATTCGCCGACTTTTGCAAAAACAAAGTTGACTTAGACTTTGGTTTCTCAAACCTCAACACTGAAGTAAACTATTATTTCAATGCTGCTGGAGATGCTTGGGACCCAGTTAAGTTCACATGCGAAAAATTTGAATGCAAGAGAATAGAAAGCAGACTTGCAGTCTATATGTTGGACCCAGATATTTCAAATGCTTTAGCTGCCAAATATATTGCAGTTCCACTTATGTTCCCTATACACCAAATATCTGTCAAAGACTTTGCAGGTGAAGTTGGAAACCAAAGTGCTGACCCAGGTGCAAGAACAGATATTGCCTTAACAACTGCAATGAAACATGCAGATACTATGTTTGTACTGTTCAGACGAACTATAAATGACTATTCTTGTTTCTACAACCCTGGTATTAAATATCATATAAACATAGATGGCAAATATTATCCAAGAGAAGAATATTCTACAGTTGAGGATATGAGGTCATACAACTTGACATTAGATGCTATGAACTTTAACAACAACTTCACAACAACCATTAACCCTGAAATGCAAAGTTCTATTATGCCATATGTGAAAGTATGGACTCATACAGGAGGTCAAAAAACTCAATATACAAATGGAGACCGTTCAAACTTTTGGCTTGGCATTCCATTTGCTGACTCAGAAGACTTTATGGGTGGTATTTCAACTGTTGGTACAGTTCAAATACAATATACTGGTGACAGAGACGGTCCAGATGAATTGAAAGCAAAGAAGTTTACAAAACCAATAGCACTTTTCACGGAAGATGCTCTTTTGAAGATTCGTTCGATGAAACCTGCTGGGGCTCCTCAGATTGGCATAACGACAGCTTCCATCGAGCAGATTTTGGCAGCAGGTCAGTAAGTTGTTCTTGAACTGACTTCTCTCCGTCAAATATTGACAGTACGCCAGTTTTGACATAATATTGTATTATAAACTTACCTTTAGAAATATCGTCAGTTTTGTTGTTATATTTTTGTCTGCTTCAAGAACTTTCACCATCTCGGTTATACCAACTTTCTTTGCTTTATGAAAATATTTTGGTTCAGCAAAGACTGCTATTCTATAACATTTTCCATTGTTTGTATAAAGAACTATTCTGTCAATGAACTTGTATTGTTTGTGTGTGTAAACTTTGTTCTGCTTCAATTCGAAGAGATACTCAAATACGTCCATCTTTTTATTCTAAGTAAAATGTCATTTCCGAAAAATAGAAGCGTAAGTGTTTCAAAAGGTTTAATGGCGGTGGCAGATGTGAAGTTAAATTCACCAACTCAAACAAACAGTCAAAGTGTTGTTGTCAATGTCAAAGAAAGAGATGTTGAAGTGGGGAAACCATACGAAGACGAAGATGGTATAACAATAGTTCCTGTAAAAGAACAACCAACATATCCTGAAGTTAGCAGAGACTTAAGTTCTGTTGCAGATATTCGAAACGACTACCAACAACTTAAAGACAAACTTAAAACTCAGGAGAAGATTTGTCAAGCTTTGGGTATAATGTTAAACTTGGTTGAGCACAACCCTGTAAAAGTGAACTCATATGTCATCGCACCTCATGAAGTTTTGAAAGAACTATTGAAACTTTTGACAGAGGCAGACGATATAAACATCAAAGAAATAGAACCCGACATTGCTTGCTGTGGTGTTTCATATAATGTCATTGACAAGATATACGTTATGAAAGGAGGTGAAACGTTGAACTTAAAATATAGTTTCCCAGACGTTATAAAAATATTTGACGACCACAACATTTCATTAAAATTTATTTGCTAAGTAAATGGCAGAAGACATAATGGTTTATACTATTACGACTAAAAACCCTGAGTCATATAATTCTATAACAACAAACTTACAAAGTCCTCAAGGACGATATTGTAAACTAACCTTAAACACAATGACGACTAAAGCCTGTTTTGCTCTTTTGACACCAGAAGACTTTATTGTTGTGAATGGTAAAAAATACTCCTTTGAAGATACTTACTCAGATATACCACCAACAGGTTTTGTTGACTTATTTAATACTTTAAGGACGGATGTAACATGTGCTGCAACTAGAGCAGGTTTCATTATGTTTGGATGTCCGACTGAGTTTAGTATAAACGATATGAGCTATAATACAAAACTTATATCTGGTTTTTACTACCAACAGTTTCCTATAACAGGAAAAGGTGTCATACAAGGAATGTCTATTCCATTGACATTAAGCACACCAATCTTATATATTGTTTCAAACTTAGGTTCAAAGTGTTATTCGAATGTCGACAGAAACTACTATGACCAAAAGATACTTATGCGTATAAACAATACTTTCTCTGCTGGTTTGCCTATTGTTCATTCGAATGCAGAATTTTCAACCTTAGTGAACTCAAACACTTTGGCAAGTATAACGTTGACATTAGTTGACGCAAACTTTGTTCCTGTAAAACTTTTATGTCCTATGTATTTGTCAATGACGGCAGAAAGTTTCGAATTGGAAGATGCAACTGGTGAAAGTATTGTATTACAAGAACAACTTCAACAACAAATAGCTCAAGAACAACAAATGCAACAAATGGAACAACAAAGTCAAGAATAAAAAAAAAATATTTTTTTTTATTTTTATAAAAATGTACAGAATAGATGTTTCAGATTTTTATGACTTCCAAGCATTCAGAAATATGTGTCCATTTAGAGACTATAACAAAGCAGTCGAGAATTTGAAACGTTTAGTCATTTATGTTGACTCTGCCCCAGAATGTTATGTCATGAAAGAATGGGATGTTGTCTTTAACAAACCAAGAGCAACAATAGTTTCAGAACAAGAATGTAGACAGAAACTTAAGAAAATAAAAGTCGTACAAGTTGGTATGAAGATGTTAGATGCTTGGGATATCTTATTGTCAAAGTTAGAAGATTTTTCAGTTCGAGGTATAAAGTTCTATACACCTTCTCCAAACTTCTATTCTATCTTCACTGGATATAAATATGAACAAGTAGAATGGAAAGAAAATATTATAGAAGCTTGGTTAGACCATGTCAAAGAAATTATATGCAATGGAAACGAAAAGGTTTATGAGTATATCTTATGTTGGTTTGCAAACATCTTACAACATCCAAGTGCTAAAAATGAAACTGCTCTCATTATAATTGGAAAACAAGGAACTGGTAAGAACACTTTCTTTACAGATATTTTGTGCAAACTGTTAGAAGGTTATTCGAACCCGAATATGACAAACTTAGAAAACATCTGTGGCAAGTTTAACTCCTCAATAGAGAATATGAAACTTATAGTTTGCAATGAACTTCAAAGTATAGATACAACAAAAGTTTTAAACTCAGATGCTTTGAAGAGTCTTATAACAGACAAAGTTGGAGTTGTTGAAAGAAAGTATAAAGACCAAAGAGTTTGTGAAAATGTTGCAAACTTCATTATGGTTTCAAACAATGCTGTTCCGATGAAGTTAGAAAGTTCTGACAGAAGATATGTAGTTGTCAGAACGTCAGATTCTCATATGCAAGATACAGAATATTTTGACGACTTAGCAGAAACTTTGACATCTGACTTTTACAACCACTTGTTCTCATATTTTATGACATTAGATATTTCAAAGTTCAATCCAAGACAAATTCCACATACCGAAGAGAGACAAACGTTGTTAGAAGCAAACAAGAGTGTATATGAACTGTTTATAGATGAGACTAACTTTGAGTGTTTAGATGAAAGGTCATTGTACGATTCGTATAAACAGTATTGTCAAGAGTATGGTTATATGGCAGCGTCTAAACGAACATTCTTGGCAAATGTCAAAAATCTTTTAGATGTTCAGAACGGCGTATATACAAAGAAAAATTTTTCTGAGTAAATTTTAAAAAAATATTTTTTTATCCGATAGAAAAGATGACGAAATATATTTCAGTCAACAAATATATGTCAGGACTTAAAGAAGAACTAGACCCATTCGCTTATTTGAATGTTTACTTCTACCATTTTGAAAAGTCTACATTTGACAAAGTTTGGAACATCGAACCAGTTAAGTTTGCTATTGTGACTAAAAATGGTGCGAAATTTGAAGACTTAGACATAGAAGGTTTGTTAGCAGTCAAAGAAAATTTTGACAGAAGGTTCTCAAACCTTAAAGAAGGCAAAGCATACAAACTTGTTATACCTTATGAACCAAAGAAGCAGACGACTATGAATATTATGAGTCTAAGATAGTTGAAGTTCAAGGTAAATTGGGTAAAAAGATTTTAGAGTCTAAGCCAGTGTTTGCTCCTAAAGAGGAAGAGAACATTGACATTGACCCAGAAATGTTCTAAAAATAAAATTTTATTTTTACATGTCAAATTTCTTTTTCTCTGGTTCAGGTTCTTTCTTCTCTTCTTCTACTTTCTTTTCTTTCTTTTCTCTTCTTCTTCTTCTCTGGTGGAGTTATGTCAAACTTCTCAGAACCATATTTTTGTAAAAGTTCTTTGTCCTTTAATAGCTCTTCTATTCTGTTTTCTATTTCATTTCAAGAACAGCGCATGTGTCTTCTTTGCATTCTAAGAACTTTTGTTGGACTTCATCTTTCCAATCGGCGTCATCTCTGTCAACAAGTCTGTCATTGACAAACTTAAGACTTCTCTGCTAATGTTTTATGGTTCTTGTCATATTCCCAGAAACAGAACTTTAGAACAAATTCACCTTTCTTGTTTACACTATGTAAGATTTTATGGTCGACAGATGTTTTGAGTCGAAAAGTTTGTCTCGAATATAGATAGCGAAATCGCTAGACATTTTCTAAAAGATAAAAATTTTAATTTTTCTAAAAATATGTTAGAAAAAAAGTTTGCTGACATTGACAAGAAATTTGAGAATGTTTTAAAAGAACAAGAGGAAGTTAGAAAATGCTCAGATAAAGCCTATACATGACAAGTTCTTATTTGCTCAGAATGGTATAACAGGTCTAATTGCACCACCTGGGTCGGTAAGACTTTCACTTATCTTAAAATGGCTGCACAACAACAAGAACTAGATGAGAAGAACCCATTCTATGAGTTAGTTCATTTGTAGTACTTCTGGTCAATTTGACCAAACCGTCAATTCGTTCAAAGATATTATAAAGAAGTCTAAGTTAGTATGTATAAAGGATACTGAGTTGTTAGATTGGATAAAGAAGTACCAAAGAAGAGTTTTGAAGTATAATGCTATAAATGAGTATATAAATTCTAAGTTTAAAGACCCAAATGAGGAAATGCAGAGAATATTAGAGAAGAAACACTTCAGAAACAAACAGAAAGAGATAGAATACATTTCGAAGAAATTGCAATCTTACGATTGGAAGACTACCCTCATAGATGTCTTCTTATTTTAGATGACTTTGCTTCTCATCCTTTGTTAAAGAATAGAGAACAAGACATGTGTCGAATTCTTAAGAAGCTCAGACACTTTAACATCTCAGTCGTAATATGTGTACAGACAGCAAAGAGTTTAAGTAAGGATGTAAAGAGAATACTGACTGACATAATACTTTTCCCTGGATTGTCCGAAGACGATTTCATGGAACTTATGAAAGAGTCCATGGCAGGTAAGTTTGACAGACATGAACTATGGGAGAAGTATAAAGTCATACAAGACCCTCATACTTCTTTCAGAATTCATATCTACGCAAACAAAGTTCAAATTGTAAAAAGTCAAGCTTGAAAAATAAAGAGTTTTGGCGACCCCGAAAGAAGTCAGTCTAGAGAAATTTCACTGTTTTGTTGCTGAATTCAATAAAAATATATTTTAGGTGAAGAGGTGAGATTTCACCTCTTTTTCACCTAATTTTTCACCCCAGTTATTTTTTAAATTTTGTGAAAACTCAACGGTTTGACACATGCCCTAAAAAATTATTTTACTCAGAATTTTGTTGCTGAATTCAGCAAAAAATAATGTTTAGGTGAAGAGTGAGATTTCACCTGTTTTTTTCACCTCTTTTCTCACCTGTTATTTTATAAGCGTTTTACATGAATTGTACGATGTATATTTGAAATCCTAAACAGTTTTGTAGCTTCTATTTCTTCGCTGAGGATATCGAATGTTTTAACGATACCGAAAGTTTCTTTATACTTCTTCTTGACGTCAGATAATAGGAAATCTTCTGCTGTTGGATAGTTTTTGTTCAGAATTCTAACATATCCATTTTATTTTCTGCTGGTTTTTCTGCTTCTTTCTTTAAGTCTGCATAGTCGTTTCGCATACGTTCTATCTCTTTGACGGAGTAGTTATATCTCCTCATTGCTGCTTTACATTTAGAACATTGCGGATTCATTTTTGCGTTATATTCTGAAACCTTACCTGCTAAAACAACCAAGGCGTCAATTGCTCTCTTCATCTCAAACATAGCGGGTCTTATCTGTTCATTCCATACCTTACCCCTACTATCTTTATCTCTTATTTCCCATACACATTTTGCAACTAATGAAACAAAGTTGTCGTAGGTCTTAAATTCTTCAGATTTGTAAAGGTCAGAGATGTTCTTATATAACATGTCGCAATCTTTGTCCATAACCTTATGGTTGCAATGAAAACCAAGGAATTCATAATTTACCTTTCGTATGAACTTCTTTATTTCTACTGAGTCAGTTGGTTTCACTTCAATTTCGTCAAATTCGGGAATAGTGAGTTTTTGCTGCTGAATTTCAGGCAATTTGGGTAAATGGTCAATAATGTCCTGCATTTCATAAAGATACTGTTCATTTGTTTCATCCTGTGCGGTACAGTCTAAATTACTTGTTAACAATTCCTGCTTTATCTTCTGGATTTTTGTTTCGAAAGTATATGAAGAAGGAATGAAGTTTTTCATCTCTACCAACATAGATGTTGGATTCATGACTAACGAGTTTGGTGCTGTAGTTGTTTGAACTGTTGTTGTGCCGATTGTTGAAATCATGTCTTTTATACAAAATAAAAAAATAAATAAAATAAAAAATAAAACTAACTTTATTTTTTATTTCGGGAAAATTCATGAGGTGAAAAAACAGGTGAAAAAAGAGGTGAAATCTCACCTCTTCACCTAAACATTATTTTTGGGTCATTTACGCTCATTACGATGAAGTTTCGACAAAACATTTACGATGAAATCATGAAAATTCATGAGGTGAAAAAACAGGTGAAAAAAGAGGTGAAATCTCACCTCTTCACCTAAACATTATTTTTGGTGTAAATTTATGACAAAATTCAAATTGTAAAAAGTCAAGCTTGAAAAATCTAAGTGTTTAGTCTTAGTAAGATGGTAGCTTCTTAAAGCAAATACCATTGCTGAGTTTTATGTACGTGAAGAGAAGTACAATGAATTCAATTACGAGTACAATTGCAATGACAACTAAGGCAACTATTTTTGTCTTTTGCCAGCAAGGGTACTTCTTCTCTTCCAATGGTTCGGCAGAACTATACTCACTCATGAGAAATGCCAAAACGGTTTAATAGAAAAAGTGTCATTTTTTCATGTCCGAAGACTCGAAGGTGCAACACTTCCAAAATACCGACGAACTCAGAAGAGCAGCATGGCAGTATGTTCTTGACAACTTCTTTGAGTTCTCCAGGCACACCTTGGAAAATGCTGAAGAACTCCGACACAGAGAATTTGGAGAAATTGCACTCCAATACTACATTGACAAACAAAGGGTAAACAAAGGGTAAAATAAGACTAAAAACTTAAGGTTTAAAAAAGTGACATTTTTATGAGCTCCGAGTCACCGAGAAAACTTGGTCAGATGTTAGCAGCTTACTTCCCTGAGGAGGATGGAAGCGTTACATACGTAAGGTTCAAAAACAACGAACCTGGAATTGCGTACCAAATTCCGCAATTACATGACCATGGAAGAGTACGAAAGGTTCCTACAAGAGAAACCAGCTCTAAACAACTCAGAAAAGAAAGAATAAAAAGTTTAACTCGTAATTGTTTATTTTTTTACTTGTATGGGCAAGCTGCAAGAATGAAGTCGACTATCTCAGTCTTTGTCTTGACCAGTTGGACTGCTCTTGCGAGTACGTCTGTTTTGCGGTCTCCAGCTGGTGTCTGACCTTCGTAATTGCGCATGTTCTTGAGAGCTCCAGTTGTAAATGATTGTAGGATGAAGAGTCTCTCAGACTGCTTGAGGTAGTCTTCACGGTCACGAACCGAATCTGTGGTACGAGTCGAATCGGTCGATTTGAGGGAAGAGACTGAAAGCCTGTCGTCTTCCATAGGGGCTGTGGCATAATCTTTGCGTAAGCGGTTCAGACCTTCTTCGAACTCTTGGTCTCTCTTGGACTGAGATTGGAATTGCTGGGGTGGAGCTTGCTGGAACATCCAAGGGTTGGGGAAGTAAGGCATAGGCTGAGGAGGGTAGTTCGGGAAGCCTTGTGGTAGGTAGTAACCTTGAGGTGGAAATTGGTAGTAATTTGGTGGAGGGACTTGCTGGAACTGAGGTTGCTGAGGTGCAGGGGCTGGTGCTTTAGGTTCCTCTGGTTTGGGAATGGGCTCGGTTGGTGGTACGTCGGACATCTGTTTGTGGCTTAACCGTCGGAAGGAAAAACCTTTCCTGTCGGAAGGAAAAACCTTTCCTGTCGGAAGGAAAAACCTTTCCTGTCGAAGGAAAACCTTTCCTGTCGGAAGGAAAAACTTTTTCTGAAGTTCGACCAAAGTTCTCAATTTTCGAAAATTTGAATGGTTTACGGACGGACAACTGGAAGAGTCCTTCCTGTCGTCGGGAAAATTTTTTCCTTGTCGGGAAATATTTTCCAGTTGTCGGGAAAATATTTTCCTGTCGGATGGAAGGACTCGGAATGCCAGAAGGATTTGACGAGGCAATTTACCTTATAGAGATAAATGAAGTTGTTAAGCAGTACTTGCGCAGGGTAATGAAGCCCAAGGTCAAGTTCACCAGTATTTCTGGAAGGTCTACACTTCAGCTCGAGACTTCGACTGGAATTCCAATTCAAATACCAGACGGGACAGCCTACGACGACATAAAGGACGCCAAAAGAGAAGCTCTTGTTAAGTTCCTAAACAAACGTCCTTGGATAAAAATACCAAACAAGGAGAACCCCCTACCCCATATGAAATTGGCAATTCAGTCTCTCCTTCACTTCTCGGGTCAGCCGTTCTACATAACCTGTGAAGGCGACATCCAACCAGTTCAGTCAACCTTAACGTTTTGAGTAAAAACATTTTTTTTTCATTTTTTGAATGAAGCAAGTTAAATTCGTCCCACACCAATCTCAATGGACCGATGAAGAGTTTCAAGCCATGGTTGAAGCGTTGAGAACGACATAGACGGCGAACTTGAAGGAGCTCAAACCACAATTGCAACCAAAATTGCACAAGTCAAGGAACAGATAGCTCCACTTAAAGCTACCAAAGCTACTCTTGACCTCATGGATAGTTACCGTTTAGATGTCAAGAGTGGAATAAGACAATTAAAATTAAAACTTCTAAACTACGAAGCTATACTCCAAAAGTTAGCAGAAATGAGAAGACTTTACCAGAGCTACTTACATGTAAGGGACTTACCTTCAAGCAGTCCGACCAAAGATGAATTTTCTGACATTGTCCCAATTTTGTCCGAAAGTCAGCTCAGATGTTTTGAACTGCTCCCAACATATCCAGAATATGAACGTTTGCCTGAACTCTTCCGCAATCTCAAAAAACGTTTTTTGGTTCTCATGTTCGAAACTTTTATCGGAAGAGACAACAAACGTTCAGAAGAAGAACAAGATATTATTTTAAACTTGTTGTATGACATAACTGTCATAACAAGCTTTTTGAAGTAAAACCGCCATTCTCAAACCACTTCATTTTTTCGATGTCCGAACAAGCACCGAAGCCGAACACAATGGCAGATGTCCTTTCAATGTTGCCAGACAAGCGCCCAGTTCAAATTCAAATTTTGAATTTGAAAGCTCATCTGACAAACACCGTTAAGACTCTCCAAAGTAGTCTTATGGAAGAGATGAAGGGACTTAAAGGTGAGTTCCTCATGAACCAAGCTTCCAATGAGAAAGTCCTGAACGATTTGACGGAAACCTTGCGCATTTACGCGAGAGAGAACCGAGACCTTGCCAGACTCATCTACCGTTTCTTCGAAGAGATAGATGCCATCTGGAAGGTACTCGGAAAGGACAGAACCTCCAACACCGTAATTCGTGAGTACCAAATTGAAGAAGGAATTGTCGAGGAAGAAGAGGAAGAAAAGAAACACGAAGAAGAAGAGGAAGAAGATGAAGAAGAGAAACACGAAGAAGAGGAAGTTTGGGCAACCCTTGTTGCCGATGACGCTTACGAAATTTCCCAACCCTACCCATACCAAATCCGCAACAAGGAGACAGGCAAGGTTCTTACCCCAGTCCTCAACAACTTGGGACACTTGAACCTTAACCTTCGGAATCGCGGTTCAATCTCCATGGGCAAGCTTGTCGCAATTCAATGGGTTCCAAATCCAGACAAGAAGACGAGGGTCAGACACATTGACGGTGACAAGCTCAACAACCGTAAGGAGAACCTCGAGTGGTTCTAAGAGTAAAAAAATTTTATTTTAGGGGGAAACCCCAAGTAAATTTAAGTTTTTATTTAGATAAGTAGCTTAAATTACGGATAATTTGGATAAGTAGTTCCTGACCTCTGAATTGAACTCTTTCGTCATCCCAGTTGCGTAGGAGGTCGTCCCAGAGGAGTTGGTAGAATTGCCAATCCAAGGACGATTTGTCCTCCCAGGCATTGAGGATGTACTGCTCGTAGAGTCTCATGACCTCTGCCTTGCACCAGACACCCTCTCCCTTGGAACGTAAGGCTTCTTCGAAGTGCTCGAATGCGATTGGCTGCTTGACCATCTGAAATGACACTTTTTGTCCGTTTGGTCAATGTTTGTGTCTCGTGCCATAGTCGACGAAAATACAGACAAACAGGTTATATATGAGTTTGAGACCAAGAATTCCCCACATTTAAATTCAAATTCGAATAAAAATTTTTTTACTTCATGCAATGTTTTATTTCTGTGCCGTCTTCAAGTATACCCCAATACTTACGCTTGGAGAGGACATGAACTTCGGTGAAAATTTTGTCCAATTTGAATTGACCCATCTTTTCACCGACCATACCCATTTCAATGAGTTTGTTGTATCCTTCTTCGTTCGTCATGAGTGCGTCAATGTTCTCATAGTAAACCTTCACTTTGGATTTGACCTCAGAGAAGAATTTGTTGTAGTTGTCAAGGACTGCCTTTGCGAACTGAGGGTAAGACCAATGTTCGACAATAGGTTTTAATGTGGTTACTAAGCCACTTTGACCTTGAGTGAATTCGTACTTCAAAACAAAAGGAGAAAACCTTTCAACAAAGTTGTCGACCTTCTCATAATGTTTACTCTTCATCTCTTGAGGTTTCTTAATGGAATATCCCCATGTCGAATTCATAAGCAATTTGAGTGTCATTGCAAGTTTGGGGTTTGAAGCTTTCCTAATATCATACAGTTGTTGTATGACTTTTCCAACTGTATAGTTCCTTCCTGGGAACTCACCGTCTTCGTTTGGAATTCCAGTTGGAATATATTGGACAAACCTCATGTACGCAGCGTTAAGGTCGACATAGTATATCTTTTCATATGAGTCAAACTTGTCGCAACCAATCGGTCCAGTTTGTGGAAATTCAAGTGAGTCTCTTATCTTTTGAGAAACCTCGCCTGTTATCTCATAAACATCGTCAAAGCAACCTGTTTCATATAAAACCTTCTGAGCTAACTCAGAAGCTCTCCAATACAATTTGACGTCAATTGGATGTCTCAATGGAAGTTTGTTTATAGCATCTTGAAGTTCTTGCAACCTCATTGGAAGTTCTTCTGGTTCAGGTTGGTATCCGAACAATCCAACCCCTTGTGGAATTGTGTACTTCTTTTGTACTAGAACTTTGTCTGGAACAACTTTTGGTCTTGCTAACAATGAAAAGTTTGTTTCGTCTTTTGGTACAAAAGTTTCTGTCAGCTTGTCATCTGGAATTGGTTCCAACAAACCTTTCTCGAAAAGAATGTTAACAGCTCTGACAATGTTACACTTGCCTTTTCCGAACAATGGGTTTGTAAGACTTTCGTTCAACATGAAGTGGTTGTGGACAATTGCAATCTTCAACCATGGTAAATTGAACTCAACAACATAGTCGTCATGTGAAGAACCTTTAGCTGTAGGTATGTTGACTCGGATATTGACATTTGCCAACGGTGCAATTTTTGCCAATTGACCTCCGAGAATGTACCTTGTCTTCACACATGACTCAAGATACTTCATCTTCTCATCTGTAACAAGACCAGAGTTCCTGAGACATGTAAGAATGCAAGGTTCATTGACAATTGTTTCAATTGAATTGTAAATTCCATACCTTGTCAAGTCAATGTCAGACTTATTTATGAACGGGAAGTATCCAGCATGTTGTCTGACTGCTTGCGGGTTAGGTTGGTACCATTCAAATTTTACACTTGCAATTCCTTCAATTGCATTCAAAATGTCTGAGTCGGAGTCAAACATTTGTTCTCTCTTTGTAGTCTTGAAAGCGTCAAGAAGTTGTGCGGCTGTTGTGACATTGCCATGTGCATAGTAAATGTGACCGTCCAAATCTGTTATGGTTAGTCTGAGATTGTATCCTTTCTTATTTCCGTCTTGTATGGCAGCAAGTACACCCATGAAGCCTTCTTTGTTCTTTCCTTCGTCAAAGTTTACTGTAAAGGTTCGACCAGATGTAATTTGACTTCTAACTTCACGGTACTTTTCATATGCATATCTTGTTCTTTCCATGGGAGCATGTTTGTCTTCACCTTTTCCTTTTTTCCTTCTCAAAGGATACAATTGTTCGTCATGTTTCCAATAGAATCTGGCAAAGCCGTCGTGTCCTTCAACTTGCGGTTCAGAAACATCGAAAGGCATGTCCATAAGACGTTCTTCTTCTAACCTCTCTAGTCTGTTTGGATAATTTGCGCGTGCTGTTTCCAATTCCATTTCGTAGCGAAGACCAGACAATTTGTCATAGACTTTTATGGGTCTTCCCTTCCTATATTTAAAATTCTTCGAAACTTTCCAACCATATCTTTCTAACTCTGCTTTTATTCTAGCAGATTTTCTATCCATTCTATATGGGGGCATTTTTATAAAAATAAAAAAAATGTTTTTTCTTTACTTTACATAACCGCCTGCTGCCATAAGTCTTTGACGCCAACCCATACCAGCTAATGAAGGTTGACTTGGTTTAGTTTCCAAACTAAACTTTGGTTTTGGTTTATCTTCAGTTTTTGGTTTTTCTTCTTCTATCGGTTTTTCGTCACTTTTCGGTTCATCTGACTTTACCTCACTTGCAGGTTTAGTTGTGTCGTCAACATCTTCATAAATATCATATGCCATTTGTTTTTGTTTTCCTTTCAACTTTTTGTGTTTGTTGTAAAGTTTAGAATATTTCGACTCTAAGTCAATGAGATGTTCTATAATGAACTGTTGGTCAGTGAAGTATACTTTTCCATCTGTTGTCTCGAAAGCTCCTTCAGACTTCAATATTTTATTTGTGAGGGTCTGTTTCTTTTTTGAGATACTAGCCGTTCCATTTCTATGAAAAGTGACTTTGTAGTTAGGGTTTGTATTTCCAGACCTGGCACTTTCTATTATTGAATTTTTCTCTTCATCTGTAAGTTCTTTGACAGGTTTTGACAATGGTTCTGAACTTTTTGTTTGTGGTGTCAAATCTACCGTTTCAACTTCTTCGGTCATTTCATCTCAGTAAAAAATTTTAGTTTGGTTTGTTTTCAACTGGTTGTTGTTGTTTTTTAAGTCGGTCTAAAACTTCCTGAGGTATAGGAAGAACTTGACAAACACGTTGTGTAACTGCTGGAAGTCGACAAATCCATCTTGAACCCATTTGTCTCAATGCTGTATTGTTCATTTCATCTCAGTAAAAAACTTTACATTCCCCAAGTTTGAGGTGGTTGCGGTTGGTTATTGTTTACCCACTGTTGTGCATGGTTATATCCTCTGTTAAAGAATCTTTCACCTTGGTCCATATAGTGTCCTGCTTGGTTATAGTAGTCATTTGCTTTGTTATAATAGTTTCCTGCTTGTCTTCCTACATTGTCCATCCATCCTTGAACTTTTCCTCTTGTTTCAGGATTTGGAATAAGATTTGCTGCATCTCGTGCTACATCCCAACCTTTCTGTACAGTTTGTATAATAGGTTGTGCTTTCTCTTTAAGTATACCTAATGTACTCAAAATCTTCCTTCCAACTCCAAATACACCTCTGGCTATTGTTCCCACTGCGGGCAAAAATCTGGATGCAACTCCTGCTAATGCGCCAAATAAACCCATTTCTTATGGGTTAAAAAATGACGAATCCAAACAAGGACCCCTATGTTTCTAAGGCAACAAAAAAGCACTCATGATAAAAATCTTTAGTTCAACACCAAATGCTTGGTTTATGGATATCTTGGAAAACATTCCGAGGTATAGAGAAGATGGACCACCATACTGGCTAATATTTGTCGGTCAAAACACAAGATACTGTGAAGCCATACCATTACAGTCCAAAAATATTTTAGATGTGAAAACTGCTTTGACAATCTTCGTTGACAAATACCATCCAACAAAACTGACATCTGACTGTGAAAGTTCTTTCAAATCAGACGATATTAAAAACTATCTGCGTTCAAAAAATGTAAACCAATATTTCATTGTCGACCAAAACCATTCTGCTCTTGGTGTCATTGACAGTTGTATAAAAATCTTAAGAGACTTAAACCAACCACAAGGTGGTGAGGTAGATGAAATGTCATATGACGACAAGTATAGACATTTCTCCATGGCAAAGATGAGACAAGTTTTAAATATTTACAATACCCGTAAACAAAAAGGTTTGGGAAACCACTCCCCCGAAGAAATGAAAAACAACCCTGACTTAGAGAAAGACTATATATTTAATAGTTTAGTCAAAAGAGACAAACAAGAAAGAATGCCAGGCTTCAAACTTAAGAAAGGTGACAAAGTAAAAATAGAAATACCTAAACGCGACCCATATGAAAATACTATTGACTATGACAACAATGGGAACTCGACAGGTACTCACATTCGTGTTCGTAAAAATAGAAGAAAGTATACAAGAGAATATTATGAAGTTTTAGGCAAACATGGCAAAATGTACAGACTGCAAGCAGAAGATAAAACTACTATTGTCAGACCTCGTTTCAAACTTGTCAAAGTTCAAGGTGGTATACTTTCAAAGACAGTTCCTAACAAATATAAGACAACTCCTGACGAATATGCTAAAGAAGTTGAAAATGACGACTAAGCAATTCTATACCATGCGTAAACTGTCATGTAAGGTGGCATGTAGTCTTTACTTTGTCCCGTTGTTTGTGTATACCTGAAACGAAATGTGTATGGTTTCCTTCTCCCTGAGTGTCACTCCAGTAACAATTTATAGCAAACTTAACGTCGTCTTTAACATCATATCCTTTACCTTTTGTCATTCCTGACCAATCCCAATATCTATGCTTATGCCAACCTGCTTGAGATGTACTTAAATCTATGTAGTGACTGTGTGCAGGTAAGTTTTCACCTGAAATCGTTTTACTTCCACCTGTTTCCTTTGAAGAGTTTGCACAATACAAAAACCTGTCGACTATTTGTTCCCATGCACCAACACCAAACATTACTTGAGGACTCTTGCTTCCATAGATGTATAAATAAACCTACTGGGTTCATTAAATCAAACATATGAGATATTATAGGATTGTCTCTTTTGAACTTAAAATATAGTGCAACTATTTCAGGTTTCTTCTGGTTTGTGTTAGAATATTTTTATAATATAATCTTATGTTTTCAGGGTAGGTAAAGTCTTGACTATAATATTTATTTCTGTCATCTTCATAATAGTATACTATTCTCGTTTTTCTATTGCATTATATCTTTTATATCTATAAAATCTAAATATAATGTTAGCTTTTGTTCATCTACATGTGGTGTTCTAACGTCATCTCCATAGTCATAATAATATGGTGCTGGAGCTGGGTTAGGTAATGTCATATCTGCCATTTCATAAACTCTTAAATATTTCTTTTGTTCGTCTCCATATAAGTTTAAGTAACAGTTGTTGTCTAATGGAACTTTAACTTGTGTACCATCATTCTTTATATAGCCTACATACATTTCATTGTTATTTTTCGGAATGAGTTTATACCGTATACCATTTTTTAAGGAGTGTACAAACTCCCATCTAAAATATTTGTTTTCTTCATTGACAGAAACATCCCCAACAATAGTTTCAATATTTTTTGTTGTTCCTATCAAACTTTGGTATATTTCATTGACATATGTTTTATCTGCTTTATTTTCAAGGCTAACGTTTAAGTCTGTTATTTCAGATATAGAATGTGTATGTCCAACGTCACTTTTCCTGTTTAAGGTTTCTTGTAAGTTTGTAATATTTGCAATGGTATGTGTATGTCCAACGTCACTTTTCCTGTTTAAGGTTTCTTGTAAGTTTGTAATATTTGCAATGGTATGTGTATGTCCAACGGCACTTTTATTGTTTAAGGTTTCTTGTAAGTCTGTTATTTCAGATATAGAATGTATATGAGTCTTTTTAGAATATTCGTTTTCAGCTCTTGTCACTTCACTTGACATTTTATTGTCAACATATGTTTTGTCTGCTAGTTCAGGATGAGTATGTTCTTTTGTTGCATAAGCATTGTTAGCTCTTTCTTCTTCTTTTGCTATTGCATCGTCTACATATTCTTTGTCAGCTTTGTTGTCAACATCTGCTTTCAAAAGAAGTTCATTTATAGGTTTCTCGTTTAAAGTTCCTTTTGTTGGATTTATACAGACAGTATGGTTCTTATTGTCTTGAAACAGAAACTCATCTGTCATTGGGTTTAATGTCAGTTTTAAGTTTCCTTCTTTCAATGACTCAGATATCTTAGAATAGTTTGAAAAGTTTGTTGTGTTCTTATTTAGAGCTTGTATAATGAGTTGTCGGTTGTGTTGTATTTCTCTCATAGACGCTGTTTCATTTGACATTTTTATTCTAGATAAAATATGCTTCCAATAGAAAAAGAAAATTCAAGAGTTGCTACAACTAAACCATTAGATGAACTTTTTACTAATGTCGGTCAAAAGTTTGAGACAGAGACCGTAAAGCATGAAGGCTATCGTTTTGACTACCCATTAAGATGGCTAAGAGACCCATCTGTCACAAAAGCTATTGGCTTTCGTAGAATGAAGTTTGTGTCTGTAGAAGATAAAAGTTTTCCATTTATTGTAAGGTTTCATATAGATTATATATCTGAAGGGAAACGAAAAATGTGGGAAGAAATTGAGCTAATACAAGTTGACCTTTCATCTTCTCTACAGACTGCGTTAAAAAATATAGAAGATAAAATAAATTCATGTTATGCAAAATATGCTGATGAATATGCAAATACCGAGAGCACACTTTATGTGAGAATTGTATATGACAAACAAAATTCACAAGTGTCATTTCAAATCTACGAAGACAATCCAAAGAAAGACGAACAAATATATACAGAATTCACTGCAATGTCATGGTATTATTTGCAAAGAATGTTAAATCAGAAAGTCGAACTTCCTTTAGCAAATATTTACAGTCGATATGCAAGAGATGAACCATATTTATTTAAAGATGTTTTCGACCCAGCTGCTATTATTGTTCATGCTTCATTTTCTGGCGCCCAAAACTCTTTCTTATGCTTGGCAAATGACTTTTACGAAAAACCTACAAAGTTATACGAACCACCAAGTGGAAGTATTTCAGACTTTCAAGTATGGTTTACTACAGATGGAAGAAAAAGAATAATTCCATTATACCATGCGTTTTACTTAGAACTTAGTTTCATATACAACTACTATCGAACGGTAAAAATATAATTTTTTAATACGGTTGAGGTGTTGGATTTGGTTGCCAACTAGACTGTGGTGCAGGTTCAGGCTGTTGTATAACAGGAGCTTGTTCTTCTGGTTCAGGGTCTTTAGGTATAATACCAACGAACTGACCTACTCTTTTACCAATATTTTTGACTCCGTTCCAAATTCCTCTTCCTACGGTTTTTATTCCATTCCATATACCTCTTCCAACTCTTCTGAAGAAGTTTCCAATACTACTGAAGAAACCCATTTTACTATATGTAAAAATCTAATGTCCGCCTAGTCTCTTACGTTTCCTGTTGAGTTCCATAGCATTCTTTAACTGGAGCTCATACATTCTGTTTCTCCTCTGGTAGAAAACATATTCTGGGTCAACTCCTGTGTTTGCGTCATCTGCATAAAGTTGTTTATATCCCACTTCAGGGTTTGTATAAAACTCTTTCCATCTCATATTTGCATACCATGGTGGCAAACCTAACGCAGCGTCATTTGACATGGCAGTTTGCATTTGTACATCTGTTGGCACTTGACCATAGTTTGCCATTGCAGTTTGTATTCTAACTTCATTTGGAATATTCTCTGGGTTTGGTTGTCCAGGTTGCTGTGCATTCGCTAAGTTCTGTGCGTCCATTTAATATTAGATAAAAATATCTCTTACGAGTACATATGCTGAACATTTGCAGGCATTGGTTCATCTTCATATTCTCTGTACTTTTCTGCCACGTCAAATAAATAAATGACACAATGGAAAAAACCTAAAACAAGTAGTCCTATTTCAAACCACATTTACTTACTAATAAAATTTCTTTATTGTGACACTTTCTCCAGTTTATAGGACCTCTCTCATATTCTATCTTGTCATATATAAACTCATAGTCATGTATGTCCTCTAGCCATCTCATAACGGTTTCCAAACCACTTTTATCGGATGTAAAGTAAAAGCATGGATGGTTATGTATAACGTCTAAAGTTTCTAAAGAGTCTCTCAAAGTCCAGTCTACTTGGTATTGAAAATCCCATGTGTTATAGAACGGCGGGTCCACTATAAAGAAAACATTTTCCTTGTCTTTATATTTTTCATACAAATCTGTCCAATGACATCTCACAAACTCTATACCCTCAATATATTTTTCTATGTCCTCTTTGAAAACATTTGTATAGTTAAGATATAAAACTTTTGACATAAGTGTTTCAATGTCATGAACTCTTATAGAACCACTATATAATAGTCTAGCAGATATACTATCCCAGTCTATATATTCTGCTTTTTTCAAAACCTCTCTCACAATATTTTTCTTATCTAATGGTATACGTTCCATCTTACCTATAGGTATCTTTTCTTTTAACTCTTTCAATATATTGTTTGTGTCTGGTATATGTTTGAGACGGTCCATATAGTTGTCGAAGTCATTGCATATAATCTTTGAGTCTGGGAATATTGTATGGCACAAATGGGATATATAGAAACTTCCACCGAACAAATCTACAAATGTTAGACCATTCGGTAGTTTCTTAAGTTCTCTCAATATAATATCTTTACATCTACTCTTATTTCCAAAGAACGGTAACGGTGGTTTTGTAAAATTCATTTATATATAATAATAAAAATGTTTTTACCCGAAAAGTGACAGAAAAGTGACAAAACATGAAAACATATATAATTTGTGAAAAGTGACACATTATATAATGTTTTCGACCCAGAAGACTAACAATTTTCCGAATAAAAACTTCATTTATACTAAACATCTTCAGGGCTAGAGGGCGCAACGCGCCTGGAAGCCCTCCGAATAAAAACTTCATATATACTAAACATCTTCAGGGCTAGAGGGCGCAACGCGCCTGGAAGCCCCACTACCTTTTTTTTTTTTTTTTTTTTTTTTTTTAACTCAACTAAGTTTCCTGTCTTTCAACTAAAAAAAATTATGCAAATTAAATTAAATTGTTTATTCAAATATTAAACAAAGATGAAGTAATTACAGTTATCATAAACTTTATGAATAACTCTGTAATTGGTTCAGATTTTCGTAAAAATATTTTTATTAATATCGATAAGAATACGTTTACCTACTATCACAACATATCGATAAACAAGAGTAGAGTGATTTTTATCATCGAAACTTTTTAAAAGCTGTAAGCTGGAAGGAAAAATCTTGTTTTTTCTGAGTTAGTTGTAGAACTATTGATGCACGAGTTATCATTGTGATGTAGAAGGATGTCAATGTACTGACTGAAGGATATGAAGTGAATTGAATTTCATTGCATTTCAATTTGATCAAAATTTGTTGAAATGATATGAATGTGTCAACATCTGTATCACTCTCTTTCACTCCTTCCCTATTCTTTCGAGAACGAAGCTAGCTCAGCTTTCGCTGAGCGAATTGACACTTTTGATGCCCTAAACGTACATACTCTCAAATTTATCGAAAAAATTATACCACCTAAACTAGTATATTCTTATTTTAAATATGATATTATCCTTAGAATCCACACTAGAATATATTTAAATCAACTTTTAAAAAAGTTCGAATCCTGCGCGTCTCACTTTTTAAATTTTCCAAAAGGAAAATTATATTCTCCTAAAATGAAAACAATTTTCCGAATTGACATCCTTAAAATAATCAAAATATGAAAGAAATAAAACTTAATAAAAAATGAACGTTTATAATTTTTCATTATGGATTATCCAACTCCAACTACTGATTTCCTTGATGGATCAACACATGATCACTTAATGTTACGGTTCCACATATGATTTAGATCATTCTCCTTAATATTTATCGAAGAAAAACGCCAAATAATGAAATTTATTTGGTTTATGCCCGCTGAAGTCAATTTAGACAGATTACAGTCCAAAGGATCCAGTAAAAATCACAATATTTTTACACATGGCCTTAATGAAAGCCAACAAGAATAAAATTCTTGCAAATTATTCAAAGAATTGTAAGTTTCATTGGCAAAAATGAATAAAGATATTGCTTATATACTATTTTAATTTACTAGCAATGATTTTTTGAGTCTTATTAAGTTTTTTTAAAAAATTAAAATATCTAAATTGACATATTTTTAAGTTTTTGTTTTGAATGCACTGCCCAAATATACTCAATGTAAGGATACTATTTATATTAATATTGGCTTCTAAATATCAAGGTTTACACCTTTTTGCCCCGTTTATACCTTTTTCTCCCGACTATATATATATAAGCATCTCAAAATCTATTCATTTAATATTTTGTTTTTGGATATTTCGAACTGCTTGACAACACCACATGATATCGATCCTCTTCAGATCTAAGCATTTTTCTCGTTCTCTGACCAGTTGAGAAAAATTAATTATGGTATATAATTATTTCTTTCAATAGAAACGATTCATAGATACTTTCGATTGCTTGTTGTTGGCAAAATACCACGACCGAATTCCATTGTGTCAGAATATGACCATAAATATTCAGGCAAAATTTGATTTCTGACATTCAAAAGATCAAAGATCAAAAACCATATGTGAACTAGTAAAATGCTAGATTTTGTTCAAGTTATATCAAAAAATGTAATTCTCGACTTTATTCAACAAATTGGTGAATTCGTTTCTTCTCAGGCAAACAGAAGATTGTTCTGATAATCGCTAACGCCACCAGCAAGAAAGAACATGGAGGACATATGCATTAGGGCATTTTTGCTCTAGTTTTGACAAAAATAAGTTGAGTGCATTTTTTTTTTCAAATTCTAAAAAAACGATAGGATGGCACTTTTTGACAAATTAATAAAATGTTCACCATAATTCTATCTTTAGAGGATGACAATATTTGGAATAGTTACTTTGCAAGTGAATTTGTAGGAGAACAAACTAATCATTGTCAAAATTGTAATCTACCAGCAGGTCAAGGTCAATATTACTTAGATGAGTGCAATTTTTTTGATGATAATAACCGAGTTATCAACTTCGATCCAATTAAAAACTCCTTATTCCTACATAATCGGTGCTCTTTTAGTAATTGCACTTCAACTGGGAGTGGAAGTTGCATTAACTACAAAATCGGCAGTAATAGCTCGATTGTTCAACGAAAATTCTGTTGTACAAAATGCCAAAGTCAACAAGGAGCACATTTTTCAAATACAAAGTTGACAACGATAACTTAAACTTTTTTATTGAAAGTTCCCTTTTCGATGTAGGAAAAGAAAGTTTTGGTTACTCTATAAATGCAGAACTTGATAACATCATAGTTTCATCAACAAATTTCTCATCATGCAAAGCATCTTGGGGACCTGCTGGTTGGTTTCAAAGTCCTTTAGGTAAATACACAACAAAATATAACTATTCAACTGTTGTTAATAATTTAGCAACAAGTGAAATGATTCTAGATATTTGGTATAACTCTTTGATTGATTCATGTAATATTATAAATAATACCAAAACAAAATCAACATATGGAATTATTTACCATTCAGATAATTCTCTTACTGTAAAAAGTTGTTCTTTTATTAACAACACTGTTCCTCAAGATTCATGTTTGATATATAACTATTATGATCAATTAACAGTTGATAGTTGTTACATTGACAATTCGATTTCATCAACATTTTATAGAAATGTAGAACCTACTAATACAAGAGAACATTTACTAACAAATTGATTCATCTTTCAACTGGTAATTGCCAAGCAGAATTTGCAATTATCAATAAAACCAAATGCATTGAATATTTCTCTCACCGATTCCCACGTCATCGATTATTAAATATTTATATTAATTATTTATCTTGAATAAAATTACTTTTATTTATATAGAAACTTTCTAAAATATCCGTATTCTGTGTTCTGTAAAAAATTCAATGATGACAGAATTTATTACATTTCCATATGGATAAATGAATGTAATTAAATCCTACTCAAAAATTAGCATGGAATATGATAATATTGATTATTTATTTATTTTTTGTCTGGTGAAAAGTCTCGCACTTCACAATCTCATAATTTGATTATATTTAACATAACTATTAGTTGTTGTTGTATAGAGTTCTTGATTGTAACATCAACAAAACTTGGAAGATGGAAGTCAATGTCATTCGAATCTAAATATTCATGAATATATGTAATATACCTCTTGATTGTAATATCAACAACACTTGAAATATTGTTCTTTAATCAATGATTTATTACATTATCATCTTACTTTTTTTATACTTCTAAAACATAAAATTCATTATTTATGAGATAATTAATAAAATAAAAAACAAAATAACTTTATTTATTTAGATTCTTTTGGGATGACGAAGCGTGGACATAAGTTGTTGATAGACTTTAACCAGAATTCTGAGAATTTCTGTGTTTCTTCTTTCATGAAATTGATATATGTTTCAAATGATGTAACACGTGACTTCATTTCACGTTGATATTCCTCAAATGAGCGATTCCTTTCAACAATAACGCCGCGATGCATAGATGTGTCAATAGATGTAATAATAGGCATCATTGCGGATTCAACAGACTTGATTGCATCTGATTTCTTTGGTTTCTTAACTGTTTTCCTTCCTGAATTCTTCTCTTTCGTTTGTTGATCTTGACTTTCTGTTTGACTGGTCATAGAAGACAATGGTTCCATTGTTAAAGGTAATGTTGGCCATTGCCGGACATGGAATGGTCTGTCTTGGTCATCTGGTAATTGCATGGACTTCCTTTCTTTGTCTTTAATCAATGATTTCAATGTCCTGCGTTCTTCATTGGCAACTGGACCTGGAATCAAATCTTCTAATAATGGGAATTTATCAAACAATGACATCAATGAAGATGTGATTAATGGTAAATGTGATGTGAACATGTTCATTACGTTCTTCTCTGTTTCGATAATAGAGTTCTCGTAGTTTTGGATAACGGTTAATTCATTCTTACGTCGTTCTTCTTCTGAATTATACAATTTCTTTAATTCGGAAATGTTGTTTGAATCGGATAATTTAGGACTCAATGCTTTGACGTTTTGATCGCGTTGTGTTCTTAATTCTTTCATTTTATTGTTGAATTCGTCTTTGTTGTCAACAGTCAATAATTCGATTTTATCCGCATAATACTTAACAACACAATCATATATTAAAATTCATAAAAACACTTGAAATTCTGCGAAGTCTTTCTCCTCACTATTCATTTACAGAGTATGTAGTTCAGGGGTATTATTGTGTACTTCCTCTTATACCCATGCAAATTTAATCTACCGATTTTTTAAATTCACATGAATTTTTAATTAATTATGCAATTGAGAAGTTAGTATGGCTAAGTCGTGTACTGAGGCACTGCGCGCCTCCGTACACCACTTAGCGGTTTTGACACTTTACAAAACCGTTAACGTATATTTTACAACACAAACGACAACACCAACTTAACCTTAAATATTTACAAAGCCATCAACCACTTCACCTCACTAATGTAAAAAATAAACGTTCTCACTTACAAAAGTATTGCAACTCCTCCCATTGCTGTGCTTCACATAACAGCTCATAATCTTCTGACTCACTTTCTTCTTCATATAGGTCAAAATCACTGTCAAAATAAATGTTAGTAAGTTTTGACAAAGCTAATGAAACACGTTTACCGTTTGTATCGTATGCTTGTATAAACTTTCCATTCTTCATTCCTTCATAAACGCTCAAACTAACTTTACCCTTTCTCCCTCGTATCTGATAGAATGTATTTTCACGAGGAACGAAGAACAAATTCTTGAACTCATGACCGTTGTAGTTTGTTATCTCAATAGTTTTCGTCATTTATATAAAAATAAAATAAAAAATAAAATAAAAAATAAAATAAAAAATAAAATAAAAAATAAAATAAAAAATAAAATAAAAAATAAAATAAAAAATAAAATAAAAAATAAAATAAAAAATAAAATAAAAAATAAATGATATCACCACCCTCACACGTATGAAAACATAGCACAAAAATAAATTTAGGTGAAGTGGTGAGATCTCACCTCTTTTTTCACCTGTTTTTTCACCCTGTTGAATTCATTGCTTTATAACTCTCTTCCTTGGTTTCTTTTTAGTTGCTTTCTTCACGTCTGTCTCCAACTTGACTGTCTTTCTTCTTCGGCCGTAATGATACCAGTTACTTCCACCAGTCAATGGGTCAAATGGTCTTTCGTAAGGGTTTCCATACATTCCATAAGGTCCGTATGGATAAACCGCTGGTGGAGAAGAAACATTTTCTTTAGTTCCATCGACTCTATTTAAATGCATTGTTTCACCTTTCATCTGGTCATTAAAGTCTTTTGCGTGTTTTGCAAACTCATCGTCCTTTCCTAAAGCATTTTCTGACTCAGTCGCAACCAAATTGGATGCTTTATTTATGAGCCCTATTTTATTTAATCTTAACTTCTTTGCAACCCAGCCTCCAATCTTCCCTTTATTTGCATCTAATGTCTTCGAAACCCTTCCTCCACTCATTTTATTTACTGCGTCATAAGCTCCAAGTGCTTTTGCTCCAAATGCTAATGCTTTTGTTCCCATTGCGCCTAAAGCTGCCCAAGCTACCATTTACACCATATTAAAATCATCTCTCTTCAATATTATCTCATAAAAGTTCTCGTTACTGGAGAAAGTCAATGAAACATAAGCGTTCTCACGGGCTTCGCCCTCACTACTTTGCGGTCTATCTAACTTCTTTCTTATATCATCTATACGCTTCAAAATGTCTGAACAATTGCTAACATCTTCTACAACAGTTATTTCATCATGAATGACCTTCAAGAACAAGCTCATTTAATATGCTATTAAAATCATCTCAATAATGAGTCCATCCTTTCCATCTTTAGGTAGCACAACATCTTTCATTGAAGAAGGTTCGACAAGTCTTATGTTAAACTTACTGACAAAGTTTGTTATACTATAATGCTTTGGCGGCGAATACATATAGTTTGAAAGACATAATATAGATTCTTCAGCAAATTCACTTATACTGGATTTTATAACAATGTTCTCACGAGACCAAATACCACCAATTGACAATCTTGTAAGCAATCCTGCTGAACCTTCTACTGTAAACGTCGATGGTAACATTCCACGAAGGTCATCTATTGACATCGTTGAGTCACTGTATTTAAATATTTTCTTAAAGCAATCGTCATTATCTAACCATGCAATAGCTTTGAAGTTTTCATTCGAATATACATCTGCTTCATTAAATGTAAAACCTGACTTCTTTGCAGAGACGACTTTAAAATCTATTGAGTTTGTTTCAAAATTATATGCTATGGTAACTTCTGAAGGTAATGGATGTCCTTCCGCAGTCAGTTGTTCTCTCACTACCGTTTGAAGCTTTGTATTAAAAACTTTCATGTCATCTCCTGTATCTAAGTTCACATACACAGCAACAGGGAAACTATCTTGCTTCTTTGTTTCATCATTATACCTCAAAACATTAAAGTTCTTCAATAATATTGTTCTTCCTGCTGGAATACTTCGAACCTGTCTGATTTCAATAGCTTTCTCACCTCCTACATACTCTACCCAGTGTCTTGGATATTCATAAGTATACTGACTTTCTTGAATTTTGGTTGGTTTCATCATAACATGTTCATAGTATATCTTTATACTCTTGTCAGTTAGACTCGGTGCTATGTTCTGAATATTTCTGACTTGCATTTTTAATGGAGATAAAATGAAGCATTTAATACATGACGTAGATGAAGACATGAATGAAACTACAGACAAACTTAACTCTTCTCTTATTCTTCCTTTCAGCAAAGATTATGAGTTCTGTTCAAATGGTGTGTATTTCTATTGTGGAAAGATGGGTTCAGGTAAGACATTTAACCTCATTCGTCATATACTCATAACAGAACGTTTAGGAAATGACTCATATTATGACCAAATCATTATATCAGCAACTTCAGACTCTATGGACTCAACAGCGAAAACATTTATGTCAAAAGTTCAAGCCTCTGTCGTTAAAGTTCCAGACAGTGAACTCATTGAATTTCTTCAACGTTACATTCGACGTAAGAGAAAATATTATGCCATCGTTGAATTTATACAGTCAGGAATGCAAAAGACTTCTGAGGAGATGGAAAGAATTATTGACAAACACCACTTGCGTCAGTACTCAGGAGTTTACGATATGAAACGACTGACAAACTACATTCTATCAAAACTTTCAAAATACCCCTTCAAAAAATATCCATCAAACACTTTATTAGTTTGTGACGACTTCGCCGGAAAAGGTTTAGTTTCAAAGCCTGACTCACCATTAGCTAACATCATAACTAAAGTCAGACATTACCATTTAACTGTAGCAATACTTATGCAAACATGGAGGTTTTTAGCTTTAAACATAAAACGTCTCATAACTGACTTCGTTATCTTTCAAGGTTTCTCACGCTATGACATTGAACTCATTTGGAAACAGTCAGGTATAACATTACCTTTTGAAGAAATTTGGGAAGCATATAAGTCTCTCATCTCTCCTCGTTCATACCTTGAGATTCATATCATGACTAATACCATTAAAGTCAAAAATATTCCATGGGAACGACCAACATTGTTTTAAAGTTTAACCTTCAATTGACTGATGGTAAACAAATTCCATGCATCTCTGTCGCCATTTCTGTTAATATTTTTGCTGTCATTCATATCATCCACTTCCCCATCCGTTAGCTTTTGAGGATATGCGTTAGAATAGCTGTTCTTAAATGAAGGCTTTTCACCTTTGAGAGCATAAACTCTATAACTTTCTGCATACTTTATGTTTGAACCTCCTGAGCCATCATTGACATAAATTTTTATAGGCTTCCACCCTTTGTTCATGTTCCTGCTTCTTCCCTTAGCTCTTTTGTTCAGTAGTTCTACATCTTTATACACAGCTCCTGTCTCAGTGAATTCAACAATATTTTCATTCGTTAGCTTTACATTCAAACCCTTGTCGAGTATATTGTTCATTTCATACATATAAAAGGTTTTTATTCTATATGAAATGAGAAGCAAATCCATCTTAGCTGGTGCCGTTAATGTTCCAATTGAACCAACATCAAATGTTGACTCACGAACGACAAACAATATTGTCATAAAGAACTATAGTTCAGAGTGTTTGAAAGAACCAGAACCAGAGCTGAAATCCGTGAATTTAAACACAGCTTCAAACGCTAACGCTACATCAGATGTTAAGTTAGAGTATCCACCACTGGACCAAATTCTTTCAAGAGAAGCCAACGACAATCCTTACACAAATGTTCAAACAAATCCTTCAGATAACGTAGACCATTACCTTCTTCAGTTATACCAAACAATTTTACTCAAAGACGATAAGAAGCTTTTGACAAATCTTATAAGTAAGAACCAAATAATTCTAACAAAGGAGGACCTTGAAAATGTTATCTCACGAATAACAGGGAAACAATGTGTCATTGACTATCTCGACCCTGAAATCGAATGCTGTGGTCAAACTCCACTATTCATGAAAATAGGTAACATCCGCATCATTGAAACACCAGGAACTACAGGAGTTGAGTTTAAGTATAAATATTCGAATGAATATACAAAACTTTCAACAGAATATAAACTTTGTTTGAAATATGTTTTAGTAAATTAAAGCAGTCAGGAGGGCTCTTTGAGAGTGTGGTAGAATTTACGAAAAAGTGACACTTAACCTTAAATTTCCAAACACTATTTTTTGATTGTATTTTGTTATTTATATATTTATATATATAAATATATTTATATATGTATATTTATATATGTATATATTTATATATGTATATATTTATATATGTATATATTTATATATGTATATATTTATATATGTATATATATATATTATATTTATATATTATATATTTATATATATGTATATTTATATATGTATATATTATATATGTATATATTTATATATGTATATATTTATATATGTATATATTTATATATGTATATATTTATATATGTATATTTATATATGTATATTTATATATGTATATATTTATATATGTATATATTTATATATGTATATATTTATATATGTATATATTTATATATGTATATATTTATATATGTATATATTTATATATGTATATATTTATATATGTATATATTTATATATGTATATATTATATATGTATATATTTATATATGTATATATTTATATATGTATATATTTATATATGTATATTATATATGTATATATTATATATGTATATATTTATATATGTATATATTTATATATGTATATATTTATATATGTATATATTTATATATGTATATATTTATATATGTATATATTTATATATGTATATATTTATATATGTATATATTTATATATGTATATATTATATATGTATATATTTATATATGTATATTTATATATTATATTTATATATGTATATATTTATATATGTATATATTTATATATGTATATATTTATATATGTATATATTTATATATGTATATATTTATATATGTATATATTTATATATGTATATATTTATATATGTATATATTTATATATGTATATATTATATATATGTATATATTTATATATGTATATATTTATATATGTATATATGCATGTATTTATATATGTATATTATTTAAAAAAATTAAAAATAATATAATTAAAATTTATTTATATTTTAAATTTCATACTGATCTTCGATTCCAATTTGTGAATTGATATCATTAACAATTGAATTTCGGTGCACCCCTATGAGAGCGCTGGCGACCGAAACACAACTAGTAAGATTGTGTATTAGAAACTGCTTCATGCTGTGTTGAGTAAGCTTCGATGTCTTTGTAGGATAGCTTTCTGAGAGCGAAACAAGATAGTGTTGAAAAAAAAAATTGAAAATCTGAGAGACTGTGCAAGAGCCAACGACCAAAACACTACCAGTAAGATACAGCAGTAGTAGCTGCTTCATGCTGCATTGAGTATTGTTGAATAATTTGAAGTAGTGGTTTTTGAAATCAGCACCCCTATGAGAGCGCTGGCGACCGAAACACAACTAGTAAGATTGTGTATTAGAAACTGCTTCATGCTGTGTTGAGTAAGCTTCGATGTCTTTGTAGGATAGCTTTCTGAGAGCGAAACAAGATAGTGTTGAAAAAAAAATTGAAAATCTGAGAGACTGTGCAAGAGCCAACGACCAAAACACTACCAGTAAGATACAGCAGTAGTAGCTGCTTCATGCTGCATTGAGTATTGTTGAATAATTTGAAGTAGTGGTTTTTGAAATCAGCACCCCTATGAGAGCGCTGGCGACCGAAACACAACTAGTAAGATTGTGTATTAGAAACTGCTTCATGCTTTGTTGAGTAAGCTTCGATATCTTTATCAGACCACCTTTAAATTAACCACTCACATTCTCACTGTGGTCCATCTAAAATTTGTAAACTTTATGACATAAAATTATATTTTATGCAGGATCCCACCTATTACTTAATCTTTTTGGAATAAATGTTTTATAATATTTATCGATTGATTGTAATTTTTTGTATAAAAAAAAGTTTTTTATTTATATTAAAAATATATTCGGTTAATGATATTATCTTATAATTTGTAAATAAATCTAGTAATAAAATAACTTTAATAGTTGGTGTCACTTTTTCGAAAATTCTGGTTTTTTCATATACAAAACTTTCAACAGAATATAAACTTTGTTTGAAATATGTTTTAGTAAATTAAAGCAGTCAGGAGGGCTCTTTGAGCCCATCTTGGCGCTTTGTGCCGTCAGTCAAAAAAATTTCAAGTTAGCAATTTGTAATATCTATCCAAAACTTCTTCAACAGTATCGAACTCATCTTCATAATGCAAACCTAATCTTATTGACTTGGTGCAGTTTTCACTAACACAATATTTTTCTGTTCTCTTGACTGACATAACTAACTCATTTGTTTCATCAAACAGCAACAACCAAAGTTCATGACCTAATACATAACATTCATACTTTATATTTTTAGCTCTGAGTTCTCTTGTAAGCTGTTGCATTTAATATTTTCTAAAAAGTCAACTTCAACAGTCATTCGCACTGGTGCCTTCAGTTCTACAGGCTCTCCTTGAAAGTCAACAAGTCTGAATTGCATGTCTTTCAAATTATGAGGACTAATGCGAACCCATTTACCTAAATGAGTTGCTATGACAGGAACGTTTGGAATGAACATTGAATTGACTGCATAACAGAAGGATTTATATTCTACTGAACCTTTACTATTAACTCCTGAAATGCCTGTGACATTAGCTATTTTAGACTCAATGTATAAACAATTACCATAACATACGTATGGAACAGATTTCATCTCAATCGTTTTGTCAACACTTTTCAAAGGAAATGTCATATGGTATGCACCCAAAAGAAGTTGTACTCTATGACTCATTCGTGTTATCTTAAACTCCTTCGCATAACTGAACTTCAAAACTCCTGCAATAAGTTTAACATTCATTAAGTTTTCTTCGTTATCCTTGTTTATTGTAGTATTTATGAGAGCATTTAACACTCCAGCTAATGTTTCCATCTTATATTCTACATTATTGTGAAATCTTATTTCGTGCTTCTTTCCATCTATTTCAATCTCCATGAAATCTGTTTCATCTGTTATAACGAATGAAGCGATAGTATTGAAGTCAACCATTCTGAATGCAAGCGCCTCATTCTGTAGACCTAAGTTTGTTTGTAGCTTTACTGTCCCGTATTCGTTTGGGTCTGTACTTTGCAAATAGAACAACATTTTATTCTCATTAAAATATGAGTATAGCTGCATATGCGTATGAAGCTGACAGAGCTAAACGTTTATATTTTGGTCAATACTCTCTCACACTTACTGACAAATATATTGTTATTTCTGATGGAAATACTGAGAAATACATAACATGGAAGGACTATGAAAAGTTTGACCCTATTTTAACTCCATGTACTATGCCATTCATTGTAAATGGTGAAATTGTCATGAAGAACGACACAACTGTTTATAGGTCTGTATATGAAGCTCTTGAAAGCATTCTTAACTTCAATCCTTCAGGGTTCGATACAAAAACAACTCCTTCGACAATGCCATTCATTGTAAATGGTGAAATTGTGTCAAAAAATAATGAAACAGTGTATAAGTCAGTGTATGAGGCGCTGAACTATATGCTTCATTTCAATCCTTCTGGTTTTGACCCACAAATAACTTCATGTACTATGCCATTCATTGTAAATGGTGAAATCGTCATGAAGAACGACACAACTGTCTCAAAGTCTGTTCGTGATATTTTAGACTACTTGCTTCATTTGGGTCCTACAGGATTTGACCCATATACAACTCAATGTCAAGTACCATTCATAAACGACTCAGCAGAAATAAAACTCAAAACGTCAACAGTAGATGAAGCAATTGCTGACTCATTGACAAAACTTCTTGATATAATAATGAGGTTCAATACATTCAAAACAACATATGAAACCTTTAAGAAAAATTATGACGATTTCTTTAAAATTACATACATCGAGCCTTCTGCTCCTCAAACACCAGACTATGCATGCCTTAAAATAAAGGCTGCACGGACACAAGTTAGAACATTGACTTTTGACGGAGATAATATCGTTAGAGACGTTACACCTGGAGACACATTACTTACGAAAGAATACTTAAAAAGTCATATCAGTGATTTTGTGAAAGTAGAACAAAGTGGAGCAGGTAAGAGTTGGTTAGGGTGGTTGTTTACTTTATTTTCATCAGGTGTAACAACTGCATCTCTTATAACCATGCAAAGTGAGATAGATGCACTCTGGGCTTTTCTTGGTGGCATAGATAGCATGAAGTTTTATGTTGAGTTTGCTAAATTACATGGAAATACAGGAAGTTTCTTTGACGGTCTCAAAAATTTATGGGGTAAAGTAACATATAATACAAAGAAACTAACTAACTGGGCACTCAAACGTAAAAATATGTTCGACGGACTTGCTTACAACCCTCGTCTCGGAATTATTGAACCAATTAATTTACATCCTTTAATGGCAGCAAGAGATTTAGATGAAGGAGGACAAGTGGTTCAAACAATTGTTGAAAATCTACTGAATATATATCCTGAGTTTAAAGAAGTTTTAACAGCAACAAACACAACAATTCGTGAAAACTGTATAGTGTTTAACACTGAAGATAATATTTTAGACTATATGTTCGTTGTTTTAGGTCAGTTAGCTAAGACAATAAAAGAGAAAGGTATTGACTCAGTCATAACAGTTGAAGATGTAATGTTAAGAAAGACTTTTGACTCATTGTTTCAAGAACCAAAAGAAGTAGTTAGTCTTTATGAAGTTTTGAACGCAATGCTGACAAAAATAAATGAAAGTGACACTGGTAACATAAGTGAAGCAAAAGTTGTTGAACTTCTTTCACAAAAAGCAGATAAAAACCATGTTCATTATATAACTTCAGACGAACAGATTATAACGGACTACCATGGATATTTAACACGAAGTGATGAAGCGAAGACAAAAAATGTTAATGAAAGAAGATATAAATACATTCGTGCTAAAGGTTATGACATAAGCTGTACTGTATGATGTAGCTAAAGCACCAGAAGCATTTGGTTATACCGGTGAAATTTATGCCTCTACTTTCTGTTAACGGTGTATTAGTTGAACCAAGATTTACTTTGAGAGTTAAGGCAAAAATAACTTTTGAAGATGCTATTAAAAGTAAAGCTGACAAAGATGAACTTGACGCAACGAACAAAGTTTTGAAATCTCATAAACACAATATCTCCGATATAAATGAACTTCAAGCTACATTAAATAGTAAAGCTGACAAGAACCATACACATAAATCCTTCACTACTGTTAGAGCAGACGACATAATATTGAACTATACCCTTGGTTCAAGTGCACCTTTAGAGAATCCAAGTACAAGCGTAAAAGATACACTAAACTTTAATAACAATGTATGAACATTGAAGGTCATGCAGAAACTTTGAAACATATGAACTACCAGCAATGTTAGATAAGAAAGCTGACAAAGAACATACACATAAATCCTTCACTACTGTTAGAGCAGACGACATAATATTGAACTATATTGGTTCAAGTGCACCTTTAGAGAATCCGAGTACAAGCGTAAAAGATACTCTTAACAATTTAGATAACAGTGTAGAACATCGAAGGTCATGCCAGAAACTTTGAAACATATGAACTACCAGCAATGTTAGATAAGAAAGCCGACAAAACTTATGTAGATGAAAATTATGCAAAGAAGTCGGAAGTAAATGCTGCGCTTAATGGAAAAGCCGACAAGAACCATACACATGAAGAATTTCAAACAATCAAGATTAAAGAAATTAAAGCATGCATCGAAATAGTAACAAAAACAGGAAGAAACGGTGCAACTGTACAAGAACAAAGAATTTATCCTCCTACTTTTCCTAATGGTTTAATAACAAACAATATAAATATTGTAGATGGCAAAGGATTTATAAATGTTAAACATGAACTTCAAACAATGAAGACTCAGATTCTTGAAACCATATATCCTATAGGCTCTATTTATACGTCAATGAACTCAACAAATCCAGAAGTTTTTAGGTTTTGGTACGTGGGAACAGATTGTAGACAAATTCTTATACTGTGCTAACTCTTCAAAGCAAACAGGGGGTTCGAAGAAAATTAAAGAAGCAAACCTTCCACCGCACACTCATACTGGAACTACAAACACAACAGGTAATCATTCACATTCAATAACAAAAAGAGGTTATACAAATCTTGCAGCAGGTTCGGATAGACAGGGAATGCATAGATATGATATTTCAAGTGACCCAGTAGATTCAAGCGCAGGTATTTTCTGTGGAACCACAGGAAATCATTCACACACTTTCACAACAAATCCAACAGGCTCGGGTGCAGATTATATGCCACCATTTGTGACTATATTCGCATGGTACCGCGTTCAATGAACGCGCTTGAGCCTTGAATAAAATCTTTAACTTTACATAAATGAGCTTGAAAGAAGTATTCGAACAACATCCATGGAGGTCATTTAAGAAGTTCAATGAAGCTGCAAAGAGTTGGGGATTTACTAACAGAGCTGAAGTGAAAAGATTCTTTGACAAAAATGTTGTACATCAAACAAAAATAAACCCTTACGACTACTTTTTACCAATTTACTCCAACACTCCTGACGCATACCAATTTGACACTCTCATTCAAAGCAGAAAAGGAGGACATAACCATTCCTCATCTTCATAAATGTTAATACTCGCAAAGCATATGCATATCCAATGAGGAATAAAGGAACTCGTGAAGTGTTAAGAGTTTTACAAAAGTTCGTGGCAGAACATAGCCCAAGTACTTTAACATCAGACCAAGACAGTGCATACCTCAGCAATGAAATCACAGATTTTCTCATTAAGCATAACATAACTCACTACACTACTGAAGACCATAACCATAACATACTCGGCATCATAAACCGCTTCATAAGAACGCTCAGAGATTTAAATCAAGAGCGAGACTTTACCGAAGAAACAATGAAACATTTTCTCGAAGTATATAATTCCTCAACACATTCTACAACAGGACATACACCAAATTCAATGACACAAAAACAAGAAGAAAAGTATATACAAAAGAAACAAAGCCAAACACAAAATATCAGAAATTCAACACAATTTACCCTCATTCCTGGAACAAAAGTTCGTGTAGTTCTTGACGACAAACCGTTGACAAAGAAACGTTTAAGGTTAAGTAGAAACTATTATATCGTAGACTCTACGCAAGGTAATGGATATCTTATAAAAGCTGCTGACGACTCTATTGCGTTTTACCCTCGTCACAAATTAGTCGAAAGTAGTAATGGCAAACTTGCTGAAACCATTGACGAAGCAAAGCGAGGAGTGGTTATTGAAATACTTGGCTATAACATAAACGATGACACTTATAAAGTAAGATATGAAGGAGGCGTTGAAGATGTTATACCATCTAAGAACTTGAGAGAGTCAAAGCCAACACATCTGGGACCATTAGAGCGGGAGTACTGGAAAGACAAAAATATGCCAGAAAGAATAAGAAAATTCTTCTAAACTTTTTCATTAGATGTAAATCAGACATGAATGAGAACAGTCATGATATCATTAATGGTACCATTTATTTTTATTGAATTCACCAAAAATAATGTTTAGGTGAAGAGGTGAGATCTCACCTGTTTTCTCACCTGTTTTTTCACCCTCGCCGCTTAGCGGCTCAGATTGCTTTAGCTTTCTCGTGAATTTTCATGAATTTCCTTAAGACAGAAAAAATAAAGTTAGTTTTATTTTTATTTATTTTTTTATTTTGTATAAAAGATATGATTTCAACAATCGGCACAACAACAATTCAAGCCACGAACGGCGGGACTCTGTCCACAACTACAGCACCAAACTCGCTAGTCATGAATCCTACGTCAATGTTGGTAGAGATGAAAAGCTTTATTCCTTCTTCATATACTTTTGAAACAGAAATCCAGAAGATAAAGCAAGAACTTTTAACAAGTAATTTAGACTGTAGTGCGAAAGATGAAACAAATGAACAGTATCTTTATGAAATGGAGGACCTCATCGACCATTTGCCTAAACTACCTGAAATTCAGCAGCAAAAACTAACTATTCCTGAATTCGACGAAATTGAAGTCAAAGCAACTGACTCAGTAGAAATTAAGAAATTCATACGTAAAGTAAATTATGAATTCCTTGGTTTTCATTGCAACCATAAAGTTATGGACAAAGATTGCGACATGGTTTATAAAAATATTTCTGACCTTTACAAATCCGAAGAATTTAAGACATACGATAACTTTGTTTCATTAGTTGCAAAATGTGTATGGCAGATAAGAGATAAAGATAGAAGAGGTAAGTATGGAATGAACAAAAACCAGCATTTTGAGTTAAAGAACCATTGACGCTTAGTTTTTCTAGCTGGTTTTATTTCAATGTATAACGCAAAAACGATGCCGCAATGTTCAAAATGTAAAGCAGCAATAAGAAAATATAACTACTCAGTCAAAGAGATAGAAAGAATGCGAAACGACTATGCAGACTTAAAGAAAGAAGCAGAAAAGCCAGCAGAAGATAAAATGGATATGTTGACATTTCTTAATAAAAACTATCCAACAGCAGAAGATTTCCTTTATCTGACGTCAAGAAGAAGTATAAAGAAACCTTCGGCATTGTTAAAACATTCGATGTACTAAAAGAAGAAATAGAAGCTACGAAATTGTTTAGGATTTCAAATATACATCGTACAATTCATGTAAAACGCTTGTGAAAAAAGAGGTGAAAAAACAGGTGAAAAAACAGGTGAGATCTCACCTCTTCACCTCAACATTATTTTTATTGAATTCAGCACAAAAATAATGAATTTCATTAGTTATTTTGTATGTAAAGACAGTAATGACAAACATTGAGTTTGAAACAGTTAGAAAGATAGACAATGACACCAAAGTGGTTAGAATAGGTGATTTAAACGTAAGATACTCAAAGAAATACAACAAATATTCTTTGTCAGACATTATATCTCCATCTGGAAAGAAAACAAACGACTGGGTTAGAAATGCTTCAACTCAGAAAATTTTGACAAGAAATCCTGAGCTTATGATATCAGTAGCATTTCATGGAACAAGAGCATATCTTATAGACAAAAGTCTTATACCAATAGTTTTGTTATGGTTAGACCCAGTTGTTGGATATAACTTCATAACATATGGTTCATTCGATACGGAACGTTGCAGTGAAGGCTTACTTTACATCGTTCAGAAACCGAAGGACTTCAACACAAAAAGATATAAGATAGGAAGGACATATAATATAACTCAAAGATATGACAGTACAGTCAATAGAGTCAAGGTTGTGTTTGTTAATGATATGAGAGCTGCTGAAACAGAACTGCTTGAAGTTTTTGAGAAAATGTATGGTGCTCCCACGAAAGGTAAAGAAACGTTTGAAGTAGATGAGATAGATAAAGCTATAAAATTATTTGACGAAGTTGCTGAAAAATACATGTAAAGCGTTTATTTTTGGTCTTTTGTGAAAGTCAGAAAATAAAGTTAGTTTTATTTTTATTTATTTTTTTATTTTGTATGTAAAGACAGTAATGTCAACATCAGAGAACACAACAACAGTTATAGTCCATGAAGCTATAAATGAAGAATACGAATACATACAGTATAACAAACAACTTCGCCTCATTCGTTCGGTCAAAGACGATATGTACCAAATGCAAAGTATAATGAACGCTCTTCGTTCTACAAAGCAAGCATATCATTGGTTTGAAAACCAACAGACAAAAGAACTTTTAGAAGAATTTCCTCATATGATTGCTTCCCTCGGAAAACCGAGAGAAGAGATTCCGTACGAAAATCGCAAGAATTTGGCTCCTGGTTTGAAAGGTTATTATGTTCATAGACTTTTAGTAAACGCTGTAGCAATGTGGGCTTCACCTCGTTATGCTTGTTATATTTTCATGATGTTAGATGAACTATATAAAGCAGAACGTGGAGAGATGGAAAAGAAACTTCAAGCAAAAGATGAAGTCATTGAATCCAAAGACAAAAGCATACAGAAAAGAATACCGCGTTCGGTACCAAAAGGAAAGGAAAAGAGTTATAAGTATATGATATATACTGAAGAGTTGGAGAAAGAAGAAGATAAAGATGTGGTTATGTTGCATTTAGTCAGAAGAAACAACAAGAGCTTTTATGACTTAGCTAAAATATATAAATCTGACAGAAACTGGTTCTATCGTGAAAACTTACCGATTTCAATGACACCGAATGAGCAAATAAAGGAAATTGTCAAAAATACTCTTCCTCAAACACACTATGACATCAAAGGTTGCACAATACTTACATTCAAAGAAGACTTAACATTACTGAAGGAAAAAATAACAGAATATTTCGATAACTTCAAAGAGGAAGAATAAAAAAATCTAAGCTAATTTTATTTTTTTATAAAATTTTATCTCATATGAAAGAACATGAATTTAGAATATTCGGAACTCATGACAGAAGAAGAGAACGAACAACATGTAAAAGATTATGCAAAATTTCTGAAGACATACAAAGCATTTAAACAATATCTAAATGCTTCTAAAGATTATGCAAAATTTCTGAAGGTATATAAAGCTTATGAAAAAGCGTATGAAAAGTTTATACATTGGGGAATTGTTGTAAAATATCGATATGAAGACTAACCAAAAATATATTTTTGCTTAAATAGCTTCAGGGTCTATTTCTTCAACCATTTCACTTCCTTCGTCAATGTCAATAGAAGCTTCTTCAACCTTTGGTAAGAATTTCTGTATAACATCTTTGTTCGTTATTGTCTTCAGAGATGAAGGATAATATTTCACATTTGTTTCACCCTTCTTATATTCTTTCTGTTCGGAAAGATTTAAAGCAATACTGAAGAAGTCAATGTTAGAGTTCTTTATGACAGTATAATGAGTATCTTTGACATTCACGAAGAAACTCTTTTGTTTCAAAACTACTGCTAACTCTTGTGAAGTATAACGTTTGCGGTCAATGACGATAGCTAATGGTCTGACATACTGACCAAACTTAGATTCTTTCACAAACTTCTTGTTAAAGATAACATTAACATTTGAAGCATTATTGAACTCATTCTTGATGGCAGTAGCGAGAGCATTGTATGAAAAGAACTTGCAATCTTGCATGTGTTTCATTAAAATAAAAATATTAAATTATTTTGAAAAATAACTTAAAAAAATCTAATCTAATTTTTTCAAAAAATATTTTTTTATTTCCTACTAAAGATGTATCGGAAGTTGTCTAAGTTAGAACACTCGGAAATAAAACAACTTCTTACAGAAGCTAACATAGAAGTAGCAAAACATTACGCAACAAACAAAAAAGCACTCGCTGACTTCATTAAAGACTATAATGGTGCAATAAGTTATGATAGAATTCATGAGTTCATAAAGCCGCAACGCGGCGAGGACGAAGTCCATGCAAGAGCATTTCCTTTAAATGACGTTGCTATTGACTTATATCATAGACGTTCAGTACCTCATGAAGTAAGAAGAGAAATGTTTGACATAACAAATGCAAACGTTGGTGAAACAAGAAGAAGAGACGACACACTGAAACAACAGAGAAGAGAGATGTTTAAGAGCGCTATAGAACAAGTTCGCAAAGCTAACGATGTCATTCGTTCCATTGACGACAAACCAAAAGAAGGTGAGAGATGGTTAAAGAAAGATGAAGAGAATAGGAAGAGAAATGTGAAGTCAGGCAATAGACTCATTGACTTTAACATCGAAGCTTTAGATGAACCAAACAGAGACTACTTACACAAACATTTCGGTAAGGTTTTCATGAGACTCTTAGAGAAAATTAAAATAAACTCACAACAGAGATGGATGGTATGTTATAAACTTGGTGGAAAGTATGAATGTTCTACGTTAAACCTCAATAATATTGGAACATTACTACATCAGCTCTTGAAGGAGAACTTTATATCAGAGATAGAAGCAAATGCTGCAGGTATTGTTGAAATGCACTATGACTTCTTCTTGACAAACATAAAGAATCTTACTGAAATAAAGATGTATGATTTAACAGAATATGAAGGCTTAACGATGTCAGATGTAAAGAAAGGCAAACCAAAAAAGAGACCATATAGAGATGAAAGCACACTGACAAATGACCAGAAAGCCATTTTGGAAGCTCTTAAGCAAACAGGAAACCCAGCACTTATAGAAAGCTTTTGGAAAGATAATGGTGAAAAGAAGTTTTATAAGAAGAGAAGCGGTCAGTTCTGGAAGTATCTTTGCACATTACCTATAAATCTTGAACGCTACCAAATCTTCAATGAACTGAACAAAAGAACTGCAGCACTTATGACAGAAGACAATTGTTTCGTTTATGCTTGCATTCAGGCTGGAGTAGATGGAGAGACTATTGACCACATGAGAGAAGTCATTCGTGTTAGAGACTTTCCTCAAAGTAAAGTACAAGAAATTTCTGACGCAACAGGTATAGCATTTAATGTTACCATTGGTTATTTCAATGACTCAAGACATAATGAAATAAAGAGATACATACCAAAAGAATGTGAAACTGTTCGAACTATTGACTTACTTCTTGTTGAAGACCACTACATGCTAAATGAAAGATTACCAATGACAACATATTTCATTCGCAACTATATAGAAATCTGAAAGTGTGGTGGAATGAACATTGAGAAACAAATGAAGATTTATACAAAGAGAGAAGATAAATATGTAGTTCGTTATGATAGAACAACACCGTTATGGGATGTTATGAAAACATTGTGGGAGTGCAAATATTTCGAACCTATTTCTTATGGAGAACTTTTCACATATACGACTGACTTATATAAACAGAACCTTGCACCATTTAAAGATTTGACATATGCTCCAAAGTATTGTGTACAACTGAAGAAGAAAGCCGAGTCAAAAGAAGTAAATAAATAAGTGTAAGTTCATTCCTGAGCACGTTTTCTTTGCTGACTTTGAGTGTAGCACAGACGGCTTTCATAAAGCTTTTAACATCTGTTACGACAGTGAAGATGGTTCAGTGAGTGAAAGCATTTGGGGTCAGAACTGTGCAACAGAATTTTTGGAGCGACTTCCTGACAAGAGTTTAATATATTTCCATAACCTCAGTTATGATATAAACTTCATCTTAAGACACATGACAGAAGTGAAAGGAACTCCCATCATTAAAGGTTCACGAACAATGCAAATAACTGGCTTATATAAAGGAAGGGCAATTATTATAAAAGACTCTTACAGTGTTATAAATAAGAAGCTTAAACTATTTCCTGCTATGTTTAACTTACAAACAGGACCGAAAGAAGTATTTCCATACAACTACTACAGCAGTGTTTTGTTAGCAAATGACAACAGAACTGGTGTCATTTCTGAAGCATGTAAGTTTATCCGGGATGCAGATACATTCATGAAAAACATAGATTCCATCAAAGGTTGCAGAATAGATGAGAACCACTTCGACTTAGAAAAGTATAGCACATTTTATTGCAAACAAGATGTAAGAATTTTAAGAGAAGGTTTTGTTAAGTTCCGCAATGACATATTGAAAGAATTTGATTTAAACGTTTATGACTACGTTAGTATTTGTTCAATTGCTAACAAATTGTTTGAGAACAGAGTGTACTTCCCGAATGGAAATTTATATGACCTCTCAAATAAACCAAGAGAGTTTATTTCGAGATGCATTCAAGGTGGAAGATGTATGCTGTCAGATAACATTAAACAAAAGAGCGAAAAGAAACTCATTGCTGACTTCGACGCTGTTTCATTATATCCATCAGCTATAGCAAGACTTTATACTTTAGAAGGTATTCCAAAGGTTATGAAGAAAGAAATGTTAAGCACAGAGTATCTCATGAGACATTTATTCGATGACGACCAAAAGGAACCCATTGGTGAAAAGTTTATGTCTGGCTTCTTTGTTCTCATTAAGATAACAGAGATTGGAATACATAGACACTTTCCTTTAATAGTTTGTGACCCTGAACTAAATCCAGAACTTAACGTTCCCAGAAGTTCAAACACTTGCTGTTTAATGTATGTTGACCATATAACATTACAAGACCTCATAAAATATCAAGGTGTCAAATGTGAAGTGTTGCAAGGATACTATTACGATGGAAACAGAGATATTAGAATAAGAGATGAAGTAAAGAAGTTGTTTGAGTTAAGGTTAAAGTATAAGAAAGAAGGAAATCCTTTGCAAGAAAATATAAAGCTCATTCTGAACAGTATTTATGGCAAAACTATTCTATCTCCTATTGAGTCAAAAATAACCATAGTAAATGACAAAGATGCTATAAGATATGCCATCAGAAACTACAACCATATAGTGAAGTTCGAAGGTTTGGATGGTTCAGATAAAACTATTTTCAAGCTAACGAAAAGCATTTGCAGACACTTTAACTTCTGTCCACTTGGTGTTAACATTCTGTCTATGTCGAAGAGAATAATGTGTGAAGTATTCTGTACTGCTGAAGATATGGGTCTTCAAATATTTTACCAGGACTGCGATAGCATGCATATTTTCAATGAAGACATCCCACTGTTAGCTCAGGATTTCAGAAGAGATACGGTAGAGAACTTATTGGTAAAACATTAGGTCAGTTCCATTCTGACTTCGCAGAAATAACACCTGGAAAACAAAGTTTAGCATACAAGTCAATATTTTGTGGAAAGAAGACTTACATAGACTTACTCACGAATGATTTAAATGAAGTTGCATTTCATGCACGTTGTAAAGGTGTAAAACAAGACGTTCTTGCTTTAACAGCTAATGAAATGTTTCCTGAAGCTATACAATGCTATTACAATGAAGATAAGAACATTCACATACCTGTTGGAACATATGACAAAGACTCTGAGTTCAGTTTAATGAAACTTTACAAAGCACTTCATGATGGTCAAGAGATTGGATTTACTTATGTAAGTCTTCTAGTCCTTGCTTTGCTGAAAAGTTTAACTTCTCAATAACGACTAAAACAAGCTTTATTCGTAAGTTGAAGTTCTGAGGTCATTTATTTTTGTCAGCAATGAGGTCATTCGTGATAAAAATAATGAGGTCATATATTTTTGTCATTTATGTATAACCATTGTCTCTCTTAAACTTTGCAATAGACAGCTTTGTTCTTCTTCCTTCTACATCTGTAATGTTTATATAATCTTTGCTATACTGTCTTAAGACATTCATTCGTCTGTATTGAGTTCCCATGAAATAGTAAAAGACATCTTCACTTGGGACATAGTAGTAATTTTCTAGAGTAAATTTAGAGTATTGTATAATTTCAACAGCATCTTCAGGAAGAGTGTCTACAATGTCAAACCAATAGCCATTCGAACCAGAAATATTTCTCATGTTTTGTCTTCTCGACACCCACCTTAAGTTTGAGATATGAAAGTCTCCTCTGTCTCTGTTTATATGGTCTACTTCTCGAAGTCCTTCAGGATTCGGTATAAATTGATTTGCAACAATTTTATGCTTAAAGAGTTTATGTTTGTTTAAATAAACACAAATATAACCATCACCGTTGTCAAACTCACTTACAACTCTTTTGTTACTTATGCGCCTAATTGGATATGGGTACTCTGAAAAGATTTCATAGTCATTGTCATGTTCGAGTGTTTGCCAATGTCCTTCACCTTCCATGCCTTTCACTCAAATAAAAATTTTCAGAAAAAAATAAAACTAGCGTAGATTTTACAATACAGCAATTGTAGAGTTTAAGAGTTGTGCTTCAATGTAGAGACAGTCCTTATGGTCTGGAGGTAAGAACACTGGGCAGTTATGGTCATGAGTGGAGAACATGTCTATCCAAAACTCACGATTGAAGCCAGTTAATTTATAGTATTTAGGGTTAGGAAGTGGTGTAGTTCTTGTATGACCTATGAACTCATTTTCAACTCCCTTACTTAAGTTTGAATATAATATAGCTTGCTTTCTATCCCAAATGCCAGGTGTTACAATCTTTGAAAATTCATTTTTCCTCGGAAGCATTGCATCATAATTGAAAACATTCTTGAAATCATCACTTGGTTCAGAGATTTGAAATCTTATACGTAATGGATTTTTTTTCTTTTTAGCTACTTCATTGAATGGTGAGAATACAATGAATTGACGGTCATGAGTTCCATCAGCATTTGCTACAAACTCGTAATGAAAAGCTATTAATCTTTCTACAATTCCTTCTTCTTTCAGTTCTGCAAAATCACGTAAAGGCTGTAAAGTTTGTACTTCAATGTTAAACTTCTTTGAAAATTTTCGTAAAATGTAATTATACAGTCTTCTAACGTCGTACTGTCATTGAAGTATTTGTATATGTGAATGTTTTGGGCGCTTAAAGACTGTTCGTCATTTTCTATCTCGACTTGAAGTATAAAGTCAACCTTTCTGAAAGCACGTGTTATATACATAGATGTTATGCCAATGTACTTCTCTTCATTTATGTTCACAATCCAGTCTGTTGGAAACTTAAACGTTACTCTGTTCCCCTTTATTTTGACGTCAGGGTTTTCACTACTGAACGCAACAGATAAAGGTATTTGTCTATACATTTAATGCGGATAAAAATAAACCATTTACTCTTTCTTTGCTTCAGCTTCTTTAGCTTTTGCTTCAGCTTCTTCTCTAGCTTTCTTCGCCAGTAGTCTTGGGTTCTTTTGTCTTCCAGCAGCTAATGCAGCAAGTTGTTTTTCACTAAGTTTTCTCTTTGGTCTCTCTGGCTTTTGTTCTTGTTTTTGTTCCTTCAGTTTGGATAAAATTTGCTCACGAATTTCTTTCTTCAATGCTTCAACATCTATGACCCCTTGGGTCTTGTCCGTAGGGCTTGTCTGAGTCATTTGACTGCAGATAAAAAACAAAATTAAAACTTTAACCGATGTAAAATGAGCTTGTCAAAATCAGAACGAGAGTCTATTATATTAAATGACGCAAGAGGAATACAACATCCTTTCTATTACGTAAGTCTGAGTAAAGATGGTAAAATATACGTAAGAAAAAGAAAGGTTCCATTAGCGAATGCAGAAAGCGACAACATTAAGGTGTATGGCAAGGGTGAAGTCCACGAAGCCCATATTAAGCCTTCTATTCAAACTGAAAAGTCAATAGAACCAGAAGAAAAGAAGCCAGATGTACTTTCAATAACGAACCAAGAGCTTATTGCAAAGTTCGTGAATTTCATTGAAAAACAAACCGAGTCAAAGAATCCTGACCCGCCAGTGAAAGAAGTTGAGACAAAAGAGAATGTACAGTTCATTGAAAATGTCAAGAAACAACCTCCACCACGAATGCCAAGAAGAAGAGTGAGAATAATGAAGTAAATAGATATTTTTATCCGAAGTAAATACATGCAGAACGAACAGCTAAACGAATTTACTCCAGCAGAGCATATTCATCAGATTCGCTCATATTTCGATATCATAGACAATGCAGTTCAAATTGGTGACACTAATAGAAAATATTCTGACGCAAAGATTCCATCACAACCGAACTGAACTGCTAAAGATAACACATGGGTAACATTCAATCTCTCACCTCCTGGTGAAAATATGTTGGACCTTTACAATACATTCATTACGTATAAAATGGAAGGTCAATTTATTGTAGATAAAGAAATTGGTTCAGGTTCCAATAAAACAAACCCACCAGGATTTTGGATTGGTTTCGATGACGCTTTCTATGCAGTTGCTGGATATTCAAATCCTTGCAAATGGTCGTATCGTATATTCTCAAGACAACGCAAGAGAAGAAGCATATATAACTTCAAACTCACAAACTACCGAACAAATAAAGAAAGTAGATGTTTTCTCAAAGACTCGACATGAAGATGTATGGAGTCATTCGGGAACATGCAGAACAGGACAAATTGTTAGTGGTCCATTACAGCAGGAAAATCATTTGATTTTAAGCTTCGTTTAAGAATTCCTGTTAGAAGATTCCTTCCATTAGAAGCTATTCGATTTATTCCAGCTTTTGCAGGAAACATTCAGCTTAAAGTAAAGTTCAGTAGCGACGCCTTACAATGCACATCTATATCTGTAAATGATATCATTGCTTTCAATCCAACTCTTAAAGTTGCATTTGCTTCAGATTCAAATCACCGACAAATAAATTTGTTCCATGGAATGAACCATTCACTATGATAACGAAGGCAGTAGAAGCTAGTGGAACAGTTACTATTACAACTGTAACCCAGCAACTATTTCGAACAAAGATGGATTTTAATGAATGTTTCATTCATCCAAAGTCATTCTCTTTAGACCCTAACATTTATACAGAACTTGTAGAACATTATACAAACGAGGCTTTATGTTTTCCTGTTAAAGTTATGGATTGGATTCCTATGGACGGTTCATTCTCAAAGAATACAGATAGTTCAAGTGCAACATTTACAGCAGCTTATACGCCTATTAATGTTAAAAGTATTTGGGCACTATTTAGAAAGAAAGACAACTATTATGTTAATTTTGAGAACCCTAAGTTTAAATATCTTCAGCTTTCCATGGGAGCTTATGGAAATATGCCTGCAGAACCTGAAAAATCATATGGACCTGTATTTTATGAAATGGTTGCGAACGCCTGCAATACAAACAATGATATGATAGGATTTAATGAAGATGTTATGAGGTCATTGGTGGATGATGGTAGTGTGGAACATAAATGGGATAGCTATGACAACACACATTTCTTATGTGGTTTTCCAACAGAAGTGGACTTTTGCTTCCAGCAAGGTCAAACATCTACTGCTCCAATAACATACAAATTGTCTGTTAAAGGACCTATTGAACTAGCAACTGAAAATGTACCAAAGCCACTTATTGGATTTATGAGGGATTGTTGCTTTGCCATTCAGGTGCGTGCTAATGGCATCCCCATAATAAGATTAGATGACTATAACTTAGCTACAGACGACGTGAGGAATAAAGGATGAACGTTTATTTTAAAGCTTATAAATGAGTTCTTCATCAAGCTCTCGTGAACCTTCACCATCTATGAAACAAACTTTACCAAACGATTATGGAGCACCTATTGAATATTTCTTACGAGCTGCACAATGGCAAAGAGCAGTCTCACCAAGGTTAGGTGTTCCACCAGCTCCTGTCAAAAATAGCATTTGGTCAAATCCTTATATAAAATATGGTCTCCCACTAGGTTTGCTAGCTACAGCAGGAGCAGTTATGATGTTGAAAAGAAATAAAGCAAATGTTGTAAATAATACTGAAGTAGCTGAAGTTCAACAAACTCCAACGCCTTCACAAGCAAAACCTTCAATGACTCCTGAACCTATGGAAGTACAAACTCCTGTTCAAAAGTCAACTCCTAAACCGACTCCAACATTTAAAGAACCAGAACCTACTCCTCAAATAAATCGTAAAACTCCTGCGTTTCCTTACTGAAAAAATAACGTTATTTTTATTTAATATTACAATTTTTATTTGATTGAAATGACAAATAAAGTCACTGAAGCAATGAAACAAAAGTTTTTGGTAGAATACATTAAATCAGGAACTATTCCAGAAGGTTTTTACATTCATACTATAAAGGATGGTAGAGTTCAGTTTAGAAAGATAAAGCAACCATTAGATAAAGAAGGAATTTTGAGAAAGATTAAACTTCATGAGGACAACATTGCTGAACTTAAGAAGAAGTTAGAAGAGTTGGAGAAAGGAAGAGAGTTATAAAGCAATGAATTCAACAGGGTGAAAAAACAGGTGAAAAAAGAGGTGAGATCTCACCACTTCACCTAAATTTATTTTTGTGCTATGTTTTCATACGTGTGAGGGTGGTGATATCATTTATTTTTTATTTTATTTTTTATTTTATTTTTTATTTTATTTTTTATTTTATTTTTTATTTTATTTTTATATAAATGACGAAAACTATTGAGATAACAAACTACAACGGTCATGAGTTCAAGAATTTGTTCTTCGTTCCTCGTGAAAATACATTCTATCAGATACGAGGGAGAAAGGGTAAAGTTAGTTTGAGCGTTTATGAAGGAATGAAGAATGGAAAGTTTATACAAGCATACGATACAAACGGTAAACGTGTTTCATTAGCTTTGTCAAAACTTACTAACATTTATTTTGACAGTGATTTTGACCTATATGAAGAAGAAAGTGAGTCAGAAGATTATGAGCTGTTATGTGAAGCACAGCAATGGGAGGAGTTGCAATACTTTTGTAAGTGAGAACGTTTATTTTTTACATTAGTGAGGTGAAGTGGTTGATGGCTTTGTAAATATTTAAGGTTAAGTTAGTGTTGTCGTTTGTGTTGTAAAATATACGTTAACGGTTTTGTAAAGTGTCAAACCGCTAAGTGGTGTACGGAGGCGCGCAGTGCCTCAGTACACGACTTAGCCATACTAACTTGAGAATTCAAATCTTCACAAATATTTGAAATTATATTCCAGATGTTTCCGCAGATTTGATAGCGATGAAATATTCAAAAATGTTTTTCATATCTTAAACCTTGTAGAAGTTACAACAGAATATTTATCAGAAAATCAGGATCTTTCTGAGGAACAGATCTTTATTTGCAACGATATCCTAACGAGGGTTAATTTAATTTAATTTTTATTTTTTATTTCAAGTTTGAGTAAACTTTCAAGATAATCTATATAAGCCTTTTGATGTTCTTCATCTAGATTCTTGTTTAATATGTGATGAATTTGATTTTTTTTTGAAAATTCAAGATAAAATTCTTTTTTATCTTGATCAACAACATGAACAATTCGAGTACAGCGTAACATTTCATCAATATTTTCTGTTTTCTTCGTTTCTAGATATTTTTCAAATATTTCTTGCGGAATCTCATTTTGATATACCCATTTATTTTTTTCCGGATGCTGATCTTTGTACTTAACGAAATATTGCTTGACTATTCGCTCAGAAACAACATATTCGATCTCTTTTCTCTTTCTCATTGAATATTTGTGACACTTTTGAATTCAATCAAATCAAAAATATTTGAAATTGCTAGAATTTTTTTCTTTCTCATGAATATTTGAAATGACCCAAAAGGAAAACTCGTTCGATTCAATTCAATTTTGAATCAGAATTTTTTCAGGACCAATAAATCAAATTATGTTAAGAAAATCTTTTTTTAACTCAGAGTATCAAAAGTACGTTAAACCTTCAATTTTATCTCATGTCGGAAAGCGAACCGACAATAGTGGAAGAGAATCAAACTATATCAGTATCCATCCAAGCTATTGTTGATGAAGAAAAAGGAGATGGAGCTGATATGCTGGATTTAATTCAAAATGAATTGAATTCCCGTAAAAAATTGAAATATAGAATGGAAATACCTGAAAATCCCCCAATTCCAATTCTCAAGGAAAGATATAGCAAATTAAAATTTACAGATCCTACAGAAGCTGCTATATTTATTGCAAAAGATTCATATAATTCTTTTTATCCATTAAATTTTGAGCAAGGAAAAAAGTTTCGTTGTCCTAACTGCCAATTTTGCATGGAGCTTGTAAAGACTCATGAAAATGGTCAACTTTTCTTCATTCCAGTAATTAAACACGAGCATAGAGCAAAGCAATGCAAGCCGAGTAACAATATACCAAAAATTCTTAAGTTGCAAGCAGGAAAAAAAGTCTATGAATTAGCAAATTCTGATAATGTTCCTCAATGCAAAGAAATTTTTGCAAAAGAATTGAATATTCCCAATGCAACTTATACGATGTTCCATAATATAGTAAATAAACTTAAAGGAACCACAAAAGGGGATAGAATTCAATCTTACAATTATTTCTCAACAATTTTTTCAATCATAAACAAAATCGAACAAGGATTCTGCGAAATGATTTTAGTTAAAGAAGTTAACAATGAAAAAACATGAAAATGAATTGATTTAAGAAAGGTGATGAATTACCTGAAAATTCAAAAGACTTTCAAATTTATTCATTTATTGTAATTCCTCCAATAACTCATTTTTACATGCAAACACAAGCTTTTTGCGGAATAATTCAAATTGATGGAACGTTTTTATTTTGTATTAAAAAAGGAAACTTACTCATTATTGGTACACCTGCACCAAATAATAGACTTATCCCTATTGCATTTGCATGGTCTGTTAGTGAAAATACGATAACAATTAAGGATATGCTCACTAAATTGAAATCTTTTATTCCACCAAGCAGATTCAAGAATATTTATTCCGATCAAGGTCCGGCAATTATAGCTGCTGTTAGAGAATCAGGCTTTTCTTGCGATCATAAATTTTGCTTACGTCATTTTGCAACAAAAAGGGAATACATCAATGTCTATTCCGAAATTGTTGAAGTCGCTTACGCAGACCATCCTCAAAAACGAATTGACTTGATTAAAAAGTTAGAAACTCGTTTACAAGAGGAATATCCAAACCGCGAAAATAATCAGGATCTCTTTAAGTACTTAGATAGTATTAACCCATTTGAAGGATTCGCTGACTACACCGCTGGCATACTCACAACATCTCTTATTGAATCCCTTAATGCCGAAATTAAAGATAAATGGGATACATATGAACCCGCCGAACTAATTATCCGTCTCATTGAACATGAATTCAATCTTGTTAAAAATGTTTTAACAGGTGATTTTAAATCAGATAATATTATCAAAAATCTAAATGAAACTTTGAAACATTCAGATATGTTTAGCTCGGTATTATATGATCCAATTCAAGAATTATATTATGCAACTTTTGGTCGCTATACATATTGCGTAAAAATTATGTCAGATTCACAATATTCATGCACATGTAAGCACATCGAATTATACGGATTACCTTGTATTCATGTAATCGCCGTATTGAATCACTTTTCGAACAAAAATCTTCTTAAAAATTTGAATGATGCAGTTCATGCTCGCTTCAAATGTTCAGAGTTTATGACTCCTGTGGAAGATTTAATGAAATTTTATGTTGACCAAGCATCTTTAAAAATTCCCGGAATAAATTTCAACCTGGGAGAGATTGAAAAATTAAGGGGAAAAAGGACTAGGATTAAAGCATTTTACGAAAAGTGATGCTGTGTTGTTAGTTATTTATTTACTTTTTTTAATATTTTTTAAAAAAATAAAAGAAAATTCAAATAATTTTGTATCTCCCATGATATATCGACCCACGAGTACTAATGTGGCTATAATTAGAGATTGCAACTCTATTATGATCATAGTCCGGTGATATACAATAAGATTCAAATTTTGAAAGAATTAAATTAATAAAATCCCGGTGAAAAAAATAAAAACAGCTTCTAAAAGTATAGTTATCTTAAAATACGAACTTTAACACAAGTTTTTTGATCCAATAGAAAATTGAATTCTTTGAATAAATAAAATATTTTATGTATTAACATATTAAATTTCCTAATTATTTTTTCTTCTTGGGAAAATTTTTGAATTCGAATAGAAAATTCAATAAATTGAAATTGGGTTGAAAGAATTCTCCATATTAACTTGTCATATATTTCAGATCATATAAATTAAGTTAATTAAATTTTTTAAAAACCTTAATAGGATAAAAAAAAGAATTTACACTCTCTCACTTTGAAAACGTAGAAAATGCCAATCTATTGGTATACATTTTAGTTTTGTTAAGTTTACAAAACGATTACTCTAGATTTTAAAGATTTATCAAGAATTTAGAGAATATCCTTCTCAAAACAACTTCAATAGCGAAGGATTAGTATTGAATCGGATTTGTAACATAATTATAGTACATTACAATACAATTTCTCCGACTTTTAAATATTTTTGAAATATTTACAAAATATGCTCTTTCTATCATCGATACTTTAATACAGAGCAAATTTAGTAAATGTCATCACGTTATTTTTTCATAAATCGTTTTCGAACTTTTGAAATATTTATTTTAAACCAGTTTTCTACATTTAATATGTGAATTATATCAAAAGTAGATGGGCGATACTTGTAAATCTATTTAAACTATTAGTTTGCTATTATTGAAGAACTTTATAATTTTTTTTTCTTATGTATGGAATTAAAGATAATTTTGCCGATTCCAACTGGTTTTTCTATATGAGTTAAATATGCCAAGTGAAATTGGACTTGCCAATATTGTAAATTGAAGTATGGACTATATATCGATTTTCATTGATTGATGAATAACTCGGAGTAATGTAATTGTTGATAATGAAAAATAGTTTTCAATTGCTGGTAAGGGCCAATGTATGTTCAATAGCTCCGAAAGCAAAAAATGCACGTTTAGAAAAAGACGATAACGATTAAATTACAAAATCGATAACGACGACGATTAAATTACAAAATCAATAATGACCCGAAAGTGGTAAGTGCACTCTTAATAAATTTAGAACACAGCCATCTCAACAACATTAAAAGTCAGTAGTAATACTCGGGTTAATATTTCTGTCATGATGTGTCAAATTTCATGGACTTTTTTTCACAATTATATCACGCAATTAGGCATAGAGTTTCATTAGATACAATCAAGATTTGTAAAATGAAAGGTATCTCCACAGCTATCAGTGAAATCTTAATATATTAATATAAATATTCTTTTTTTTAACTTTTTGGCACTTTTTTACACATCAATAATTGAATAACAAATCCCCTATGAAAGGTGATCCCATGAAGATCTATACAACAGATTTCAAAATAAATAAGATAAACAGAATCAGCAGGCACCAAATATGGATGATATGATCTTAGTTTGAAAAGAAACTAAAAGAATAAAAAGATTTGTGAATTACGTTTTAATTTCCATAATTTTTATCAATTGGAGTAATAAATTAGGCTGAACCAATCATTTCTTTCATCTCTGCCATAACGAGCAGAAAAGAAGCGATCAGTAACACTAAGAAAAAAGAAGAAGAAGAATGTCACTTTTCGTGTGATTACCTTTCCCCTATGTTCTGTCAACTTTTTCACATCACCCTAATAGGAAACTAAGTCAACGCCTAGTTTTGATATGAACTCGATAATTTTTACATGACGAAAAAGTGACATAATCAATATCTCAAAAGAAAGTAAGGCAGGTAAGCGACTTCTGAATATCACTCAATCATAATTGCTCTGTATCAAGTTTGAAATGAATAATTATGATATTACCATGTTTTAAAATTTTCCACGATTTTAATCAATTTTTCAGTTTTTAATTTAATAATGCATTTAGTCTGCTTTAAATACAAATTGGCAACAGCAGAGCATTTTAATGATTTTTTTTGGAGGATCCGGATTTTTTTGATTTATAAATAAAAAGATAGTATTCATACAGGGTGTTAATTTAGCTAGAAAAGAATTTTAATATATTTCTGACAAGTCTTTGAAAAAAATCTTATTTTTGAATGGTGGAAAAAAAATTAAAAGTGTCAAAAAAAAACCATGAATTCATTTGGAAAAGTAGCTATTATTCAAAAGGAAAAAACAGAGAGAGTAGAATTCGAAAAAGGCGAGACTGTTGGCACCTTTATTAACAATGTTAAAAGAGGAAATAATGTATTACAGCAATTATTTTATTTACAGCATAATAACGAAAAAATTTTAGATTATAACAAAAAATTAAGTGACTATGGTAATAACATTAAATTATTTGCAAAAGCACTTGATTTTCCTTATTTTTCATTTGCTACAAATTTTCCGACGTTTCAATATCCATTCAACAAACCAAACATGAATTTTGAATCAATATTACAAAGTTTAGTTGAAGCAGATATAATTGAAGAAAATACGATTAATTTTGAATTTTGTGGGTCACATCTGAAAAATGACGATTATATAATAGAAACATCATCTTCAAAAGAAAATCCTATCGTTGTTGGAGGAGATTTCGTTTTTGAATATGGTAAAGGCGATTACTCTATTTTAATTTGGGCTCCAGTTAGCATAACTTGGACAAAGCTAATGCATGAATTATTAAAAAAATTACCAGAAATTGCACTTCATCCAAATTTCCAACAAAATGAACCAGAATTTTATTCAGAATTAATATATCATATTGGATATGACCAAATTAATAAGTTTCTTATTGAATTTTTATCATTTGTTGAAGTGAATGAAAATATTGAAATTTTAATAGACAAATACCCTGGATTTATACCTATTAGAAAAGTTAGAAATAATACTAATAATCATGGTGAAGATAATACTAACTCTAATAAAAATGGTGGAAAAGCTCTTGGTTCTAATAAAGCAGGAAGTCCCGTAGTACCTGCAATTGAAGCAAATCCGGGATTGCAAACTCTTCCTAATCCTATTGCTAAATGCATAAACACCAAACCAAATGCTCTTTCGCTGTTACCTAAGTCAAAGTCAGAATATAAAAAGGCTGGGAATTCAATAAATACCAAAAAAGATGGGCACGTAAAGGATTGTCTTCCTAAGGCGTCCTGATGTAAACTATTCAATTTTTGAGAAGTTTACACCATAATTGAATAGTTTATGGCGTCCTGAGAGGAGATTTCAATGGGTATGGCGTCCTAAAAAATAGAAGAAAATGATTTTTTCTCGATTTTTCTAGAAATTGAATTTTTTAAAAAAAGAAAAAAATCAAAACGTATACATTCAAGAAAGACTATAAATGAAGATTTTTCTATTTTTTTTTCATTCTAAAACATCTTTTTTTGGATAATTTTTTTTTAATAAATATGTAAGAAAGATTGAAGAAAAAGTAAATTTACTTTAAGAAAATTCGTTTTACATGATGTAAGACCCATAACAACTATAAATATTCAATTATTTAAAATAAAAAAAGAAAAACAGATTAAATGTATCTCACATCAAAATCCATTGACCTAAGGATGTTAAGTTTCTGTTTTTAAAAGTTGATATTTTTTTTTTTAATTTTAAGAAAATTAATAGCATGTTATTAGACAATAGGAGTGTAATGATATTGACTAAACAGAAATGAGAGAATAGAGATATAATTTTGATAAGCAATATTGCGAACAAATTCTGAAGTAAAATCGCGATCAATAATTGAAAATTACGATCATGTACTGAAAAATGACGATCGAATTGAATGAATAGAATTATATCTAAGAAAAAATAAATTGTTTTTAGAAGATGAACAAAGAAAGGTGTATGCTAAAAATCATTTAACAATAAATGGAAATAAAACGAAATTGTTAAAAGAAAAAAATGAAAATTGTTAAATAATACCCAGATTTTCCTTACTTTTACCACCTCTCTAAAGCTGGGGACACCGCCTATCGTTGGGAGTAGCTATTAAATAGAACCACCAAGGGTGTTTTTCGAACTGCCGGTGTAGTGGAAACATCCGACATAATGATTCATTATGCCAAGGTTTGATTCCTATTTAGCCAATTTTTTTCTTTTTTGGATCATGAATTTTTTTTGGGTCACTATAAGATTTGTTTCATGTTCTAAATCTGCTGCATATGTAATCTATTTTTATTTACCTATTTTTTAAAAATCTATTGGATTGCCAAATTTGAATATATTTAAAATCATAAAAATCCAAAAAAACTATAAATATATGTTTTATGCATAGTGCCGATACTCAAATATCAAATTACTTACATCCATGAATAATATCCGAATTTTTTTTCTTAAAATTAAACTTCAAAACTTCTTCCAATCTTATTCTTAATCAATTGTAAATTTTTAAAACCATTTTTTAAAATAATTTTGCGTAAATTTTATTCTCATGTTGTTTTAATCGAAAATTGATACATTTTCAAAAAAATAATATTGACTTATGAAATTCATTTTTAAGGTGAAATAGTATTGTTTTTATTAAAGTATATGAATAATATATAAAAAATTAATGAATAATATAAGCAGATTTTTAGTTTACAAAACAAATATGAGCAATGCAATTTCAAACTTTTGCTGGCAATTTCGATATTGCTCAAGTTTGTAGTATTTGTGATACCTATAACATCGGCTTAATCAAAATTCGATTTTTCTTATGAGTTATTGAGAAAATTTGATTGCAATGAGAAGGATTTCGACGTTTTTGATAAACTAAGAGCTGAACTTTAGGGGTTCAGTTCATTTATGGCTGTAGTTTGATGCGTAGATCTCTTTTTTATTGTAAATTCTTTCAGCATGGAGATCGAGAATGAATCTTTTGAGAACTTTATGAGTTTTTACACCCGTAAAGAGGTCCTTCGAGGAAAGATAGTCCAGACTACATGAAGATGTGGGTTAACCAAAAAAATCCGATGGTTCCCCCATATTCATGTAGATCTTCGAAAAAATGAGCACCAAAAAAGCCAAAAAATAGGCTTTTTATTGGATTTGTACACTAGATCAATAATCTATTTAGGATCTGACACTCTTTTTAGCCAGAGATATGAGGTCCTTTCTAGGAAAACGATCTATTCATCCATAAAAAAATGAATTATCGTTTTCCCCAGAAATTACATGGGGAGTGGTAAAAGTAAGGAAAATCTGGGTATATTATTTTTTAGTCATAAGAATAAAAATATAGTAGTTATAAAAGGAATTAGACTTCATATATCAATTCTTTTTCTCTGTAGATGTGGAACGTTTGCTTTTCGATCTCTTTCGATGAACTTGAAAATATAAGTTATTATCGCTGAGAATCCTTTCCGAAATAGGAGCTTTACGTTTAGGAGGATTGTCGGATGAATTTTGTTTTTTATTGTTTGATTTTGTTGTTATGGAAGATTTTTTCTTATTTTTTTCAGAATTTTGCTTGCTATTAACTGAAACTTGTTTTGACGGCCCAACAATAGCATTTGTAGTAGGAAGAATTCCCAATAACGAGCGCATTTTCGATAATTGTTTTTCAATATGATCAAGAAGGTCCAGCTTATGTTCTAGATTACTAGACATTTGATTTGTAGAAGGATGGTTTTGATTTTCTGGTTCTAAATCTGTAGAGTCTGCAATATTTGAATTTTCGGAGCGAATTGGAGCATCTGAACCTTGATTTGTATCGGCTTGCTCAAAATTAGTTTGAATTGGAGTGGATGAATTAAAATCTGGATGATTTAATGTTTCATTAAATAATGCCATAATTTTTTCTCTTTTTTCATTAATAAACTTAGTGATCATTGTATCTTTATCTGTTAGATCGATCGATTTGAGTATATCTGCATCATGAACTGGAATATTTTCGAACAATGAACTCGATTCTATGGAACCATATGGAGAAATCTCGTTCTGAGCCAAAGAAAGATCACTTACGTTGTATTGTTTGATAGAAAAAATTGTTTTCTCAAGTTCTTTTTGAAAGCAGTCAAGAATATAATTTTTGTAGCTATCAGTGATAACGGTTTTTATATGGCGCTCGATCTTCTGGTTATTTTTGATGGCGTTATATTTATCTAATTGGATTTGAGATATCTTCTTAATAGATTCATAAATGTTTGGATGTTTTAATGAAGAAAATTCTGAATGCATACTCTCGAGGCAATCATTAGTGAATATTGCAGTTGCATTATTATATTGAGATATTAAATTGTAGTGCGGCAACCAAACTTTGTTGAAATAATCAATATAATCTTTGATCGAATCAACTTTATTTTGATTAATTATATGCATTGTAAGTACAAATTCTTCATGAGACATGAATGGAGTAATAGAATATAGCTTAAATAAAGAATTTTGTAAAGTATTGAAATTTTTTGTATAAAGTGCTACAAGTTTCCTGTGCAAAGCTTGTTTGAAATGAAATAGGCATCCAATTATACGGACTTTAGGGAAAATTTGTTGAAGTGCCTCTATCATTCCCTTTTCAAAATCACAATGAATTTGAATTAGCTTTGAAAATTGAATACCCTTGACAGTAAAAATATATTCAAATGCCTTCTTATAAGATTCAAATGTGCGGTTTTTCATGAATATAAATAAAAGTGGTAGATATTGATTTGTTGAAGGTTCACAAATCATAATTGTTAGCATCTGTCCTTTTTGAAAATGTTTTGGTGTAATTTTAAAAGTTCCATCGCAAAATAAATCTGTGGCTTCTTTTGCAAATTGAATTGCCTTCTCAAAACCAAAAAACATCGTCTCATAATTTGCTTGAAAATCATGGCCAATGAAAAACTGCTCGCCATTTATTAAACAAAAATTAGCAATTTCATCGTCTGTAATTTTTTCTCCAACAGAAAATTTTCTGGACTTATTATAAACTTCCCTGACCAATGAATCTTTAATTAATGGGTTTTCATCAGTACCAACAGCAAGTTCTGTCATAAATTTTTTAATCTGCTGAAAAGTGCTGTTGTCTTCAGAAAATTTTGCCATTGCCTTATTGTATATTTCTGTCAGAGTCATTGATTTATGAAGATCATTTTTTTCATTTTGTAACTTTTTAAATTGTCTGCATTCGGGTATATGTTCCTTTTGTAAATCTTCGGAAACTGAACTGTTCTCAATTTTAACTAAATAACGTGCTTGACAAGAATGATCGATGCAACGGTAGTAACGTTCAATATTATTTGAATTAATAATACTTGTATGATCATGCGAATAAAGCATATCTTTGCAAACAATTGTATCAGGATATTTTCTAGTAACTGCGGGAATATTTTTAACTGCAATATAACTAAAATATCTTCTGACAGCTTTAGATTCATTTTCGGCGTATTTAATATTAAAATATTGAAGAACTTGTTTGATTATATTCGTTTTTCCATCTCTCGATGTTGATTTTTGGTATTTATCAGATTGTTCCCTGATAAATATTTTATTTTCGTCTGTAAAGTTTGCTCTTTTTTGATTAAATATAGATGATTTTCCCATTAAAAAATGAAATGATGCAAAATTTACGAAAACCGTTCGAAAATTGAATTAAAAATGAAAAGTAATACTTAAATGAGGAATTCTTTGAGATATTGGTCTTAGATTGAATGTAGCGTCATTCTTATATAGAATATATATTCATATCATCGGAAATATGATAAAAAGCATATAATAAATGTCAAAAAAGTGAACAAATAAGCAAAGATATTTTTTAAAAAACAATGAAAAGTAATACTTAAATGAGTAATTCTTTGAGATATTGATCTTAGATTGAATGTAGCGTCACAAATTTCACAAATATAATTTACTATACAATTTTATTCATTTTTTTAAAATGGCTGACGACAGTCTGTATCAACTAACTCAACTAGTCAAGCATAATGATTATTCTTCGGATTCATTAAATCAACTTTATCAATGCATAAGTACAATGACAGAAAGATCAATTGGATGCTTGAATTGGAATAAATTTTTCAAAAAAATCACAGTGACTGATGAAGTTCTTTTACATTTTTTAGCATCCGTTTTAAACATTGAAAAGATATCAGAATGTTTCAAGGATTCTATTTTTTATCACAATATTAATCTTGAAAAATTCAGTAATTTAACTGAAACAGAACAACAAACAATTTTAAATTCCTACAAAGCGGATAAATTTACATATTACATAATGTGCTCACAAATTGTAAAATCAAACTGGAACAATTTATCCCAAACTTTAGTTAATATTGCAAATCAATATTTGCCATTTTTAGATGAAGAAAAGCAAATATATATATTTACCGAAATAACTGGCAATTATCAAAATTTTGAAATTTCAGTTGCAAACTTGTTACTTTTTTATGAAAACAATGAAGAAAAATTAAGCAACTGTTTTAATTTAACATTGTTCCAGCAAATTTATTCCAAAAATGGAATCGAGCAAATGATATTTTTTGCTGCAAATACAATTTGTTGCAATAACACTTCTATCAAATTTTACAATCTCCTTGAAATTGAAGAAATGAATCCATTTGATTTTTTTTATTTCTCAATTCAATATAAAGAGATATTAAATTGCGATGATTTTCCAAAAGTTACAGAAGTAATCACAGGTTTAATCTCAGCTTCAAATATTAATGCTATTATGCGAATTTGCCAAAAAATTTTGGATAAAATTACATTTTATAAATGTAATTATTGCCATATTACCTCAATATGGAATTTTATCACAAATGCAGCAATAATTCTTCCTGATGAAGATTTATTAATCAAATTATTAAAATTCATAGAAAAAACAGAAAAAGCAACAGCTGAATTATTCGAACCGGAGAATGATTTGGGTTTCTATGAATATTTAAATTCGATTTTCTCAGATATTACATCTGCGAGAAATAAGCAATTTCTCTTGGAATTTCTAAATACCCATGAAGATGACTTCACTTATGATCAAACATTGTGAGGTCATTTTTGATCAACAAATTAATTGAAATTCCGATCCAAAAAAAATTCACAAATTAAAAAAAAAAAAAGGTATTGGGGGTTCCAGGGCTGCGCCCCTCTACCCCCTTGAAGATGTTTAGTATAACATGCAGTTTATATAAAATGAGGTTTTTTTTGGGTGTGTGGGGGCTTCCAGGCACTTCGTGCCTTCTAGCCCCTAAAATTTTTTGAAAGTCGTTGCTGTTAACTTTTTGGTAGAGGACTCAAAATAGTAGAACTATGTCCGGACAAGTAAGGGTCTATCGTCGCTACGTCACCAGGTCCCTCGGTCCCTCGGTCCCTCGGTTAAACGAACTTCTCTGAAAAAATGAGACAACATGACATTTTGACAACAGTCCAGGAAGTCTTGACAAGATAGAATATGAGAGAGGTCCTATAAACCGGAGAAAGTCTCATATAAACATCTGTCAAAAGCCGCTTTTTAACTTCACTTAAAATGCCACGTAAGCTACGTAAGAATATACGTAAGAGGAAGAGAGCATTGAAACATCCAATAGTAAGACTAACACCACAACAACAGTTGCAACAACAAATGCTGAATGACCCCACTATGTTGCAACAAATGTCAAGCAATCCTATGCTTTTAAACCGAGTTATTGGTGCACAGAGTGGAGGTTTAAGAGCGGCACTTTTAGCGAAAATGGCAGGCTATGGTGGAGCTGCAGACGGAACAGCATATAACCCTCAAAGTCAAATGAATTTGAGTTCACTCAAAAATCAAATAGCAGATGTCAAAAAGTCAAACATAGACATACAGAAGCAAATATGTGAAAACGACAAGAAACTAGAATACGACAGACACACAAAGAAACTCAATGAGTTAAACGTAGAGAAAAAGAAGAAAGAAGAACAACTGAAAGAACTAAGTACAGAGGAATATGCGAAAAAAGTGTCAGAAAAAGCAGCAGAAGTAGCAAAAATGGAACAAGATGTTGTAAATTTGAAAAACCATACTACTCGATATAAAGTACTGAAAGATGAAGAGATAAAACAAAAAGCCCTGAAGACATATATGGATAGCGATGAGTATAAAAAAGAAGTTGAAGCAAATGTAAAGGCAGAAAAACTTTTACAGTTGCAAAACCAAACCGTACAGTATGAAAACTTAGCACAAGAAAGTAAAAATAACGACGCAGCCATGCAAAAGGCAATGAAAAGCGCAGAATATATAAAAGCTAACAATGACTGGTTAGATGCCCAAGCCAACGCTAAAGCAGCCCAGCTTATAGGGTCAATAAGGACAAAAATACAAGCGGATGAAGACAGTTCAAATGAAGCTTTAACGAATGCTGACTTTAAGAACGCCTTCGAAGCTCTTCATAGTAAGGTGAAACAAGTGAACGATTTCTCATCTGGAAAGAAACTGAAGTCTGAAGGTTTCGACAAAGAGTTAAAAGAAGTAGCACAAAATATGACGAAAATAACAGATGCAGCAACGAGACAGGCAGTTCAAAGTGCCTATGACGCCGTTAGAGCAACTGTTGTGAAAAGTCAAGAAAAAGAGTTACAACAGACCAAAACAGACCTAGTAAATGCTTTCTTAAAAACGAAAAGTCAGGTAGGACATTACGCTGCAGATGGAACATATGTGCCAGCTGGTGGAACTTATATACCAGCTGGTGGAACTTATATACTAGCTAGTGGAACTTATATACCACCAAACCCTCCAAGAGAAGCACCTGCACCAGGACTACCTAAAACATTTACATCGTCACATGGACACAGACACAGGCATGCACCAAAACCAACACAACAACCAACACAACAACCAACAGTTCAAAATCCAGCACCACAACAACAACCAAAACCAACAGTTCAAAATCCAGCACAACAACCACCTCCACAACCAGCACAGCAACCAACAGTTCAAAACCCTGCACAACAACAACCACAAACAGAGCAAGGACATAAAAGAAGTAGAGAACAAGGAAACCAAGAATTCTTAAAAAGGCTTAAGGAAGACTATGGTTACCCAGATAGTATTGACTTTAGTGACAGATATAAAGAAGCTATTAGAAAGTTCAAGGGAGGAAATACTGACCCGAACCTATTTAGCTTTATGGTTCAGCACCAAATGGGATATAATTTCAAACCTGGAAAATACAAGCTCGCTAAGGGATATGATTTAATAGCATATCATCCAAATGACATGACTGAATTTACTCCGAGATATTTGATGTCAGAGCTAAATGACAATTCAACTCCCGTCATGAAACGCGTAAAAAATAGAGACGGAACGAAAGAAGAAAGGTTTATGAGTCCGGATGACTTAGAAAGGGAAGTTGTTAAAAACGGTCTCGGAATATATGAAATGCCAGCAGATGAGGTACAAGAAACTCCACAGGAAGAACTAGTTCAGATACAACCAGACATGGAAGAAATAGTTCAGCAACAACAGCTAGAAGAGCCTGAAGGAAACGAACAAGTCACTCCTTTGGAAACTAACTTCACAGAACTAGATGAAGATTTGGAACAGCCGAAAAATCTTGACCCTCAACAAGTGTATGCGGAGAATATGGAATATTTCCAAGAGTCTAAAAAAAATTCGGCTGACATAGTAGAAGAATATCGAAAAATGTTCGCCGACATACAAAAGACTCCAACACCAGATGAAAATATTCAGCATAGAATGGAAGTACTGAAAGAAAATGTACACAAATACAACAACCCTTTTTACTTACGAGCATTTAACGTTCAATCTTCGGATGAACTCGGTGAAAATAAAAGGTTAAATTTCAAGAAAACATATAGAAATGAAACATTGTTTAAAGTTCATTCAGAACCTAACCAAGATGGAAACAAACCTACTTTTGTTTCTGCAGACGATGGAACTACAATGAGATGGGGTCATAAAGCTAACCCGGATAGGTGGTTCATAAACTTACAACCACAATTCCAAGAAGTTGTAGACGCAATGGAAGTCAATGGTGAACCAGATATAGCTGGTATTTTAAGCGCGGCTTTAATGCCATTGAAAGATATGAAACATGCAGATATTTTGGACCAGTATGAAATGAACATGGCTGATGGAAATATAACACCTGACGTTCTAGAACATTTATCTCAAAGAACTACACAGAACCATAGAGATGGTATATTTGGTGAAGAGTTTAGAAAGAAAGTTAGGGAGAGCGAAGGAAGAGAACCTATTGTACATGACCTTGCAAATGAAAGTTTACAAAATGTCATAAAAACTTACTTTGCAGACAATGAACTGAGAAGGGATGAATATTTAAGAAAACTCAAATGGACAGTACCAAATGAAATGTTAGTATTGAAAAACATGTTCCTTGACAAAATAAAACCAACTACAGAAATAAACGACGCAAGACTGAAAGATTGGGTAAAAGCTTTCCCATTCACAAAAGATATAGTTGGTAACATGGAAAGAAAACCAGAATGGCTACAAAAAACATATATTTGGAAACGAGCTTATTCCATATGGACAGGCACTGTTTGAAGAGCTCAACCGGAAGGATCAAGAACAACAAGCGACGACTCAAATACAAACTATGACAAACTCTTTCTAGATATAGGTTACCTGAGATGGGCGACCAGAGCCCAAAGGCAAAAAGGACATGGGAAATTTACAACATACTAGGTGAACATGAGGCAAAGATGCAACAACTTGAAGCAGAGGGCAAGTTACCAAAAGCGACACCAAAGAAGAAGAGAAGAGTAGAACAAAGTGAAAGTAGTGAAGAAGTAACTTCATCTAGTGAAAGTAGTGGCAATGAAAGAAAAAGAAGAGTTAAAAACTCAGTCAGGAAGAAAGTAAAGCTTGGTCCACGTGGGTTCTATTATGACATATAAATCCAACTATTCTATATTTTTACCCATATGAAATGTACGCCGCTCAGAATATAACGCCAACAGTTTTGGATGCCATGAATGGAAATGTTTCCGAATGGTATAACGAATGCGACAATGCCATTAGAAGGTCAGAAATAGTTCCTGGAACTTACGAATATACAACTGCTGTTTCTTATGGAAACGTAGGTGAGTTTGGAGAAGGTTCTTCAACAACAGTAGATATTGCTTGCGACAGGTTTCATATTATTTCTATTGACAACTCTTTCTTATACGTGGAACAAGACATTGAAATAAAACCTTCTGCCAAGTTGTCTGACAAGAAAGGTTGCAATGGAATTTTCTATGTCGGATACCAATATGCTCCAGAAGTTTTCATGGGATATAAGATATATTCTAACTCTGACTTAGTTCAAACAGTAACATGGGCAAACTATGAATGGTTCGCTTTGAGAAACTCAGTACAACCACAAGCTAGAGAACAAACAGACCAGTATGCAACTATTGAAAAAATAAGAAGACTTGACCCTAACGTTCCAGGAGTTTATGTTGACCTTTCTGGACAAACTGCAGCAGCAGTAACCAAAGTAAAATTGAAACTTAGAGTTCCTTTGTCATCTTTCCTCATCTTCAGGTTTTTAAGATACTTGCCAAACTGGGCAGGAAAAATTTCTATCGAACTTACTCCAAGCAAAAATAACTTAGTCATTGCACCAACACAAGACCCATTCACTCTTACTGTAGCTGGAACTGGTGGAGCCAAGTTCTGTGACTTTTGCAAAGACAAAGTTGACTTAGACTTTGGTTTTCAAACCTCAACACTGAAGTAAACTACTACTTCAATGCTGCTGGAACTGCTTGGGACCCAGTTAAGTTCACATGCGAAAAGTTGAATGCAAGAGAATAGAAAGCAGACTTGCAGTCTATATGTTGGACCCAGATATTTCAAATGCTTTAGCTGCCAAATATATTGCAGTTCCACTTATGTTCCCTATACACCAAATATCTGTCAAAGACTTTGCAGGTGAAGTTGGAACCAAAGTGCTGACCCAGGTGCAAGAACAGATATTGCCTTAACAACTGCAATGAAACATGCAGATACTATGTTTGTACTGTTCAGACGAACTATAAATGACTATTCTTGTTTCTACAACCCTGGTATTAAATATCATATAAACATAGATGGCAAATATTATCCAAGAGAAGAATATTCTACAGTTGAGGATATGAGGTCATACAACTTGACATTAGATGCTATGAACTTTAACAACAACTTCACAACAACCATTAACCCTGAAATGCAAAGTTCTATTATGCCATATGTGAAAGTATGGACTCATACAGGAGGTCAAAAACACTCAATATACAAATGGAGACCGTTCAAACTTTTGGCTTGGCATTCCATTTGCTGACTCAGAAGACTTTATGGGTGGTATTTCAACTGTTGGTACAGTTCAAATACAATATACTGGTGACAGAGACGGTCCAGATGAATTGAAAGCAAAGAAGTTTACAAAACCAATAGCACTTTTCACGGAAGATGCTCTTTTGAAAATTCGTTCGATGAAACCTGCTGGAGCTCCTCAGATTGGTATAACGACAGCTTCCATCGAGCAGATTTTGGCAGCAGGTCAGTAAGTTGTTCTTGAACTGACTTCTCTCCGTCAAATATTGACAGTACGCCAGTTTTGATATAATATTGTATTATAAACTTACCTTTAGAAATATCTGTAAGTTTTGTTGTTATATTTTTGTCTGCTTCAAGAACTTTCACCATCTCGGTTATACCAACTTTCTTTGCTTTATGAAAATATTTTGGTTCAGCAAAGACTGCTATTCTATAACATTTTCCATTGTTTGTGTAAAGAACTACTCTGTCAATGAACTTGTATTGTTTGTGTGTGTAAACTTTGTTTTGCTTCAATTCGAAGAGATACTCAAATACGTCCATCTTTTTATTCTAAGTAAAATGTCATTTCCGAAAAATAGAAGCGTAAGTGTTTCAAAAGGTTTAATGGCGATGGCAGATGTGAAGTTAAATTCACCAACTCAAACAAACAGTCAAAGTGTTGTTGTCAATGTCAAAGAAAGAGATGTTGAAGTGGGGAAACCATACGAAGACGAAGATGGTATAACAATAGTTCCTGTAAAAGAACAACCAACATACCCTGAAGTTAGCAGAGACTTAAGTTCTGTTGCAGATATTCGAAACGACTACCAACAACTTAAAGACAAACTTAAAACTCAGGAGAAGATTTGTCAGGCTTTAGGTCTAATGTTAAACTTGGTCGAACACAACCCTGTAAAAGTGAACTCATATGTCATCGCACCTCATGAAATTTTGAAAGAACTATTGAAACTTTTGACAGAGGCAGACGATATAAACATCAAAGAAATAGAACCCGACATTGCTTGCTGTGGTGTTTCATATAATGTCATTGACAAGATATACGTTATGAAAGGAGGTGAAACGTTGAACTTAAAATATAGTTTCCAGACGTCATAAAAATATTTGACGACCACAACATTTCATTAAAATTTAGTTGCTAAGTAAAAATGTCAAAACTTCTTGAAAGATGTTTGAAGAAAAATAATATAGACTTTATTTCATGTAAAGGACTTTACACACTTTTGAACGATATGAAAGACCCTGTTTTGTTTGTTCGTGTAGACAAAGAAAGTTCTATGTCTTTACAAAATATTTGAACTTCTTAGACAGAGAACTTCAAGAAACGCCATGTGAAAGTTTAGATGAAGTTCTTCTCCACTTTCAGAAAAAACTTTTAAATATATGTAAATGGCAGAAGACATAGTGGTTTATACTATTACGACTAAAAACCCTGAGTCATATAATTCTATAACAACAAACTTACAAAGTCCTCAAGGACGATATTGTAAATGACCTTAAACACGATGACGACTAAAGCCTGTTTTGCTCTTTTGACACCAGAAGATTTTATTGTTGTGAATGGTAAAAAATACTTCTTTGAAGATACTTACTCAGATATACCACCAACAGGTTTTGTTGACTTATTTAATACTTTAAGGACGGATGTAACATGTGCTGCACTAGAGCAGGTTTCATTATGTTTGGATGTCCGACTGAGTTTAGTATAAACGATATGAGCTATAATACAAAACTTATATCTGGTTTTTACTACCAACAGTTTCCTATAACAGGAAAAGGTGTCATACAAGGAATGTCTATTCCATTGACTTTAAGTACACCTATTTTATATATTGTTTCAAACTTAGGTTCAAAGTGCTATTCGAATGTCGACAGAAACTACTATGACCAAAAGATACTCATGCGTATAAACAACACTTTCTCTGCTGGTTTGCCTATTGTTCATTCGAATGCAGAGTTTTCAGCTTTAGTAAACTCAAACACTTTAGCAAACATAAACTTAACCTTAGTTGACGCAAACTTTGTTCCTGTAAAACTTTTATGTCCTATGTATTTGTCAATGACGGCAGAAAGTTTCGAATTGGAAGATGCAACTGGTGAAAGTATTGTACTACAAGAACAACTTCAACAACAAATAGCTCAAGAACAACAAATGCAACAAATGGAACAAATGCAACAACAAAGTCAAGAATAAAAAATATTTTTTTTATTTTTATAAAAATGTACAGAATAGACGTTTCAGATTTTTATGACTTCCAAGCCTTCAGAAATATGTGTCCATTTAGAGACTATAACAAAGCAGTCGAGAATTTGAAACGTTTAGTCATTTATGTCGACTCTGCCCCAGAATGTTATGTCATGAAAGAATGGGATGTTGTCTTTAACAAACCAAGAGCGACAATAGTTTCAGAACAAGAATGTAAACAGAAACTTAAGAAAATAAAAGTCGTACAAGTTGGCATGAAGATGTTAGATGCTTGGGATATCTTATTGTCAAAGTTAGAAGATTTTTCAGTTCGAGGTATAAAGTTCTATACACCTTCTCCAAACTTCTATTCTATCTTCACTGGATATAAATACGAACAAGTAGAATGGAAAGAAAATGTTATAGAAGCTTGGTTAGACCATGTCAAAGAAATTATATGCAATGGAAACGAAAGAGTCTATGAGTATATCTTATGTTGGTTTGCAAACATCTTCAAACATCCAAGTGCTAAAAATGAAACTGCTCTCATCATAATTGGGAAAACAAGGAACTGGTAAGAACACTTTCTTTACAGATATTTTTGTGCAAACTGTTAGAGGGCTATTCGAACCCGAATATGACAAACTTAGAAAACATCTGCGGTAAATTTAACTCTTCAATAGAGAATATGAAACTTATAGTATGTAACGAACTTCAAAAGTATAGATACAACAAAGGTTTTGAACTCGGATGCTTTGAAGAGTCTTATAACAGACAAAGTTGGAGTTGTTGAAAGAAAGTATAGAGAGAAAGAGTTTGTGAAAATGTTGCAAATTTCATCATGGTTTCAAACAACGCCGTTCCGATGAAGTTAGAAAGTTTCTGACAGAAGAATATGTAGTTGTCAGAACGTCAGAAGCTCATATGCAAGATACAGAATATTTTGACGACTTAGCAGAAACTTTGACATCTGACTTTTACAACCACTTGTTCTCATATTTCATGACATTAGATATTTCTAAGTTCAATCCAAGACAAATTCCACATACCGAAGAGAGACAAACATTGTTAGAAGCAAACAAGAGTGTATATGAACTGTTCATAGATGAAACTGACTTTGAGTGTTTAGATGAAAGGTCATTGTACGATTCGTATAAACAGTATTGTCAAGAGTATGGTTATATGACAGCGTCTAAACGAACATTCTTGGCAAATGTCAAAAGTCTTTTAGACGTCAGAATGGTGTATATACAAAGAAAAATTTTTCTGAGTAAATTTTTAAAAAAAATATTTTTTTTATCCGATAGAAAAGATGACGAAATTCATCTCAGTCAACAAGTACATGTCAGGACTTAAAGAAGAACTAGACCCATTCACATATTTGAATGTTACTTCTCCATTTTGAAAAGTCTTCATTTGACAAAGTTTGGAAACATCGAACCAGTTAAGTTTGCTATTGTGACTAAAAATGGTGCGAAATTTGAAGACTTAGACATAGAAGGTTTGTTAACAGTCAAAGAAAGTTTTGACAGAAGGTTTTCAACCTTTAAAGAAGGCAAAGCATACAAACTTGTTATACTCTTATGAACCAAAGAAGCAGACGACTATGAATATTATGAGTCTAAGATAGTTGAAGTTCAAGGTAAATTGGGTAAAAAGATTTTAGAGTCTAAGCCGGTGTTTGCTCCTAAAGAGGAAAGAGAAACATTGACATTGACCCAGAAATGTTCTAAAAAATAAAATTTTATTTTTACATGTCAAATTTCTTTTTTCTCTGGCTCTGGTTCTTTCTTCTCTTCTTCTACTTTCTTTTCTTTCTTTTCTCTTCTTCTTCTTCTCTGGTGGAGTTATGTCAAACTTCTCAGAACCATATTTTTGTAAAAGGTCTTTGTCCTTTAATAGCTCTTCTATTCTGTTTTCTATTTCATTTTCAAGAACAGCGCATGTGTCTTCTTTGCATTCTAAGAAGTTTTGTTGGACTTCATCTCTCCAAGAGGCGTCATCTCTGTCAACAAGTCTGTCATTGACAAATTTTAAGATTCTCTGCTTAAGGTTTTATGGTTCTTGTCATATTCCAGAAACAGAACTTTAGAACATTCACCTTTCTTGTTTACACTATGTAAGATTTTATGGTCGACAGATGTTTTGCTGTCGAAAAAGCTTGTCTCGAATATAGATAGCGAAATCGCTAGACATTTCCTAAAAGATAAAAATTTTAATTTTTCTAAAAAATATGTTAGAAAAAAAGTTTGCTGACATTGACAAGAAATTTGAGAATGTTTTAAATAAGAACAAGAGGAAGTTGGAAAATGCTCAGATAAAACCCATACATGACAAGTTCTTATTTGCTCAGAATGGTATAACAGGTCTAATTGCACCGCCTGGGTCGGGTAAGACTTTCACTTATCTTAAAATGGCTGCACAACAACAAGAACTAGATGAGAAGAACCCATTCTATGAGTTAGTAGTCATTTGTAGTACTTCGGGTCAATTTGACCAAACAGTCAATTCGTTCAAAGATATTATAAAAAAGTCTAAGTTAGTATGTATAAAAGACTCTGAGTTGTTAGATTGGATAAAGAAGTACCAAAGAAGAGTTTTGAAGTACAATGCTATAAATGAGTATGTCAATTCGAAGTTTAAAGACCCAAATGAGGAAATGCAGAGAATATTAGAGAAGAAACACTTCAGAAACAAACAGAAAGAGATAGAATACATTTCGAAGAAATTGCAATCTTACGATTGGAAGACTTACCCTCACAGATGTCTTCTTATCTTAGATGACTTTGCTTCTCATCCTTTGTTAAAGAATAGAGAACAAGACATGTGTCGAATTCTTAAGAAGCTCAGACACTTTAACATTTCAGTTGTCATTTGTGTACAGACAGCAAAGAGTTTAAGTAAGGATGTAAAGAGAATACTTACTGATATCATACTTTTCCCCGGATTGTCCGAAGACGATTTCATGGAACTTATGAAAGAGTCCATGGCAGGTAAGTTTGACAGACATGAACTATGGGAGAAGTACAAAGTCATACAAGACCCTCATACTTCTTTCAGAATTCATATCTACGCAAACAAAGTTCAAATTGTAAAAAGTCAAGCGTAAAAATGTAAGTGTTTGAGTCTTAGTCTGTTGTGGTGCTGGGGCTGTCGGTTCTTCTGGCTTTGGAAGACATTCAGGAAGAGGAATGTCAGTCATCCGTTTGTGTCCTGTCGGAAGGAAGGACTTTTCCTGTCGGAAAGAAAAACTTTTCCTGTCGGAAAGAAAAATTTTTCCTGTCGGAAAGAAAAATTTTTCCTGTCGGAAAGAAAAATTTTTCCTGAAGGTCGGCCAAAAAGTTCTCAATTTTCGAAAATTTGAATGGTTTACGGACGGACAACTGGAAAAATTTTTCCTGTCGGAAGGAAAATTTTTTCCTGTTGGAAGGAAAATTTTTTCCTGTTGGAAGGAAAAACTTTTCCTGTTGGAAGGAAATTTTTTTCCTGTTGGAAGGAAAAACTTTTCCTGTCGGAAGGAAGGACTCGGAATGCCAGAAGGACTCGGACAAGACAATTTACCATCTAGAGCTACCTGAGCCATCTTTGGTGTCAAGCTTGAAAAATAAATGGTTCATTTACTCTTCTTCTTTGAAGTTATCGAAATACTCTGTTATCTTTTCCTTCAGTAGCGGTAAGTCTTCTTTGAATGTAAGTATTGTACAACCTTTCATATCATAGTGTGTTTGAGGTAACGTATCTTGAACTATCTGTTTAACATCTTCATTTGGTGTCATTGAAATCGGTAAGTTTTCGCGATAGAACCAATTTCTGTCAGATTTGTAAATCTTAGCAAGGTCGTAAAAGCTTTTGTTGTTTCTTCTGACTAAATGCAACATAACCATATCTCTGTCTTCTTCATTTTCTATCTCTTCAGTGTAAATCATATACTTATAGTTCTTTTCCTTTCCTTTTGGTACCGAACGTGGTATTCTTTTCTGTATGTTTTTGTCTTTGGATTCAATGACTTCATCTTTTGCTTGAAGTTTCTTTTCCATCTCTTCACGTTCTTGTCTGTGAAGTTCGTCAAGAAGTTTACAAACATACCATGAATAGCGAGGCGAAGCCCACATTGCAACAGCATTTACAAGAAGTCTATGTACATACCAACCTCTCAAACCATTTGGCAAATTTTTACGATTTTCATAGAGTTTTGGCGACCCAGACTTTTTACCTACTCGCTGTTCTTCACTGTTTTCAGAAAAAAGTATGTCTCGCTGTGCTTCATTTAATAGTTCAATAGTGCTTTGGTTCCTAAACCAGTCTTTAGGAAGCTTAGTATCTGGAGCAAAACATGCTGTCAAAATACTTTGCATTTGGTACATGTCATCTTTGACCGAACGAATGAGACGTAACTGTTTGTTAAACTGAACCCACTCGTATTCTTCATTTATATCTTCATGAACGATAGCAGTTGTTGTGTTCTCTGTTGTTGACATATCTGTCTTTACATACAAAATAAAAAAAATATTTTATAAAAACTAGCGTTATTTTCTATCTTGTATAAAAGACCAAAAATAAACGCTTTACATGTATTTTTCAGCAACTTCGTCAAATACTTTTATAGCTTTGTCGATCTCATCTACTTCGAAAGTTTCTTTACCTTTCGTGGGAGCACCATACATTTTCTCAAACTTTTCAAGTAGTTCTGTTTCAGCAGCTCTCATATCGTTAACAAACGCAACCTTAACTCTATTGACTATACTGTCATATCTTTGAGTTATATTAAATGTTCTTCCTATCTTATATCTCTTTGTATTGAAGTCCTTCGGTTTCTGAACGATGTAAAGTAAGCCTTCACTGCAACGTTCCGTATCGAATGAACCATATGTTATGAAATTATATCCAACAACTGGGTCAATCCAGAACAAAACTACTGGTATAAGACTTTTGTCGATGAGATATGCTCTTGTTCCATAGAATCTTACCGATATCATCAGCTCAGGATTTCTTGTCAAAATTTTCTGAGTAGAAGCAATTCTAACCCAGTCGTGTGCTTTCTTTCCAGATAGTGTTAAAATGTCTGACAAAGAATATTTTTTGTATTTCTTTGAGTATCTTACGTTTAAATCACCTATTCTAACCACTTTGGTGTCATTGTCTATCTTTTTAACTGTTTCAAACTCAGTGTTTGTCATTTCCTGTTCTTACATACAAAATAAAAAAATAAAAAAAATAAAAACTAACGTTGTTTTTTTATCTTGTATAAAAGATATGATTTCAGGGATTTTTTTGACGAAGTGCAAAAGTTCTCTTCGTCAAAAAAATACAGTTATATCATGAAATTTGGTCATTTTTTCACGATTTCAGGGATTTTTTTATGAAGTGTCAAAGTTCACTTCGTCAAAAAAATACAGTTATATAATGAAATTTGGTCATTTTTTCACGATTTCAGGGATTTTTTTAACGAAGTGTCAAAGTTCTCTTCGTCAAAAAAATACAGTTATATCATGAAATTTGGTCATGTTTTTCAGCAAAAATATATTTTAGGTGGAACCAGGTCCCTCGGTCCCTCGGTCCCTCGGTCAAATGAACTTCTCTGAAAAAGTGTGACAACATGACATTTTGACAACAACACAGGAAAAAGACTTCTTCGTATATGTTTTTGTCAAGACTTTCATCGTCAATGAGCGTAAATCAGACAAAAATGAGTTTTGGTTGAAAAAAACAGGTGGAGCCACTTTTGGCTCGACCTCAAAACAAGCATTTCGTGAAGAATATACCAACCCGCGGAATTCCGGCGGTTGCTTTTTATACAAAACATATACGAAGAAGTCTCAACAAAACAAGCATTTCGTGAAGAATATACCAACCCGCGGAATTCCGGCGGTTGCTTTTTATACAAAACATATACGAAGAAGTCTCAACAAAACAAGCATTTCGTGAAGAATATACCAACCCGCGGAATTCCGGCGGGTGCTTTTTATACAAAACATTTACGAAGAAGTTTATTTCCTGTGTTGTTGTCAAAATGTCATGTTGTCACCATTTTCAAAAAGATGTTAGTTGACCGAGGGACCTGGGGACCGAGGGACCTGGTTCCACCTAAAATATATTTTTGCCGAATTCAAGAGTTTTGTGTGTTTTCTACGGTGGAGCCAAAAATGGCTCGACCTCAAAACAAGCATTTTGTGAAGAATATACCAACCGCCGGAATTCCGGCGGTTGCTTTTTTATACAAAGTTCAACGGGTGAAAGAATACGAAGAAGAAGTCTTGACAAAACATAGACAAGAAAGTTCATGAGAAATTAGATGAAGAAGTCTCAACAAAACAAGCATTTTGTGAAGAATATACCAACCCGCGGAATTCCGGCGGGTGCTTTTTATACAAAACATTTACGAAGAAGTTTATTTCCTGTGTTGTTGTCAAAATGTCATGTTGTCACACTTTTTCAGAGAAGTTTAAATTACCTGGTGACGTAGTGACACCTAAAAACCATCTAACCTAAAATCTATTTTTGCCGAATTCAATAAAAAAATGAGTTTTGTGTGTTTTCTACGGTGGAGCCAAAAATGGCTCGACCTCAAAAACAAGCATTTTGTGAAGAATATACCACCCGCCGGAATTCCGGCAGGTGCTTTTTTTATACAAAATTCAAGAGTTTTGTGTGTTTTCTACGATGGTACAAAAAAATGGTTCATTTACTCACAATATTTTTGTACAAAACGACCCCAAACTTTTAACCTCTCTTCTGCAGCTTCTAATGAAACTTTAGCGAGTTCATATTCTCTAAATTCTCTCTTTAAATCTTCTTGTTCCCATTGGTCTAGTTCGTATGGAGAATCTCTATAACCAGAACATATCTCATGTTCATGTTCTATTTGTTTTAAACACTTTTTTCTAACTTCTTCTTCGAACAAAGGTTTTGCATTCTCTACTGTATCTTCAAGTTCTTCTTCATCTAATTTCTCATGAACTTTCTTGTCTATGGAGTCCAAAATTTTTCCAACTGCTATACAATATTTTGGAGAAGCCCACATTGCTATATAGTTTACAAGTCTTGGGTCTACATACATTCCTCTAACCTGTTTGATTTCATCCGGAATTCCTGCATGAACTGTGTATAAAAAGCAACCCGCGGAATTCCGCGGGTTGGTATATTCTTCACAAAATGCCTTAAAATACTCTTCCCAGGACTTATTTTCCAACAACCTTCTAAAGTCTTTCCTAAACTGCTGACACATATTTGTTGCATTTATATAACCATCCTTGTCTCTACGTAAGACTTCAATACCGTTGTAAGTGCCTTTTGTGAATGTTTCGCCATTAGATTTGTTCGTGAACGTTTTTGCTTCGACTGTCATTTCAGTTCTTACAATAAAAATAAAAAATATTTTTTTGGTGGGACGTCGGACATTCGTTTGTGGCTCGACCTCAAAACAAGCATTTTGTGAAGAATATACCAACCGCCGGAATTCCGGCGGTTGCTTTTTTATACAAAATTCAACGGGTGAAAGAATACGATGAAGAAGTCATGACAAAACATGTACGATGAAGAAGTCATGACAAAACATTTACGATGAAATTCATGACAAAACATTTACGATGAAATTCATGACAAAACATTGACGATGAAGTTTATTTCCTGTGTTGTTGTCAAAATGTCATGTTGTCACACTTTTTCAGAGAAGTTAAAATGACCGAGGGACCGAGGGACCTGGTGACACCTAAAAACCATCTACCCTAAAATATATTTTTCAATACTTTTTCAGCACTTTTCCGTAGTTGTATATGAAAGACAATTCGAGATAAAAGTCATAGTACAATGGAATTATATGCTGCACACCGTTTGTTGTGAACCAAACTTGAAAGTCAGAGAAACTGTTACTAGGTGGTTCGTAGAATTTAGAAGCAAAGTCATAGAAGTCCTTACCGATACACAGAAAACTGTTGTTGCTTGAACTGAAACTTGCATGACACATGACATTTTGAGGGTCGAACACGTTTCTATAAACTGTCAAATCTGCTGGTGGAAGTATAAATTTAAATGGACCATCTGGTGGTAATGGTTCGTTCTGGTTTAGTAACCGAAGAAATTGCGCCCAAGAACGTTTGTCCACCCCCCAATATAAAAACTCTGTATCTCTTGGAGGGTTAATTTCAATCTTTTGAAATGAAACTGTGGAGTTCATCTTGTCGTATTCTAGCTTCAGATAGTATGTTCCATTTAGTAAAGAGTGGTATTTTTCTTGAAATTCCCAGTAGTATTTGTTTATTTGAGTTTGAAAGTCATTTAGAGTTTTTTCAAGACTTTCGTCTGAACGAATTGTAAAGATTTTCATTTCGTCAAATTTTTCTATTAGACCATCAGAACCTTTATACTGACCGTGAAAATATACTGCGAACATAAACGCGTTAGTTCTATTTGAAAACAAAACTCTTCTAAATCCTATTGCCTTTGCATCTGAAGGACTTTGAAGCCAACGAATTGGATAGTCAAACCTGTATGTTTGGGATGAAATTTCTTCATCTGATATATTCCTACCGGCATTTGTAAAGATATAGTCTAACGGTTTTGTATCTGCTACTTTTGTTCTTTGTTTTTCAACCTGAAGCATTTTATATATGTAAAAATATATGGTTTTAAAAACGTTTTTACTTCATGCAATGTTTTATTTCATGCAATGTTTTACTTCTGTGCCGTCTTCAAGTATGGCCCAATATTTCCTTTTCGATATTACATGAACTTCGGAAAATACCTTGTCTAGCTTAAAACAGCCCATCTTTTCACCGACCATTCCCATTTCAATGAGTTTGTTATAGCCTTCTTCGTTCGTCATGAGCGCATCGATGTTCTCATAGTAAACCACAATTTTGGATTTGACATCGGAGAAGAATTTGTTGTAGTTGTCAAGGACTGCCTTTGCGAACTGAGGGTATGACCAATGTTCGACAATAGGTTTTACTGTGGTTACTAAGCCATTTTGACCTTCGGTGAACTCGTATTTCAAAACAAAAGGAGAAAACCTTTCAACAAAGTTGTCGACCTTCTCATAGTGTTTACTCTTCATCTTTTGAGGTTTTTTAATAGAATATCCCCATGTCGAATTCATAAGCAATTTGAGTGTCATTGCAAGTTTGGGGTTTGAAGCTTTCCTAATATCATACATTTGTTGTATGACTTTTCCAACTGTATAGTTCCTTCCCGGGAACTCACCTTTTTCGTTTGGAATTCCAGTCGGAATATATTGGACGAACCTCATGTACGCAGCGTTAAGGTCGACATAGTATATTTTTTCATATGAGTCGAACTTGTCGCAACCAATGGGTCCAGTTCGTGGAAATTCAAGTGAGTCTCTTATCTTTTGAGAAACCTCGCCTGTTATCTCATAAACATCGTCAAAGCAACCTGTTTCATATAAAACCTTCTGACCTAACTCTGATGCTCTCCAATACAATTTGACGTCAATTGGATGTCTCAATGGAAGTTTATTTATAGCATCTTGAAGTTCTTGCAACCTCATTGGAAGTTCTTCTGGTTCAGGTTGGTATCCGAACAATCCAACTCCTTTTGGAACTGTGTACTTCTTTTGTGCTATAACTTTGTCTGGAACAACTTTTGGTCTTACCAACAATGAAAAGTTTGTTTCGTCTTTTGGTACAAAAGTTTCTGTCAGCTTGTCATCTGGAATTGGTTCCAACAAACCTTTCTCGAAAAGAATGTTAACAGCTCTGACAATGTTGCACTTACCTTTTCCGAACAATGGGTTTGTAAGACTTTCGTTCAACATGAAGTGGTTGTGGACAAGTACAATCTTCAACCATGGTAAGTCTTTGTCAACAACATAGTCATCATGTGAAGAACCTTTCTCAGTCGGAATGTTGACTCGGATATTCACATTTGCCAACGGTGCAATTTTTGACAATTGACCTCTGAGAATGTACCTTGTTTTCACACATGACTCAAGATACTTCATTTTCTCATCTGTAACAAGACCAGAGTTCCTGAGACATGTAAGAATACAAGGTTCATTGACAATTGTTTCAATTGAATTGTAAATTCCATACCTTGTCATGTTAAATGTCAGACTTTTTCTGAACGGGAAATACCAGCATGTTGTCTGACTGCTTGAGGGTTGGGTTGGAACCATTCGAACTTCACGCTTGCAATTCCTTCAATTGCATTCAAAATGTCTGAGTCGGAGTCAAACATTTGTTCTCTCTTTGTAGTCTTGAAAGCGTCAAGAAGTTGTGCGGCTGTTGTGACATTGCCATGTGCATAGTAAATGTGACCATCCAAATCTGTTACGGTCAATCTGAGATTGTATCCTTTCTTATTTCCGTCTTGAATTGCAGCAAGTACACCCATGAAGCCTTCTTTGTTCTTTCCTTCTTCAAAGTTTACTGTAAAGGTTCGACCAGATGTAATTTTACTTCTAACTTCACGGTACTTTTCATATGCATATCTTGTTCTTTCCATGGGAGCATGTGCGTCTTCACCTTTCCCTTTTTTCCTTCTCAAAGGATGCAATTGTTCGTCATGTTTCCAGTAGAATCTGGCAAAGCCGTCGTGTCCTTCAACTTGAGGCTCAGTAACATCGAAAGGCATGTCCATAAGACGTTCTTCTTCTAACCTCTCTAATCTGTTTGGATAATTTGCACGTGCTGTTTCTAAGTCCATTTCATAGCGAAGACCAGACAATTTGTCATAGACTTTTATGGGTCTTCCCTTCCTATATTTAAACTTCTTTGAAACTCTCCAACCATATCTTTCTAACTCTGCTTTTATTCTAGCAGACTTTCTATCCATTCTATATGGGGGCATTTCTATAAAAATAAAAAAATATTTTTTTCTTTACTTTACATAACCACTTGCTGCCATAAGTCTTTGACGCCAACCCATACCAGCTAATGAAGGTTGACTTGGTTTAGTTTGAAAACTAAACTTTGGTTTTGGCTCCCCTTCAGTTTTTGGCTTCCCTTCTTCTATTGGTTTTTCGTCACTTTTCGGTTCCTCTGACTTTACCTCACTTGCTGGAACAGTTGTGTCGTCAACATCTTCATAAATGTCATATGCCATTTGTTTCTGTTTTCCTTTCAACTTTTTGTGTTTGTTGTAAAGTTTAGAATATTTCGACTCTAAGTCAATGAGATGTTCTATAATGAACTGTTGGTCAGTGAAGTAAACTTTTCCATCTGTTGTCTCATAAACTCCTTCAGACTTCAATATTTTATTTGTGAGAGTCTGTTTCTTTTTTGAGATACTAGCCGTTCCATTTTTATGAAAAGTGACTTTGTAGTTAGGGTTTGTATTTCCAGACCTGGCACTTTCTATTATTGAATTTTTCTCTTCATCTGTAAGTTCTTTGACAGGTTTTGACAATGGTTCTGAACTTTTTGTTTGTGGTGTCAAATCTACCGTTTCAACTTCTTCGGTCATTTCATCTCAGTAAAAAATTTTAGTTTGGTTTGTTTTCAACTGGTTGTTGAGGTTTTTTAAGTCGGTCTAAAACTTCCTGAGGTATAAGAAGAACTTGACAAACACGTGGTTGTGTAACTGCTGGAAGCCGACAAAGCCATCTTGAGCCCATTTGTCTCAATGCTGTATTGTTCATTTCATCTCAGTAAAAAATTTTACATTCCCCACGTTTGAGGCGGTTGCGGTTGGTTGTTGTTTACCCACTGTTGTGCATGGTTATATCCTCTGTTAAAGAATCTTTCACCTTGGTCCATGTAGTGCCCTGCTTGGTTATAGTAGTCATTTGCTTTGTTATAGTAGTTTCCTGCTTGTCTTCCTACATTGTCCATCCATCCTTGAACTTTTCCTCTTGTTTCAGGATTTGGAATAAGATTTGCTGCATCTCGTGCTACCTCCCAACCTTTCTGTACAGTTTGTATAATAGGTTGTGCTTTCTCTTTCAGTATACCTAATGTACTCAAAATCTTCCTTCCAATTCCAAATGCACCTCTGGCTAGTGTTCCCACTGCGGGTAAAAATCTAGATGCGACTCCTGCTAATGCGCCAAATAAACCCATTTCTTATGGGTTAAAAATGACGAATTCAAACAAGGACCCCTATGTTTCTAAGGCAACAAAGAAAGCACTCATGGTAAAAATCTTTAGTTCAACACCAAATGCTTGGTTTATGGATATCTTGGAAAACATTCCGAGGTATAGAGAAGATGGACCACCATACTGGCTAATATTTGTTGGTCAAAACACAAGATACTGTGAAGCCATACCATTATGGTCCAAAAATATTTTAGATGTGAAAACTGCTTTGACAATATTCGTTGACAAATACCATCCAACAAAACTGACATCTGACTGTGAAAGTTCTTTCAAATCAGATGATGTAAAAAACTATCTGCGTTCAAAAAATGTAAACCAATATTTCATTGTCGACCAAAACCATTCTGCTCTTGGTGTCATTGACGGTTGTATAAAAATGTTAAGAGACTTAAACCAACCACAAGGTGGTGAAGCAAATGAAATGTCATATGACGACAAATATAGACACTTCTCCATGGCAAAGATGAGACAAGTTTTAAATATTTACAATAGCCGTAAACAAAAAGGTTTGGGAAACCATTCCCCCGAAGAAATGAAAAACAACCCTGACTTAGAGAAAGACTATATATTTAATAGTTTAGTCAAAAGGGATGAACAAGAAAGAATGCCGGACTTCAAACTTAAGAAAGGTGACAAAGTAAAAATAGAAATACCTAAACGCGACCCATATGAAAATACTATTGACTATGACAACAATGGGAACTCGACAGGTACTCACATTCGTGTTCGTAAAAATAGAAGAAAGTATACAAGAGAATATTATGAAGTTTTAGGCAAACATGGCAAAATGTACAGACTGCAAGCAGAAGATAAAACTACTATTGTCAGACCTCGTTTCAAACTTGTCAAAGTTCAAGGTGGTATACTTTCAAAGACAGTTCCTAACAAATATAAGACAACTCCTGACGAATATGCTAAAGAAGTTGAAAATGACGACTAAGCATTTCTATACCATGCGTAAACTGTCATGTAAGGTGGCATGTAGTCTTTACTTTGTCCCGTTGTTTGCGTATACCCTGAAACGCGATGTATATGGTTTCCTCCTCCCTCAGTGTTACTCCAGTAACAATCTATAGCAAACTTAACGTTGTTTTTAACATCATATCCTTTACCTTTTGTCATTGATGACCAATCCCAATATCTATGACTATGCCAACCTGCGTTAGTTGTACTTAAATCTATGTAGTGACTGTGCGCAGGTAAATTTGCACCTGAAATCGTTTTACTTCCACCTGTTTCCTTTGAAGAGTTTGCACAATACAAAAACCTGTCGACTATTTGAGTCCAAGTTCCAAAACCAAGTACTACTTCTGGTCTGGTAGAGTTCATTGACGTGTAAATAGAGCCAACCGGGTAAATAAGATTCGGCAAAATTTGTTTAAGCACATTGAGTTCCTGTCTTAGATGTATAATACTATTGTCATTAGATATCAAAGTATCTACAAGACTTGTTGCCGGTGGTATTGTTGGAGCTTTACTTGGCAAGGTTGTGTTTAGTGTAATATCATCTGCTGTAAAAGTTGTAAAACTTGTATGTGTATGAGTCTTATTTGCTTTCTTCTCTAACTCATCGTTAACATATGTTTTATCCGCTTTAAGGTCTAAACATCCCGAAACCCATCCTGTATCAGCTTTACCTTTTAAAATATTTGATGTCCGTTCATGGTACCATTCAACCCTTTCTTTAATTTCATTACCTTTTTCATCCACATATTCCTTATCTGCCTTCTTCACTAACGCACTAGCCACACATGCTAACTCATCGTTAACATATGTTTTGTCAGCTTTCTTTTCAACATCCTCTTTCGTTGCATATGTTGCATCTGCTCTGTCATGTTCTTCTTGAACTTTTTCAATGACATACTCTTTGTCAGCTTTGTTGTCAATATCTGCTTTCAAAAGAAGTTCATCTATAGGTTTCTCGTTTAAAGTTCCTTTTGTTGGATTTATACAGACAGTATGGTTCCTATTGTCTTGAAACAGAAACTCATCTGTCATTGGGTTCATTGTCAGTTTTAAGTTTCCTTCTTTCAATGACTCAGATATCTTAGAATAGTTTGAAAAGTTTGTTGTGTTCTTATTTAGAGCTTGTACAATGAGTTGTCGGTTGTGTTGTATTTCTCTCATAGACGCTGTTTCTTTCGACATTTTTATTCTAGATAAAATATGCTTTCAATAGAAAAAGAAAATTCAAGAGTTGCTACAACTAAACCATTAGATGAACTTTTTACGAATGTCGGTCAAAAGTTTGAGACAGAGACCGTAAAGCATGAAGGCTATCGGTTTGACTACCCATTGAGATGGTTAAGAGACCCATCCGTCACAAAAGCTATTGGCTTTCGTAGAATGAAGTTCATTTCAGAAGCCATACATGGTTTCCCATTTACGGTCGCTTTTGAAATTCGATACTATAACAAAGAAAAACGTACGTATGAGAAATTTGAACAGGGAAAACTTTTACAAGTGAATTTGCTTGTAAACTTAGAAACAACTCTTCAAGCTTTTCAAGAAAAAATAAACGATATCTATCTCGAATATGCAAACCAGTTTAACATTGACGAAGGAGAGTACCATCTCGATATTGTTTATGACAGGAAAAATGCAACTGTTAAAATCAATAGAATAGAAGACCTTGGAGAAGACGTTTATATTTCTACAAAATATAACAACTTGGCATGGTATAGATTTTTGAGGATGTTAAATCAGCCTGCAGAATATCCAGTACACCCGAACTTTTATGAAGTCGAAAACCCTAATGGAACATATGAAAATGTTTTCGACTCAGATGCTATTATAGTTCATGCTTCATTTTCTGGTGCACAAAACTCTTTTTTATGCTTGGCAAATGACTTTTACGAAAAACCTACAAAGCTATATGAACCACCAAGTGGAAGTATTTCAGACTTTCAAGTATGGTTTACTACAGATGGAAGAAAGAGAATAATTCCATTATACCACGCGTTTTACTTAGAACTTAGTTTCATATACAACTACTATCGAACGGTAAAAATATAATTTTTAATACGGTTGAGGTGTTGGATTTGGTTGCCAACTAGACTGTGGTGCAGGTTCAGGCTGTTGTATAACAGGAGCTTGTTCTTCTGGTTCAGGGTCTTTAGGTATAATACCAACGAACTGACCTACTCTTTTACCAATATTTTTGACTCCGTTCCAAATTCCTCTTCCTACGGTTTTTATTCCATTCCATATACCTCTTCCAACATTTCGAAAGAAGTTTCCTATTCTTCCAAAGAAACCCATCTTACTATATGTAAAAATCTAATGTCCACCTAGTCTCTTACGTTTCCTGTTGAGTTCCATAGCATTTTTTAACTGGAGCTCATACATTCTATTTCTCCTCTGGTAGAAAACATACTCTGGGTCAACTCCTGTGTTCGCGTCATCTGCATAGAGTTGTTTATATCCCACTTCAGGGTTTGTATAAAACTCTTTCCATCTCATATTTGCATACCATGGTGGTAAGCCTAACGCAGCGTCATTTGACATGGCAGTTTGCATTTGTACATCTGTTGGCACTTGACCATAGTTTGCCATTGCAGTTTGTATTCTAACTTCATTTGGAATATTCTCTGGGTTTGGTTGTCCAGGTTGCTGTGCATTCGCTAAGTTCTGTGCGTCCATTTAATATTAGATAAAAATATCTCTTACGAGTACATATACTGAACATTTGCTGGCATTGGTTCATCTTCATATTCTCTATATCTTTCTGCCACGTCAAATAAGTAAATGACACAATGGAAAAAACCTAAAACAAGTAGTCCTATTTCAAACCACATTTACTTACCAATAAAATTTCTTTGTTATGACACTTTCTCCGGTTTATAGGACCTCTCTCATATTCTATCTTGTCATATCTAAACTCATAGTCATGTATGTCCTCTAACCATCTCATGACACTTTCCAAACCACTTTTATCGGATGTAAAGTAAAAGCATGGATGGTTATGTAAAACGTCTAAAGTTTCTAAAGAGTCTCTCAAAGTCCAGTCTACTTGGTATTGAAAATCATATGTGTTAAAGAACGGTGGGTCTACTATAAAGAAAACATTTTCCTTGTCTTTATATTTTTCATACAACTCTGTCCAACGACATCTCACAAACTCTATACCCTCAGTATATTTTTCTATGTTCTCTTTGAAAACCTTTGTATAGTTAAGATATAAAACGTTTGACATAAGTGTTTCAATGTCATGAACTCTTATAGAACCACTATACAATAGTCTAGAAGATATACTATCCCAGTCTATATACTCTGCTTTTTTCAAAACCTCTCTGACAGTATTTTTCTTATCTAATGGTATACGTTCCATCTTACCTATAGGTATCTTTTCTTTTAACTCTTTCAATATTTTGTTTGTGTCTGGTATATGTTTGAGACGGTTCATATAGTTGTCGAAGTCATTGCATATAATCTTTGAGTCAGGAAATATTGTATGGCACAAATGAGATATATAGAAACTTCCACCGAACAAATCTACAAATGTTAGACCATTCGGTAGTTTCTTAAGTTCTCTCAATAGAATATCTTTACATCTACTCTTATTTCCAAAGAAGGGTAACGGTGGTTTTGTAAAATTCATTTTATATTTAATAAAAATGTTTTTTCCCTGAAAAGTGACAGAAAAGTGACAAAACATGAAAACTACTCGGTTAAGGTCTTGTCGGTTTTGTAAAATAACCATCCTATCTCATTCTATAAGGAAGAAAAGGCTTCTCAAAGTATACTTCTTTGAATGCCCGTAACTTTGAGAAGCGACGATAGACCCTTACTTATCCGGACATAGTTCTACTATTTTGAGTCCTCTACCAAAAAGTTAACAGCAACGACTTTCAAAAAATTTTAGGGGCTAGAAGGCACGAAGTGCCTGGAAGCCCCCACACACCCAAAAAAAACCTCATTTTATATAAACTGCATGTTATACTAAACATCTTCAAGGGGGTAGAGGGGCGCAGCCCTGGAACCCCCAATACCTTTTTTTTTTTTTAAATTGGATCAAAAAAATCGAATCTGAAGTTAAAAATAAAAAATTTCTACATTTTTATCAAATTTAGATTTTTTTTTCAAATCATGCGAATTGATTGAATAATTGCATATTTTATCCCATGCATCTAGAAGTATGTGTAATATTTTTGCTTTCATCAAGAAAAAAAAAAAAAAAGGATTGGGGCTTCCAGGGGCTGCGCCCCTTCTAGCCCGAAGATGTTTTGTCACTTTTCTGTCACTTTTCAGGGAAAAAACATTTTTATTAAATATAAAATGAATTTTACAAAACCACCGTTACCCTTCTTTGGAAATAAGAGTAGATGTAAAGATATTCTATTGAGAGAACTTAAGAAACTACCGAATGGTCTAACATTTGTAGATTTGTTCGGTGGAAGTTTCTATATATCTCATTTGTGCCATACAATATTTCCTGACTCAAAGATTATATGCAATGACTTCGACAACTATATGAACCGTCTCAAACATATACCAGACACAAACAATATATTGAAAGAGTTAAAAGAAAAGATACCTATAGGTAAGATGGAACGTATACCATTAGATAAGAAAAATACTGTCAGAGAGGTTTTGAAAAAAGCAGAGTATATAGACTGGGATAGTATATCTTCTAGACTATTGTATAGTGGTTCTATAAGAGTTCATGACATTGAAACACTTATGTCAAACGTTTTATATCTTAACTATACAAAGGTTTTCAAAGAGAACATAGAAAAATATACTGAGGGTATAGAGTTTGTGAGATGTCGTTGGACAGAGTTGTATGAAAAATATAAAGACAAGGAAAATGTTTTCTTTATAGTAGACCCACCGTTCTTTAACACATATGATTTTCAATACCAAGTAGACTGGACTTTGAGAGACTCTTTAGAAACTTTAGACGTTTTACATAACCATCCATGCTTTTACTTTACATCCGATAAAAGTGGTTTGGAAAGTGTCATGAGATGGTTAGAGGACATACATGACTATGAGTTTAGATATGACAAGATAGAATATGAGAGAGGTCCTATAAACCGGAGAAAGTGTCATAACAAAGAAATTTTATTGGTAAGTAAATGTGGTTTGAAATAGGACTACTTGTTTTAGGTTTTTTCCATTGTGTCATTTACTTATTTGACGTGGCAGAAAGATATAGAGAATATGAAGATGAACCAATGCCAGCAAATGTTCAGTATATGTACTCGTAAGAGATATTTTTATCTAATATTAAATGGACGCACAGAACTTAGCGAATGCACAGCAACCTGGACAACCAAACCCAGAGAATATTCCAAATGAAGTTAGAATACAAACTGCAATGGCAAACTATGGTCAAGTGCCAACAGATGTACAAATGCAAACTGCCATGTCAAATGACGCTGCGTTAGGCTTACCACCATGGTATGCAAATATGAGATGGAAAGAGTTTTATACAAACCTGAAGTGGGATATAAACAACTCTATGCAGATGACGCGAACACAGGAGTTGACCCAGAGTATGTTTTCTACCAGAGGAGAAATAGAATGTATGAGCTCCAGTTAAAAAATGCTATGGAACTCAACAGGAAACGTAAGAGACTAGGTGGACATTAGATTTTTACATATAGTAAGATGGGTTTCTTTGGAAGAATAGGAAACTTCTTTCGAAATGTTGGAAGAGGTATATGGAATGGAATAAAAACCGTAGGAAGAGGAATTTGGAACGGAGTCAAAAATATTGGTAAAAGAGTAGGTCAGTTCGTTGGTATTATACCTAAAGACCCTGAACCAGAAGAACAAGCTCCTGTTATACAACAGCCTGAACCTGCACCACAGTCTAGTTGGCAACCAAATCCAACACCTCAACCGTATTAAAAATTATATTTTTACCGTTCGATAGTAGTTGTATATGAAACTAAGTTCTAAGTAAAACGCGTGGTATAATGGAATTATTCTCTTTCTTCCATCTGTAGTAAACCATACTTGAAAGTCTGAAATACTTCCACTTGGTGGTTCATATAGCTTTGTAGGTTTTTCGTAAAAGTCATTTGCCAAGCATAAAAAAGAGTTTTGTGCACCAGAAAATGAAGCATGAACTATAATAGCATCTGAGTCGAAAACATTTTCATATGTTCCATTAGGGTTTTCGACTTCATAAAAGTTCGGGTGTACTGGATATTCTGCAGGCTGATTTAACATCCTCAAAAATCTATACCATGCCAAGTTGTTATATTTTGTAGAAATATAAACGTCTTCTCCAAGGTCTTCTATTCTATTGATTTTAACAGTTGCATTTTTCCTGTCATAAACAATATCGAGATGGTACTCTCCTTCGTCAATGTTAAACTGGTTTGCATATTCGAGATAGATATCGTTTATTTTTTCTTGAAAAGCTTGAAGAGTTGTTTCTAAGTTTACAAGCAAATTCACTTGTAAAAGTTTTCCCTGTTCAAATTTCTCATACGTACGTTTTTCTTTGTTATAGTATCGAACTTCAAAAGCGACCGTAAATGGGAAACCATGTATGGCTTCTGAAATGAACTTCATTCTACGAAAGCCAATAGCTTTTGTGACGGATGGGTCTCTTAACCATCTTAAGGGGTAGTCAAAACGATAGCCTTCATGTTTTACGGTCTCTGTCTCAAACTTTTGACCGACATTCGTAAAAAGTTCATCTAATGGTTTAGTTGTAGCAACTCTTGAATTTTCTTTTTCTATTGAAAGCATATTTTATCTAGAATAAAAATGTCGAAAGAAACAGCGTCTATGAGAGAAATACAACACAACCGACAACTCATTGTACAAGCTCTAAATAAGAACACAACAAACTTTTCAAACTATTCTAAGATATCTGAGTCATTGAAAGAAGGAAACTTAAAACTGACGATAAACCCAATGACAGATGAGTTTCTGTTTCAAGACAGTAAGAACCATACTGTTTGTATAAATCCAACAAAAAGAACTTTAAACGAGAAACCTATAGATGAACTTCTTTTGAAGGCAGATATTGACAACAAAGCTGACAAAGAGTATGTAGACGATGAGTTAGCATATTTGGCTAGTGGGTTAGTGAAGAAGGCAGATAAGGAATATGTGGATGAAAAAGACAATGAAATTATAAAAAGGGTTGAATGGTACCATGAACGGACATCGAAGATTTTAGAAGGTAAAGCCAATACAGGGTGGGTTTCAGGATGTTTAGACCTTAAAGCTGACAAGAACCATACACATACCATTGCAAATATTACAAACTTACAAGAAACCTTAAACAGTAAAAGTGACGTTGGACATACACATAACTTCTTCTCAACTGTTGGTATAGAAAGTATTTTAGGAACGATTGAAAAAACTGGTGGGGGTGGATTATATTTTAAACCTCCTAACTTTCCAGAAGGTTTAACATCGGATAAAGACATTAAATGTAGAAATGTCTATGTCATGGAGGATGAAAAAAAAGTTAAATTCACTGCTCAAGATTTATATGATAAAAAAGCTGACAAAACAGAGCTTCAAACGTTAAAGACAGAAATACTTCAAACAGTATATCCTATAGGTTCTATTTACACGTCAATGAACTCTACCAAACCAGAAGTAGTACTTGGTTTTGGAACTTGGACTCAAATAGTCGACAGGTTTTTGTATTGTGCAAACTCTTCAAAGGAAACAGGTGGAAGTAAAACGATTTCAGGTGCAAATTTACCTGCGCACAGTCACTACGTAAGTTTAACTACATCTGAAGCAGGTTTGCATAGTCATAGATTTTGGATTGGTCAGGAATGACAAAAGGTAAAGGATATGATGTTAAAGAGGACGTTAAGTTTGCTATAAATTGTTACTGGAGTAACACTGAGGTAGGAGGAAGCCATACACATCGCGTTTCAGGCTATACGCAAACAACGGGACAGAGTAAAGACTACATGCCACCTTACATGACAGTTTACGCATGGTATAGAAATGCTTAGTCGTCATTTTCAACTTCTTTAGCATATTCGTCAGGAGTTGTCTTATATTTGTTAGGAACTGTCTTTGAAAGTATACCACCTTGAACTTTGACAAGTTTGAAACGAGGTCTGACAATAGTAGTTTTATCTTCTGCTTGCAGTCTGTACATTTTGCCATGTTTGCCTAAAACTTCATAATATTCTCTTGTATACTTTCTTCTATTTTTACGAACACGAATGTGAGTACCTGTCGAGTTCCCATTGTTGTCATAGTCAATAGTATTTTCATATGGGTCGCGTTTAGGTATTTCTATTTTTACTTTGTCACCTTTCTTAAGTTTGAAGCCTGGCATTCTTTCTTGTTTGTCTCTTTTGACTAAACTATTAAATATATAGTCTTTCTCTAAGTCAGGGTTGTTTTTCATTTCTTCGGGGGAGTGGTTTCCCAAACCTTTTTGTTTACGGCTATTGTAAATATTTAAAACTTGTCTCATCTTTGTCATGGAGAAATGTCTATATTTGTCGTCATATGACATTTCATCTACCTCACCACCTTGTGGTTGATTTAAGTCTCTTAAGATTTTTATACAACTGTCAATGACACCAAGAGCAGAATGGTTTTGGTCGACAATGAAATATTGGTTTACATTTTTTGAACGCAGATAGTTTTTAATATCGTCTGATTTGAAAGAACTTTCACAGTCAGATGTCAGTTTTGTTGGATGGTATTTGTCAACGAATATTGTCAAAGCAGTTTTCACATCTAAAATATTTTTGGACCATAATGGTATGGCTTCACAGTATCTTGTGTTTGACCGACAAATATTAGCCAGTATGGTGGTCCATCTTCTCTATACCTCGGAATGTTTTCCAAGATATCCATAAACCAAGCATTTGGTGTTGAACTAAAGATTTTTACCATGAGTGCTTTCTTTGTTGCTTTAGAAACATACGGGTCCTTGTTTGAATTCGTCATTTTTAACCCATAAGAAATGGGTTATTTGGCGCATTAGCAGGAGTCGCATCTAGATTTTTACCCGCAGTGGGAACACTAGCCAGAGGTGCATTTGGAATTGGAAGGAAGATTTTGAGTACATTAGGTATACTGAAAGAGAAAGCACAACCTATTATACAAACCGTACAGAAAGGTTGGGAGGTAGCACGAGATGCAGCAAATCTTATTCCAAATCCTGAAACAAGAGGAAAAGTTCAAGGATGGATGGACAATGTAGGAAGACAAGCAGGAAACTACTATAACAAAGCAAATGACTACTATAACCAAGCAGGGCACTACATGGACCAAGGTGAAAGATTCTTTAACAGAGGATATAACCATGCACAACAGTGGGTAAACAACAACCAACCTCAACCGCCTCAAACGTGGGGAATGTAAAATTTTTTACTGAGATGAAATGAACAATACAGCATTGAGACAAATGGGCTCAAGATGGCTTTGTCGGCTTCCAGCAGTTACACAACCACGTGTTTGTCAAGTTCTTCCTATACCTCAAGAAGTTTTAGACCGACTTAAAAAACCTAAACAACCAGTTGAAAACAAACCAAACTAAAATTTTTTACTGAGATGAAATGACCGAAGAAGTTGAAACGGTAGATTTGACACCACAAACAAAAAGTTCAGAACCATTGTCAAAACCTGTCAAAGAACTTACAGATGAAGAGAAAAATTCAATAATAGAAAGTGCCAGGTCTGGAAATACAAACCCTAACTACAAAGTCACTTTTCATAAAAATGGAACGGCAAGTATCTCAAAAAAGAAACAGACTCTCACAAATAAAATATTGAAGTCTGAAGGAGCTTTCGAGACAACAGATGGAAAAGTTTACTTCACTGACCAACAGTTCATTATAGAACATCTCATTGACTTAGAGTCGAAATATTCTAAACTTTACAACAAACACAAAAAGTTGAAAGGAAAACAAAAACAGATGGCATATGATATTTATGAAGATGTTGACGACACAACTGTTCCTGCAAGTGAGGTAAAGTCAGATGAACCGAAAAGTGACGAAAAACCAATAGAAGAAGAAAAACCAAAAACTGAAGATAAACCAAAACCAAAGGTTAGTTTCAATACTAAACCAAGTCAACCTTCATTAGCTGGTATGGGTTGGCGTCAAAGACTTTTGGCAGCGGGTGGTTACGTAAAGTAAAGAAAAAAACATTTTTTTATTTTTATAAAAATGCCCCCGTATAGAATGGATAGAAGGTCTGCTAGAATAAAAGCAGAGTTAGAAAGATATGGCTGGAGAGTTTCAAAGAAGTTTAAATATAGGAAGGGAAGACCCATAAAAGTCTATGACAAACTATCTGGTCTTCGCTACGAAATGGACTTAGAAACAGCACGCGCAAATTATCCAAACAGATTAGAGAGGTTAGAAGAAGAACGTCTTATGGACATGCCTTTCGATGTTACTGAGCCTCAAGTTGAAGGACACGACGGCTTTGCCAGATTCTATTGGAAACATGACGAACAATTGCATCCTTTGAGAAGGAAAAAAGGAAAAGGTGAAGACGCACATGCTCCCATGGAAAGAACAAGATATGCATATGAAAAGTACCGTGAAGTTAGAAGTAAAATTACTTCTGGTCGAACCTTTACAGTAAACTTTGACGAAGGAAAGAACAAAGAAGGCTTCATGGGTGTACTTGCTGCAATTCAAGACGGAAATAAGAAAGGATACAATCTCAGACTAACCGTAACAGATTTAGATGGTCATATTTACTATGCACATGGCAATGTCACAACAGCTGCAATGCTTCTTGACGCTTTCAAGACTACAAAGAGAGAACAAATGGTTGACTCCGACTCAGACATTTTGAATGCAATTGAAGGAATTGCAAGCGTGAAGTTCGAATGGTATCAACCCAACCCTCAAGCAGTCAGACAACATGCTGGATACTTCCCGTTCAGAAATAAGTCTGACATTGACTTAACAAGGTATGGAATTTACAATTCAATTGAAACAATTGTCAATGAACCTTGTATTCTTACATGTCTCAGGAACTCTGGTCTTGTTACAGATGAGAAAATGAAGTATCTTGAGTCATGTGTGAAAACAAGGTACATTCTCAGAGGTCAATTGTCAAAAATTGCACCGTTGGCAAATGTCAATATCCGAGTCAACATTCCGACTGAGAAAGGTTCTTCACATGATGACTATGTTGTTGACAAAGACTTACCATGGTTGAAGATTGTAATCGTCCACAACCACTTCATGTTGAACGAAAGTCTTACAAACCCATTGTTCGGAAAAGGCAAGTGCAACATTGTCAGAGCTGTTAACATTCTTTTCGAGAAAGGTTTGTTGGAACCAATTCCAGATGACAAGCTGACAGAAACTTTTGTACCAAAAGACGAAACAAACTTTTCATTGTTGGTAAGACCAAAAATTGTTCCAGACAAAGTTCTAGCACAGAAGAAGTACACAGCTCCAAAAGGAGTTGGATTGTTCGGATACCAACCTGAACCAGAAGAACTTCCAATGAGGTTGCAAGAACTTCAAGATGCTATAAACAAACTTCCATTGAGACATCCAATCGACGTCAAATTGTATTGGAGAGCTTCTGAGTTAGGTCAGAAAATTTTATATGAAACAGGTTGCTTTGACGATGTTTATGAGATAACAGGCGAGGTTTCTCAGAAGATAAGAGACTCACTTGAATTTCCACGAACTGGGCCGATTGGATGCGATAAGTTCGACTCATATGAAAAAATATACTATGTCGACCTTAACGCTGCGTACATGAGGTTCGTCCAATATATCCCGACTGGAATTCCAAACGAAGACGGTGAGTTCCCGGGAAAGAACTATACAGTTGGAAAAGTCATACAACAAATGTATGATATTAGGAAAGCTTCAAACCCCAAACTTGCAATGACACTCAAATTGCTTATGAATTCGACATGGGGGTATTCCATTAAGAAACCTCAAAAGATGAAGAGTAAACACTATGAGAAGGTCGACAACTTTGTTGAAAGGTTCTCCCCTTTTGTTTTGAAATACGAGTTCACTCAAGGTCAATGTGGCTTAGTAACCACAGTAAAACCTATTGTCGAACATTGGTCTTATCCTCAGTTCGCAAAGGCAGTCCTTGACAACTACAACAAATTCTTCTCCGAGGTTAAATCCAAAGTGAAGGTATACTATGAGAACATCGATGCACTCATGACGAACGAAGAAGGCTATAACAAACTCATTGAAATGGGTTTAGTCGGTGAAAAGATGGGTCAATTCAAATTGGACAAAATTTTCACCGAAGTTCATGTAATATCGAAAAGGAAGTACTGGGGTGTTAAAGAAGATGGTGAAATAGTTAAACATTGCATGAAATAAAAAATTTTTATTCGAATTTGAATCGGACAGGTCGAGTTACACCATTCTTGGTCTCAAACTCATATATAACCTGTTTGTTTGTATTTTCGTCGACTATGACACGAGACACGAACATTGACCAAACGGACAAAAAGTGTCATTTCAGATGGTCCCGCAGCCAATCGCATTCGAGCACTTCGAAGAAGCCTTACGTTCCAAGGGAGAGGGTGTCTGGTGCAAGGCAGAGGTCATGAGACTCTACGAGCAGTACATCCTCAATGCCTGGGAGGACAAATCGTCCTTGGATTGGCAATTCTACCAACTCCTCTGGGACGACCTCCTACGCAACTGGGATGACGAAAGAGTCCAATTCAAAGGTCGGGAACTAATTTTGCAAATTACCCTTAATTTAAGCTACTTACGCAACTAAAAACTTAAATTTACT